TGTGTGAAAATTTATTATTCCAAAGGACAAACGTGGTCAACGTCACGCACGTTATCCAATGTTCTCTTTAATATATTTTTTGTTGAACCTTTTCTTTTATAATTGAAACGAAACAGAAATTTTTCTCTGCACTCGTCTTCCGGGCTTTGAACGAATTTTCTTTCGTTATAATCTTTATTGTTTAAAAATTTAGGAGAGACATTTTTCTCTGGGGCAATTTTCGAGTCTTTTTATATGATAAAAATTACATGAATGCTGATAACTAAGAGTTGAGACTGAGTGATAATTAGGACAGTTATTAATTAGTCATTAATTGCTACTAGTAATTAATTACCACTATAAATTAATTGCTATAATTAATTTCTACTAGTAATTAATTGCTACTAGTAATTAATTACCACTATTAATTAATTGATACTATATTAATTAATTGCTACTAGTTATTAATTGTTACTAGTAATTAATTGCTGCTAGGAATTAATTGCTACTAGTAATTAATTACCACTATTAATTAATTGATACTATTAATAATTTGCTACTAGTTATTAATTGTTACTAGTAATTAATTGCTGCTAGGAATTAATTGTTACTAGTAATTAATTGCTACTAGTAATTAGTTTCTATCTACTAATTAATTGCTACTGGTAATTAGTTCCTATCTAATAATTAATTGCTGTCCGCTAATTAATTCTTATCTGGTAATTAATTTACACTAGTAATTAATTGCTAAATAGTAATTAATTGATACAAGTAATTAATTGCTAACTAATACTTTATTGCTACTAGGAAATAATTGCTACTTGTGATTAATTGCAACTAGTGATTACTTCTTACTAGTAATTAATTGCTACCAGTAATTAGTTGCTTACTAGTAATTAATTGATACTAGTAATTAATTGCTACTAATAATTAATTGCTACTAGTAATTAATTGCTACTAGGAATTAATTGCTACTAGGAATTAATTGCTACTAGTAATTAGTTTCTATCTACTAATTAATTGCTGTCTGGTAATAATTAATTCCTATCTGGTAATTAATTGACACTAGTAATTAATTGCTAACTAGTAATCAATTGATATAATTAATTAATTGCAAGCAAGTGATTAATTGCTACTAGTAATTATTTGCTAACTGGTAATTAAACGCAACTAGCAATTAATTGCTAACTGATAATTAATTGCTAATTAGTACTTAATTGCTACTAATAATTCATTTATACTAGTAATTAATTTCAACTGGTAATTAATTTATACTAGTAGTTAATTGCTACTGGGAATTACTTCATACTAGTAATTAATTGAAACTTGTAATTATTTTACACTAGTAATTAATTGCTTCTAGAAATTAATTTACACTAATTAATAATTAATTTAATAATTAATTAATTAATTAATTTATTAATTAATATTCTTAAATAAGTAACTAATAATTATAAATTGACTAATTTATTGGTAAAAAATTTACTAATAATTAAGAACTTATTAATTTATCAGTAAATAATTATCTGTAATTATTAATTAATAAGTTAAATTAATAAGTAAATTATTATCAAAAAATAATTTTTTTAACGAAATCGAATGTCTTGGCGTGAGCTGGTAATTAGTCCCTCTAATAAATAATTATTTATCTCTATTAATTCATTAATAAATTAGCGATTATTGAACAATTAAGAAATAATTGACTTTTTGGTAAATAATTAACTATTAATTATTGCTTGATTAATAGTATTATGCAATATTGATGAAATATTAAATAATTATCTAATAATTAATTATTTAAGAAAAGTTGACAATTTTGACGTAATTCGACAGAAAAGAACAATTTATTCTTCTATGAAATCTTGTTTGTTTTCTTTTAGAACGGCAATTGTTGATCTGAATAGAATGAAAAGTGATAAAATTACAATAATTTTTCCATTTATTATTTGAGCGGTCAAAGGACAAATTTTTATCACACTTCCTACTTATAATTTTTTTGTTTTTTTAATGAAATCAGATGATTTTGAGTAATTGCATAAATAAATCATTAATTTTCACCTAATTTATTAACAAATTAGTGATTAGTGATTAGTGAACATTTAACAAGTACTCAATTTTTCGGTATGAATGATAATTAATTAATTATCTACAAATTATGTTTTTAAAGAAAATTCGATGATTTGGCGCAGTTTCACACTGATAAACAATAATTCATTCACGAGATCTTGTTTGTTTACTTTTAGAACGGAAATTGTTAATCTGATTAAAAAGAAAAACGATAAAATTAATAATGATTTTTCCACTTAATATTTGAGCGGTCAAAGGACAAATTTCTATCACTTTTCTATTCATAATTAATTGTTTGAAGAAAATCAGATGCGATCTGAAGTACAATTTGACCAATAAATCATTAATTTTCAACCTAATTTATTAACAAATTAGTGATTAGTGAACAATTAACAAGTACTTAATTTTTCGGTATGAATAATTAACAATAAATTAACAAGAAATTAATTTATTGGTAGTTAATATTTTAATATTTAACAATAAATTAATTTATTGGTAAATAATTAATTAATAATTAAAAAATATAATTAATTAATATGTAAATAAATTAAACAATATTTAAATCACCAGTAAATAATTAATTAATAATTTATTTGTCGCTAAATAATTAAACAATATTCAATTCACCGGTAAATAATTAAATAATAATTTATTTATGTATATAGGTTAGTAATTAACTAAAAAGTAAATTGTCACTAAATAATTAACTAAAAAGTAAATTGTCACTAAATAATTAACTAAAAATTAAGTTGTCACTAAATAATTAACTAAAAATTAAGTTGTCACTAAATAATTAACTAAAAAGTAAATTGTCACTAAATAATTAACTAAAAATTAAGTTGTCACTAAATAATTAACTAAAAATGAAGTTGTCACTAAATAATTAACAAAAAATTCATTAAAAAGTAAACAAATATCTACAAATATTATGTTTTTAAAGAAAATTCAATAATGTGGCGTAATTCCACACCGACAAACAATTCTTTCACGAGATCTTGTTTTTGTTTTCTTTTAATAACAGAAATTGTTAATCTGAATAAAAAGAAAAGTGATAAAATTAATAATAATGTTTCTACTTATTATTTAAGAGGTTAAAGTACAAATTTCTATCACTTTCCTATTCATAATTAATTGTTTGAAGAAAATTAAATAATTTAGAGTAATTTCAGCAATGAATATTCAATTTTCACCGAAATTATTAACAATTAAATAAAATTAATTTATTAATTAAATAAAATTAAATTCATTGCTAAACAATTCATTCATTCGTAAATAATTAAGTAATAATTTATTTATCCATACATAATTAACTAATAATTTGTTTATTGCTTAATAATAAACCAATAATTTGTTCATTGGTAAAAAATTAACTGATAATTAGTTTATTGTTAAATAATTAACTAATGATTAGTTTATTGGTGCATAATTAACTAATAATTAGTTTACTGGTAAATAATTAACTAATAATTTATTTATCCACAAAATTATTAACTAATAATTAACAAATATAATTAATTTATCGGTAAATAATTAACTAATAATGAATTTACCACTAAAAAATAAACAAAAAATTAATTTATTCGTAAATAATTAACCAGTAATTAGTTTATTGATAAATAATTAACTAATAATTAGTTTATTGTTAAATAATTAACTAATAATTAGTTTATTGGTAAATAATTAACTAATAATTTGTTTATTGCTTAATAATAAACCAAAAATTAGTTTATTTGTAAACAATTAACTAATAATTTGTTCATTGCTAAAAAATTAAGTGATAATTAGTTTATTGTTAAATAATTAACTGATAATTAGTTTATTGTTAAATAATTAACTAATAATTAGTTTATTGTTAAATAATTAACTAATAATTAGTTTATTGGTAAATAATTAACTAATAATTAGTTTACTGGTAAATAATTAACTAATAATTTGTTTATTGCTAAATAATTAACTAATAATTTATTTCTTCATAAATTATTAACTAGTAACTAACAAATTACTGACTAATAATTAATTTATTATAAATAATAAACAAATAATTAGTTTATTGGTAAATAATTAACTAATAATTAATTCATCGGTAAATAATTAACTAATAGTTTATTTATCCATAAATTATTAACTAAGAATTAACAAATTACTAACTAATAATTAATTTATCACTAAATAATTAACTAATAATTAACTAATAATTTGTTCATTGCTAAAAAATTAACTAATAATTAGTTTATTGTTAAATAATTAACGAATAATTAATTTATTGGTAAATAATTAACTAATAATTTGTTTACTGGTAAATAATTAACTAATAATTAGTTTACTGGTAAATAATTAACTAATAATTTGTTTATTTGTAAATAATTAACTAATAATTTGTTCATTGCTAAAAAATTAACTGATAATTAGTTTATTGTTAAATAATTAACTAAAAATTCAGCTGTTATTTAATAATTAACTACTAATTCATTAAAAAGTGAACAATTATTTAAAAATTAATTTTTTAGGAAAATTCGATAATTTTGCATTATTTTCACCGTTAAACAATTCTTCCACGAAATTTTGTTCATTTTGCGTTTTGAACGGAAAATTGAAAAATCAAAATTAAAGAGAAAAAAAAATAAAAATAAAATTGATAAAAAAAAAGTTTTTCCACTTATTTGAGATGTCAATGGAGAAAAATTTTTATCACGCTTCCTACTCATGCTTCTCATTGAGAAGGATGGTGATCACTATGTACATACACACATTTGCATGCAATGTGAATTTAAGGGGAAAAACTGAGACCCCTTTTTTTCACTAAAATTCCCCCACTCTTTTTGAAAAAGAAAATATTCCATTGAAAAGCAAAAAAAAGCGGGGGGGGGAGAATTTTTAAGGGATAGATAGGAAGGGATAGAGAGTCAGAAAGTAAGAGAGAGAAAGAGAGAGAGAGAGAGAAAAACTTTGGGAAACGTTGTACAGAGGAGAGAACTGGAGAACAAGCGCCAGATTATAAAGTGAGGGAGGATTCACGAGTGGGGAGGAGCCATCGCGCAACTGAGTATATATGCTGAAAAACACCAAGCAACTCGTTACAGTTCCAGAAGACACAAAACGAAAAGGATCTAGATCAAGGAATCGTTAAAAAAATAATTAAGTAAATAAGTAACTGAAAAAGGGTGAAATTATAAATAATACCAGTGTGATTACAAAATTAAGTAAATTTAATTTTGAGAGGCAAAAAAAAAAAGTGTTTAGGGTGCAACATTTGTATTTTTGAAAAAAAAAACAAAAAAAAAGAAGTGGTATTTTTTTCTTGTGTGTTTTACGACAAGTACGACAACAAAAAAAGGAGGAAAATGAAAAACCAATCTTTAGTAACAGTGACTGCGGGTTTTCTGCTTCTTCTTCTTGCATTGGTACCAGAAGTAGCACACGCCAGGCCATCAGGTTTCCTTAGGTACAATTTGTTTTCTGTTCTTTCTCTACTAATTATTATTTTTACTAGAAATTTATTTTATTTATTTGTCTTTTTGTAATTCGCTAATGACACTATTTGCTAATAATTATAATTCAGTTTTTTAATTTTATAATTAGAATTAATTATTTTATTGCCATTCGCTGATAATTACAAATTAGGTTCGTTTTATTAATTTTCCAGGTGATATTAACTATATTTATTTTATCTTAATATTCGCTAATAATTACAATTTAATTTTTTACCTAATTTTCCAATTGACATTAACTTTATAATAATTATTAGCACTCGGAAAATTAAATTATTTAATTTTTCAGTTAATTTTCCAATTGCTAATAATTAAATTATTATTTTATTACTATTCGCTAATAATTTCAATTTAATTTTTTAATTAATTTTCCTATTGATAGTAACTGTATAATTAATTATTTTACCACCATTCGTTAATTATTATACAATTCCGGTTTTTAGTTAGTTTTCTAAGTGCTAATAATTATTATTTAGCTTTTTAGTTAACTACTCTCTAAATTCGAATTAGTAAAAGTGTTTACTAATTTGAATTAGTGACGGACTTTCTGCTTTTGAATTAGTAAATTTTACTACAAAAAAATTAGTAGAAATTACTATTTATTATGGTAATATTTACTAAATCAAAATCAAACAGTCAGTCACTAATTCAAATTAGTAAACATTTTTACTAATTCAAATTTAGAGAGTAATTTTTTTAATTTACTAATACTTTTTGTCAATAAAATTTTTTAATTCGAAAAACCAAAAAAAAAGAAGTAGAAATTACTAATAAATTAGTAAAAATTACTTTTTGTCAATTACATTTTTTAATTCGAAAAATCAAAAAGAAAAGAAAAAAAGAAGTAGAAATTACTAATAAATAAGTAAAAATTACTTTTTGTCAATTACATTTTTTAATTCGAAAAACCAAAAAGAAAAGAAAAAAAGAAGTAGAAATTACTAATAAATTAGTAAAAATTACTTTTTGTCAATAAAATTTTTTAATTCCATTGCAAAAAATATTACGAATTAAATAATAATAAAATTACGAATTGAAATATAGTAAACATTTTTACGAATTCGAATTTGGAGAGCTAATAATTATTCTTTGGTATTTCTGTTAATCTTCCAATTGTTAATAATTGTATAATTAACTATTATTTTATTATCATTCGTGAACAATTTGAATTTAGTTGTTTTAGTTAATTTTCCAATTGCTATGTAATTCTGCAATTAATTGCATAAACAGTAGGAAATATTCTATCTTTTTTAATGTAAAAATTTTCTTTAGTTCTTCAACTACAAAATTAACACATTTTTTTTTATTTTCATTTCCTTTGAAACTTATATATTCTTAATTCTTCTTTTCCTTTTTTTTAATCTATTTTTTAGTTTTCTTAATTTCTCCATTTACTTTTTTCTGTCTTTCTTTCATATTTTTTCGTTAAATTTTTTCTTCTTTTGAATTTGTTCGTTAAATTTTTTCTTTTTTTTAATAAATTTGTTAAATTTTTTCTTTTCTTTAATTTGTTCGTTAAATTTTTTCTTTTTTTTAATAAATTTGTTAAATTTTTTTTTCTTTAATTTGTTCGTTAAAGTTTTTCTTCTTTTTAATTTGTTCGTTAAATTTTTTCTTCTTTGTAATTTGTTCGTTAAATTTTTTCTTCTTTTTAATTTGTTCGTTAAATTTTTTCTTCTCTTTAATTAGTTTGTTAAATTTTTTCTTTTCTTTAATTTGTTCGTTAAATTTTTCCTTTTCTCTTTAATTTATTCGTTAAAATTTTTCTTTTCTTTAATTTGTTTGTTTAATTTTTTACTTTTTTTTTTAATTTGTTCATTTAATTTATTAACTCCTCCTTACAATTTTTTTATTTTTTCTATATTATTTGGTTATTTCTATTTTTTCTCTTCTCTATTTCTCTCTTTTTTTTTTTTTGTTGAATACTTTTTTTTACTCTCGTTATATTTAAACTAATATTGAAGAATTTTTAGGTCAATTATTTTTTCTATTATTATTTACTACCATATTTGTCGAAAAAAATATAATTCTTGTGGCGTTTGCTGTTATATTATTTGTTTATTTTAATGGATTGATTGTCAGTTTATTATTTATTGATTCCGCTATTATTTTTTCTCATTTATTTGTATATATATAATATGCATTCTGTACTTTATTTAATGTTTTATTAAAATTGTTCTATATTTGTCAATTGTGATTATTATTATTATTATTAAATTATTTTATTATCATTACTAAAATTATTATCAATTTATTCAATAAACGGTCTTTGAAATTAAAAGAGAAAATTGAAAAAAGACAAAAGAATAGAACATTATAATAATTACAGTCAAAATGAAGTTCTATTCGATAGAGTAAAACTGTAATTAGTAAATAAATAATAATTATTATTTAATAATAATAATAATAATAATAATAATAATAATAATAATAATAATAACACAACTAATAATAATAATAATAATAATAATAATAATAATAATAATAATAATAATAACAATAATAATAATAATAATATTAATAATAATAATTAAATGAGAATAAAAAATTAATAAACAGTATTGTTATTAATATTTTATTCGATGTTTCATATTGTTATTTTATTTTGTTGTTATTATTTAATATTATTATCAATTTTTATTATTTATTGAATGCTCGATTGAATCAATATCGAGAATTTAAAAATAATGAATGAAAAATAATAAAAATTATTGTAGTCGAACTGAACTGATTAGAATGAAAAATTAATATTATTCTTTGAAAATGATTTGCGAATTTGCATCCAAATCAGGCTTTAAATGCAGATAAATATCATTTCTCCGAAGTCTTGATAATTGAGTGGTATAGATATTTTTTAACAATTGTTTACAGTCAAAGGAACTCGTCACGTATAATTTTAAAACTCCATTTGATTAGAAATTTAAATATTCTAAATTTACATTAGACAATTTTTTTTTCTACTTTTTTTCTACCAAAAATTTTTCTTTAATTTTTTTTTTTTTTTGTAAAAATTTTCTCTAATTTCTTTGGGAATTTTTTTTTTCTACTTTCGTTGGGGATTTTTTTTTCTAATTTCTCTCTATAAAATTATTATTTTCCACAAAATATATAGAAATTTAGTAGAAATTTTTTTAATATTTTAAATATTATTCACTGATAGTTCTTTATAAAAATGTTCTCATAATTTTTGTTTGCAATTTTTTTCTAATTTTTCGATAAAATCATTTTTTACAAAAAAAAAAAATTTAGTATTATTAGTATTAGTGCACACTAAAAAAAAAGTTTTACTTTCAGCCTGTTTTCGAGGCTGAATTTAAGGTGTAAACGGAGTCAGACTTTTTTTTTTTCTGTGTGGAAACTAATATTTCTTTATAGAAAAAGTTTTCTCTAATTTTTGTTTCGGCTTTTTTTGTTAATTTCGCTAAAAAAAATTATTTTTTTGCAATATAGAAATTTAGTTGAAATTTAGTAGTAAAAATTTTAAGTGTAGAATTTTTTTCTATAATAGTTATTTAAATAATTTACTAATATCTCTATATAATTGTCAGTTTTTTATTTTTTAATTGTATTAAATTATTCACGTAAAAAAATTACCACTATTTTCCACTCATGGGAAAAAAATAAAAAACAAAATAAACAAAAAGAAAAAAAAATTTTTTTTGTAAAAAATATTTTTACAACAGAATACTACTTTTTATAGAATATTTTAATATCCTACATTATTGTATATATATATATCTTTTTTCTTATGATTAATAAGATAATTATGACACTACTGTGTTGATAAATTATCTCTCATTCCCAACCTTGCTCAATAATATACACACAAATACTCATCAATGTACGTTTACTTTTTATTATTTAAACAAATTACTATCAATATGGTTTTTTTTTCTTCTTTTAAACTCAATAATTATTCCGAATTTATATTTTCTAATTATTTAGTTTCAAAAAGAAATTAAAATTTTTTTTTTCTTTTTTTAATTGACAATAAAATTGATCGCGAATTTATAATAGTCGTGCGTGTATATAATACATCTCGGACAATCAATTATTTTCAACATTCATCAGAAAATTTGATTTCACGTACAAATCATGCGCGATTTGTTTTTGATTAATTGATTATTGTTGTGGAGGTGGGGGAGAAAAAAGAAGAGTTCATTGTTTGATGTATCATTTGAAAATACGATTTAATGCGTGCAATTTAATATTATGTGTTCGTAATTAATTACGCGTGCATAATTAAGTAGAGATAATTTATCGCTTTTTTCTTCTCTTTCTTTCTTTTTTTTGCTTTTTTCTTTTTTTTCTTTCTCTTTTCTGTCTTTTTTTCTCTTTCTTTCTTTTTTTTTCTTTATTCTCTTTCTTTCTTTTCTTTTCTTTCTTTCTTTCTTTCTTTATTTTTCTCTTTTTTTCTTTTTACTCTTTCCTTCTATTTTTCTTTTTTCTTTTTCTTACTATACTTTTCTTTCTCCTTTTCTTTTTTCTTTTTTTTTCTTTTTTTCTTTCTTTCTTTCTTTCTTTCTATTTTATTCTTTTTTTCTTCTTTCTGTCTTTTTTAATTTATTTTCTTTTCTTTCTTTCTTTTTTTCTTTATTTCTTTATTTTTTTGGATTTACTTTTTTTTTATTTTTTTATTTCGAAAATCATTGTATTCGTTTATATATAGAAGAGGGGTGGGAAATGTTTCGATAATTTATATCAATTTTGTCCCCAACCTAAGACAACAATGAATTATAAGGAATTAACATTTAGTCACACACGATTGAACGCCGATTAGGATAATGAGCGTCAATTTTTTTTTCTTTTTTAAGAAACAATTTAGCGTTTCATCATTAAGAAAATATTTCTGCTTGATTTATTCGAAACTTTTTTTCGTCAATCAAATCGAAAATCACTCCCATTTTTCACGACAATAATAATTATAATAATTAAAGATGTAAATAAATAATAATTAATAATAACAATAATAGAAACTATTATTATAATTTTTAAAATTATTTTTTTAATAAATGAATAAATAAATTAATAAATTAGTAAATTAATAAATTAATAAATTAATAAATTAATAAATTAATAAATTAATAAATTAATAAATTAATAAGTTAATAAGTTAATAAATTAATAAATTAATGAATTAATAAATAAATTAATAAATAAATGAGTTAATAAATAAATGAATGAATGAATAAATAAAGTGAATGAAAAATAAAAAAAATATATGCGGAAAAAATTCTATTTTTCCTGCAAACGATCCTATTGTGCATTAAACAAGTCTAATTCTCGGATGTTTAACCCTTTCGAAATTGAAGTATCTCGTTTCTAAAGTGCATATATGCGTGTGGAAATTCGATCGAAAATATTATATTCAAAGAAATTTCTTCACAAATATGTATATATAAATTTTGTATAGATATCCTCTATATAAGCATTTCCTATATATTGTTATATTTGTACTTTCCTCTTATTTAAATTTGCTTTTCAAAAAATGCAATATTTCTATTTTACTAAATTCGATTTTTTATTTTAAACAAAATACAAATTTTTTTTACTGTTTTTTTTTACTTTTCTTTAGTCTTTTTTAATTTTAATTTCTAATTGAAATTAAATAAAAATAATTTAAATTTCTTTTATTTTCAGAAAAGAAAAACTTTTTTAAAATAAAAAAATAGTTTTTTATTTTTTAAAAAAAATTTTTTTTTCTTTTTTATAAAGAAAATAAACAAAAAAACTTCATATTTTGGTTATAAAATAAATTTAAATAAAAATTCGTTTGAAAAGAGAAACATATTCTTTAAATAAAGAAATACATTTTTTCTAAATAAAAATCTAATTATAATTTTTAATGAATATTAAAAACTAAATCGTTTTTTAAAAGAGAAAAATATTTTTAAAAAAAATATTTAAAAAAATCTTTTTAAAAAGAGGAAAATATTTTTTTTAAAAATCATTTTAAAAGGATTTTATCTTTTAAGATTTATTTTTTTAGATTTATTTTTTTAGAGAAATATTTTTTTTTTAAAAACACATCTCACCTTCATTGTTTATCGCAAAACTTTTTTTTTTCATTTTTGTAAATACCTCTATGACGTAATAGAAAAACGTATGTCGATGGAATTTTTTTTTTTTTTCTTCAAAAGCAAAAAAAAAAAAAAAGTGAAGAAACACGTTATGATAAAATGATAATTAACGCGTGGCAGATGTCTTGTATTTGATTAGAGGGTCACAATTGGGTTGAAGTATATATCAGATAAAATTATCGATATTCCATAAGTAAAATCCCTATTTTCTACTTACTGGATATTCATTTTTTTTTCTCAAGAGAAAGAGAGAGAGAGAGAGAGAGAGAGAGAGAGAAAATTTTTTATCATGAGAAATTATCTAGAGTAAAAAAACAAACTTGATATTGGTATATGAAGAAGAAATGGAAAGATTATATGTCGATTGTTTCAATATGTTATATTATGTTAATTTTATCGTAAAGGATAGTTGAGGAGGGTCTAAATATTTTTAAATATTTTTTTCCACCTATTTTTATCAACTTTCTTTCAACTTTGAAAAAAGTTTCTTTTCTTGACACAAAAATCTTCTTTTGCATATATAGTATAGACAATTTTCCACAACTAAGAATTTTTTGATATTTAATTAATTATTTTATTTATTTAATTTCTACTAACAATTATTTTTATTTTTTTATTTGTTTTTATTTATTTTTTATTTTTGTTTTATTTTTGTTTTATTTATTTTTATTTTATTTCTACTTTTTTCTATTCGTTTCTATTCTTCCCTTTTATTTTACACTTCTTTCTATTTATTTTTTATCTATATTTTTTCTATATTTATTTGCTGCATTTATTTATTGCACTTATTTATAAACTTTCTCACAAAATTTTTTTTTAAAATTTTTTCTTTTTTTTCAAAAATATAAATATTGTAACTTTATAATTGTGTTTTTAAGAAATTTGCATTTTTATTAGAATTTTGCACGCTTGAAAAATTCTTGAAAACACACACGCAAAAAAATTGCAATATTTCCGGAATAATAAATGGAAGTTTAGTGGTAATATTATTTTTTCTTTCTAATCGTATTTTTATAATATATTTAGCTCCCACTACGAAAATAGTGAATTTAAAAAATTTACGAGATAAAGTAAAAAAGTAGTTAGATTATCGTATGGTAATGTTCATACCAGGATTTCCCAAGTGTCATCTGGCTATTGTATCACAAACACTTTAATAGTAAATCTGCTCCTTTTCTTATTATAACACACACACACACATAAATAAATTGAGTAAATTCCTGTTACATAATTTCACGTTCGAGGTGAAATCAAAACTACTAGATTTTCATTTTTGTTATAATATTCAAAAAGGTACTTCAACAAAATTTCTTCCAATTTCATTTTAATAATTATTTTTTTTTACATAATTTATTTTTTATTTAAATTACAATTTAATTATTTATTTAATTTGTATTTTTATTATATTATATTTTATTCTCATTGTAACTAAATTATATTATTTTTAATATACATTCTAATCACAAATTTATTTATTATTTTCTTTATTGATTTAAAAAAAAAAATAAAAAATTATTAATTTCACCGAAATATATTTTTTTTAATTATATACATTAATTAACATTTTTATTACATTTTTTTGTTTATATTCGTATTTATCTATATTTAATTTAATAAATTTTATTAAATTTAATAAATTTAATAAATTTTATTAAATTTAATAAATTTAATAAATTTTATTAAATTTAATAAATTTAATACATTTTATTAAATTAAATAAATTTAATAAATTTTATTAAATTAAATTATTTTTTTAATAAATTTAATAAAAATATTTTTAAACAAAATTTTTTTCGACAATAATAATTTTGGGCCAGTTTAGAAATTATTGTCTTCGGAGAGAAAAGAATGTGCGAATAGAAAAAAAGCGAAAAAAAAACGTAACGTGAGTTCCCTGACACGTAAGTCAATTTTGTGCATCACTCGAGGCGTTGATCCACTGACGCAAAATGACTGCAGTTTGCATTGAATGATGCAACAAGTGTGTAAAATTAAATTCTCCAAGAAATTACAACAAGAATTATTTAGAAATTCTAATAAAAAAAAATTATAAACAAAAATATAAGTCCAATTAGATTTTCATTTTTTTTTAAAGAAGAAAAAAATATTTAATTGCAAAAAAAAATTGAATAAACAATTTGAGTTTAATTTCAGTAATTAGTTACATAGTCGTGTGATTTTTAGTGATTTCTTGAATAAATAAATTTAAAAAAAATTAATTTGGTGATTTTAATTAAAAAAAAATCAAATCAAGTAAATGATAGTTCATTAATTATTTAATTAGTCGTGTAATTCGTTAAATAAATTATACTTAATTAATTATTTAATTAGCCTTGTAATTTTTTAAATAAATTATAGCAAATTAATAAAATGATTTAATAAAAAAAAATTAAGTCAAGTAAATTAACGTTAATTAATTAAATAATTAATTCGTGTAATTCGTTAAATAAATTATAGCAAATTAATATAATGACTTAATTTTAAAAAATTAAGTCAAGTAAATTAAAATTCGTTAATTATTTAATTTCTGAAATTTTTATTTCGTGGAAGTATTTTTAAATAAATAAATAAAATTAATTATTTAATTAGCCGTGTAATTTGTTCAAAAAAATTAATTAAAAAAATTAAATTTAAATTTGAATCTTCTGTCACGATATTGTAAATTTTTGTGCAACTTCAAATCTGAAATAAAGTGTCCAAAAAAAAAAAATTGAAAAAAAATTTGAAAAAACGGATTTTTGTAATTAAAAATAATTTTTTTTTTGTTACAGTCGACAGAAGCGTGTTTCTGATCAAAGACTGGCGGAACTTGAAACACTAATGGCATTGTCAAGACTAAAGGGAAAATTAGTCACAGTGCCTGTGGGATTTGGCCGAGTTGATCCTGCAAAAATGTAAGTTCAAACAATTTTTTTTTCATTCTATATTTTAATTCTTCTTTCGTATTTATTATTTGTTTTAAGAAGTCTTGAAATAAATTTTATTCAGGAATATTTTTTTATTTATTAAACTAATTAGTGAATAATAAATTGTTTAATAATAATCAATAATATATTGAATAATAAATAAATAAATTTTACTAGGTTTTTATTTATTTATCTAAATGGTGAATAATAAATTATTTATTAATAAACAATAATAAATTCAACAATAAGTAAATAAATTTTTTTCAGAATATATTATTTATTTAAGGGCATTTGAACCTTGATGACGTTACAGTTTGTGCAAAGCATGTGTGACGTCATCAAGGTTCAAATGCCCTTAACTATATAGTTTTTTTTTATTTTTTTCTTTATTTAACTAAAATTTATCAAAATTTATTTAAATTTATTTAATAAATTATTTATTTAAATAAATTTATTTTAAACTTTATTTATTTAACTAAATGGTAAATAATAAATTGTTTACTATTAAATAATAATGTATTCGATAATAAATAAATTATTAGTAAATTTAATTTAATAATAAATAAATATCTTTATTTATTTATTCAAGCAATATAATTATTACGAATTCAAATTAACAATAACAAATCAAAAATAGTAAATATAGTAAAAAAAAAATAGTAAAAAAAATTTTAAAAATACTTGCAAGTAAATTTTTGACTTTCTACTAAAAGATAGAAAAAAATTTTTAAATGTTTTCGGAAGTACAGTAATTAATAATTCATAAAAATAAAAATTGATCGGATGTATATTGGCGGTAAGTGAGGGTTTTATAAAAAATGCAAAAACTCATATCCGGCAACGAGTGGAAGCAATGAATTTTCCCTCTATTTTTTTCTTTTTATTTTGCAAAAAAATTTCTTTGTACATTACTATTTCCTATTTTTGCGGTAATTTTATTTTTTGCTCAAATTTCTTTTTTTCTTATATGTATATATTTCTCGAGATAAAAAAAGAAAAAGAAAAAGAAAGTGTGGGTGTAAATTGGTTTGCGTTTGAGAAAATTTTAGCTAATACACTCAGTCCATTGGAATGAAAATCGCGAGCATATATAGGGCGCGATTGTATACAAATTTATATAGGGAGAACATTTCAGGAATTACTCAGTGATTCACGTGTAAATAATTCATTCACAAAAAAAAACGAAGCCCGAATTCCTATATACATAGAAGGAAAAGAGAAATTTTTTGTTTTGTTAAAAATTTTCCATTGACAATTTTTTAATCAACTTTTTTCTTCTATTTTTTTCTCCTCCGGAAATTTTTTGTTTTATGGAAACGAAAAAATTGAAGAGAGAATTTTTACATCGTTTTTCAAAAAATTATTTAAATATTAATTACTAATTATTTATATTTTTTATTAATTATTAATTAAATACGCAAAGGAATTGTTTAAATAATTAAGTTCAATTATTTTTTTTCTCTAATTTTGTTTTTCGAAAAGGGAAAAATTATGGAGGGAATTTTTATATTTTCGAAAAAAATTAAGTAATAATAATTACTAATTAATTATATTTTTTTATTAATTATTTCTTAGAAATATACAAAAAAAAAAAAAATTTTCAAATAATTAAGTTCTATTATTTTTCTTTTTTTTCAAAATTTATAAAAAATTTAAGGCAGAATTGTTTTAAAATTAATATTTATTATACTAAATAAGGAAACATTAAGGAAATAAAATTAAATAATAATACTAATTAATTACATTATTATAACAAATAATAATACTTTAGAAAATTATTATTCCATTACTTTTAAATTTTGTTATTTAAATTAATTAAATGGATTATAAATTTAAAATTATAAATTTTAATAAGTAAATAAGTAGATATTTTAAAATATTGTTCCTTATATTTCCTAAATAAATAAATAAATAAATATAGTAATTTTTGTGTTGTTTTTTAAAGGGTTTTTGAAATACTTTTTCTTTCTATTATATTATTTTTTTTTTTTTTTAATTGAATCAGATAAAAATTATTTTGAGTGTAGGTGTATAAATTTAAAAGGATAAAATACTTAACGTATTATATATATATATATATAATGTAATATATTTAATGTCAATAGCATTTCTGCTTAGCATTTGAAATTAATAATTCCAGATTGTTTAAAATCAATCCATTAATTGCTAATTGCTCGCGTGTTTTTTTTTTACCGGTCCTTTTATTTTTAATTAATTAATTATTTATTTTTGGATTTTTAGGTTTTAAAATTCTAATTTTCGTTAATTATTTATTTATTTAACAAATATGTGCAAAAAACATTGTTTTTTGTTTATTTACTATTCTTTATATATAAAACTTTGTTTATTATTTTTTGTTGTTTAATTTTTTGATAATTATTTATATATACTACTTTGTATATTTTTTTCTAATTTTTAGGTAATTATTTAGATACTACTTTGTTTATTATTTTTCTATTTAATTAATTTATTTATTTATCTACTGCTTTGATTTATTTGTTTAATTTATTTTGTTAATTATTTAAACACTACGTGGTCTATTATTTTTTTTGTTTAATATTTTGATAATTATTTATACACTACGTGGTCTATTATTATTATTTTTTTTGTTTGTTATAATTTTTTCGTTATTATTTATAAACTGTTTATTATTTTTTCAATTCAGTTATTTTTTTATCTACTGCTTTGTTTAGGATTATTTTTTTATTTAATTTTTTGTTTATTACACGACAAAATTTCTTTTTTTTTTTTAACGTTTTTCATAATCTTTTCGTGATTTAATTTTATGTATAGATTTACATTTTCAATCTGTGACAATAGGTTTTTTTTTTGTCGTTAATATCAGGAGAAATTTCATATTATACTGTTTGAGGCATGTAAACATAAAAAAAAATTTCAATCCTGATTGAAATCTTTTGACAAACTGATGCAAATTTTTATATTTATTTATTTTTTCGTTATAAGTGGGAGAAAAATGGTTTTTTAAATTTATAAAATTCAATTTATCTATACACACAAATTTTACATGTAAATTTTTTTATTTTTATTTATTTTTTTATTTTTATTTATTTTTATTTAAAAACAAACAATTAAACAAACAAAGGACGTAAAAATTATTTAATTTATTAATTTATTTATATTTAAATAACTATTTAAACAATAGAAATAATAATTATTATTATTATCATTATTATTATTATTATTATTATTATTATAATTAAAATAATAATCCGTACCAGTATTGATTATTATTTCAAATAATAAACAAAGTAGTTGTATAAATTTTGTCAAATCATTTTAATTAAATAACTTGTAATTCTCTTAAAATTAATATGTGTTTCATTACAATAGTGAGTAATTTAATTGAAAATATTAATTATACCAATAATTATAATAATAGCAAATAATAGCGAATAATAAATAAACAATAAATAATAAGAATCTAATTATTTACTTTTAATTGTACGATAATTGATTTTATATAGAAAAAAATAATTATAGATATTTTTTTTAATATAGAAATGAAGATTAAAAGATGAGAAATAAGAGAATTTTTTCTACTGGGAATTTAAAAAATAATAATTCACTTTCATAAATGAATAATTCGCAAAGGAGATAATTAATTACAATTTTACAAATTAGGAAAATTCGTTTTATACTTGAATTACTTTTAATTGGTATTTAAATTTACTTTTAATGTTTAACTTTCAATTGTCATGAATAAATAATTTTGAATGAAAAGTACTTTTATTTTTTATTTCTAATACTCTGTCATTGAAAGAAATTATTCTTAAAATTTGTTTTTTATTATTAAAACAATAAAAATAACAAATAATTATGCACTATTATAATAAATTATAATTTTTATTATTATTAATTAATTATTTTTTAGTTTAGTTTAGTTTAATTATTTATTATTAATAGTCCACGCCATTCGGCTTCGGTTTCGGAATTTTACTAAATTAATTAATTAATAATAATAACTAATAATTATAAATTTAGTGTAAAATTTGTTAATTATATAATTTACAATTTCGATAAATAAATCTTAAGATTTATTTATCGAAATAATAATAAATAATAAAATTGAAATTCACGCAAAAGAAAATTTTCTATTCTCCCGTAAATTTTGCCCGTGTTTGGACTTAATATGTGAATTAATACGGAACCATCTATTACAATAAACACAATGTATTTTACAAACTTTGAGAATTTAGAAAATGAAAAATGATCGAAAAATTTTCTCAACTATAAAATAGCTTTCAAAATTATATAAATAGGGAATATAAACAAAAAGTATTATAAAATAAAAAAATAATACAAGGGAAAAATATTATAAATAAATATTTGTTATTAAATAAATTTGTATTAATTTTTTTCTCCAGTTTGCAATTTTTTAATTATTTAGAATTTTTTCTAATCTTATAAATTATAATGGATAATTTATAAGTAATTTATTAATTATTAATATGAGTCATGAGTAAAATGAAAATAAAAATAAAAATATAATAAATATTGATAGGTTGATTAATTATTTATTATTATTGTTTATTAATATTGTTTTGATTAATTAGGACAGTTTACAATAAAGTATTGTTTTCATAATATTGAATACAAGTTTGAATACTTTTTTTTTTCTCTCTCTCTCTCTATCTTTTTTAAGAAAAATTGAAAAAGTTTTGTCTTTTCACGAAGGCGGAAACCTTTTATAAGAAAAGTTTTTATATTTTTTTATTTTATTTAGTTTTTTTTTTTTTTTTTTTTTTTTTTGAAGGAAAATTTGCAGACAATTGAAATGCATTTGTCAAGGATAGAAATAACAGGGGTAATGCAACGGAAAAGCGAGTCCCTAACAAGTTTATCAGTCCTCGAGAATATATTTCGAATAAATTTCTATTCTATTCAGTGTCGCGTTACTGTACCGGAAATTTGTTTACGATACTTGAAGAGATGCGCAATGCACTCGGGGAATTCCTTATAAATATACACTTTTCCATCATGAAGGAGTAATGAAGCTTTTATTTTTTATATTTATAACTGCAAAAAAAGAAAAATTTATGAAATCACTGTGTTTGTATAAGTATAACAAATTTGATGCTAATTTTTGAAATATTTATTTACAGTCTTCTCTCGATAATTAAAACTTTCAGTAGATTTTTATTATTTTGAATTTTTATTTACCGTTATCTCTCGATAATTAAACTTTTGATAAACTGTTATTATTGTTATTATTATTTAAATATTTTTTATTTTGAATTTTTATTTACAGTCATCTCTCGATAATTAAAATTTTGATAAATTGTTATTATTATTATTTAAATATTTATTATTTTCAATATTTAATTACAGTCATCTCTCGATAATGAAACTTTCGATAAATTATTATTGTTTTGAATTTTTATTTACAGTCGTCTCTCGATAATTAAAACTTTCGGTGAATTTTTATTTACAGTCATCTCTCGATAATTAAACTTTCAATAAATTATTATTATTATTATTTAAATAATTTTTATTTTTATTATTTAATTACAGTCAGCTCTCGATAAAAGAACTTTCGATAAATTATTATTATTATTATTATTATTATTATTATTATTGTTATTATTATTTAAATATTATTTATTTTGAATTTTGATTTGCAGTCATCTCTCGATAATAAAACTTTCGATAAATTATTATTATTTTGAATTTTGATTTGCAGTCATCTCTCGATAATTAAAACTTTCGGTAAATTATTATTATTGTTATTATTATTATTTAAATATTTTTTATTTTGAATATTTAATTACAGTCAGCTCTCGATAAAAGAAGTTTCGATAAATTATTATTATTTAAATATTTTTTATTCAATATTTTTTATCGAGAGTCGACTGTATAAAGAAAAAATTTTTACTAATTTTTTCTTTAAATTTGCAAGAATATTAAAAATATTTGATAAAGTTGCGATTTTTTGAAATTTAAAAAAATGTAGAAAAAAAATGATGCACCTTTATGGAAAATATTCTTTTTCATTATAAAATAACGAAATTGAAGTTTTTTAAACTTTTTTTTTCAAATTAAAATTTTTTATGACTTCTAAAAATTAAAAATCATTTTATCAAATTTTTTTTCGTTTCTGAATAATGAGTTTGTTTTTAACTATAGAAAAATTATAAAACTCATTCAAGAAAGTATGTGCCAATTTTGTACTCGCACATTATATAGGAGAGATAAAAAATGAAAAGTAAAAAACTTTGTTAGTGAACTCCGAGATTTTCTCACGCCTACTAAAAAAAAGAAATTTTGTTATTGAAAAAAAAAAATATTCGCATTTAAACAGGAAAATATTTCTTTTAATTATATATTTTTATTGAAAATATTTAAAAATATTTTTATAAATATTTTTCAAAATATTACTTACATTAAAAAATATGTTAATAATTTTACCTCTATTTTATTAAATAAATAATTTCAAATTAATAATTAAATTATTACAAAATGTTAAATAATAATAAAAATAATTTTTGCAAATTGATAATTTTATTTTTTTAATTAAATTTTAAATAATTTTAATTAATTTTGATTAATTTAATTAAATTTTAATTAATTTTGATTAATATAATTAAATTTTTATTCATTTTGATTAATATAATTAAATTTTTATTCATTTTGATTAATATAATTAAATTTTTATTCATTTTGATTAATTTAATTAAATTTTGATTAACATAATTAAATTTTTATTCATTTTGATTAATTTAATTTATTTTTTACTAATTTTGATGAAAATACACTCGACTAAAATACACAGGAAAAATACACTGAATAATGAATGGAGAAAAGCAAAAAAAAAAAAAAAATGAATTAATTTGAAATTTTTTTAATTTTCCTAAAACGAATTGAAGTTTGAGATGAGGGTGCGGAAGTGAAAAATAAAAAACGAGAGAGAAAAGAGGAGGGGGGGGAGAGAAATTTTCGGAGTGATTGATTTAAAGTTTTGATAAATTGTTATCTTGAAGATTCAAGAATGGCATTTCCTTCGAAGAGATTTATGCGAAACTGACCTTACATCATACAAGGCAAAGCAGAAAACGCGGTCACGACTATAGAGTCGAGATCAATGAAATGATTCAGAGAGTTGTTTAAAATTCAGTTGACTTCTTTTTTTTCTCCCCCTCTCTCTCTCTCTCTCTCTCTCTCTCTCTCTCTCTCACTGATCAGCTAATTAAATTTCTTTGCTGGATTAACTTGTTTCATTGAACATCTTTACGTGATAAATCTTATTTTCCGCATTCCTTATTCTTTTGACCCTTCCACCACTCTCTTTATTCTTCGTTTGAAAATTCATTCTAATTTATTAATTTTCCTAATTTTTTTTTTTCACTTTCTATATTATTTCTGGATTGTAATTTTATTTAATTTTTTTAAATATTCATTAATTTTAATTTTTTATCTTTTTTTTCACTTTTGATATTATTTCTACAAATTAAAAGTTCATCTGAACGATTAATTTTCGTTAATTGTTTTTTTTTGCACTTTTGATATTATTCCTAGATTATAATTTTATAGTTAATTTTTTAAATATACATAATTATTTTAATTGTATAGTAATTTCAAATATTTTTGGCAATTTTTTTTCTGTTTTTTTTTTTTTAATCAAAAATTTCGGGAAGTTTTCTAAATGCTCGTCATCGTGTTTTTATCACTAGAAATAAATCTTTATTCTATATATGTTTTCTATTCTAAACAGAAAATGATATAAATAATCGTCGTGGCTGTTAAAAATAATTAAGTTTCTTAAAATACAGTAATAGTATTTTATCAAGTAGCCAAATTTAGTCCTTTGCCTTTCTCCATACGCAAATTTATAAATGAATCACATTTTTAGAATAGAAGAATCGAACTTTGCTTTCACGTGGGCGACATTTAATATATTAATAATGCAATTTATTTCACTACCCGCCTTTGTATAGAGAATTAGAAACAGTTTTTTTTTTTCATTTTTCTTTTTTAATTAAAATTTTTCAAATTCTTTAAATTCTTTTTCAAAAACAAAAAAAAACAAAAATTAAAAAAAAGTAAAAATAACAAAAATAAAAAAATAAATAAATAAAAAGCATAAAAAGCATAAAAATAAACAAAGTTAAAATAATGAGATTAAAAATAAAAAAAAGGGTAAAATAAAAGAAGTAAAAATAAAAAGTAAAAATAAAAACAAAAAACATAAATAAATAAAAATAAATAAGTAAAAGTATTTTTTCATCGGAGCGAAAAAGTTACTGCTGAGTAAAAATACGAAAGAGTTAAATTAGATTTTGTTTTTAATAAAATTTGAATTACATATTATTCAATTAATTAATTAAATAAAAAGTTAATGCTGACTAAAAATACATAAGAGTTGAATAAAATTTGTTTTAAACAAAATTTTAATTACATTTTTTAAATCAAATATGAATTAATTGTTAATTAAATAAAATTTTTTGAAATTTTCTTTAGGACAAGAGATATTTATTTATTTGTTATTATTTTTATTTATATTTTTATTATTATTATTTTTATTAATATTGTTTTATTATTATTATTATTTAGAAATATTATTGTTTATTGTTTATTAATTTATATTGTTATTCATTTTAATTAAAAAAATTTTCTCTTTTTTGCTTTCAGTGGTCGCAAACGACGATCAAATGCTGGAAATGATTTTCAAAGATTTCAACGCTTCTTGAGAACTATTTCGGAATCCGAATTGACCGATGATGAGAGTAAAGACATATTTCCTGCGTCTTGGGTACGTTTAGAAAATTAATGTTTACCCAAATATTTAATGAAAATAAAATAGAAAAAAAATAGAAAAAAATAGAAAAAGAAAATAGAAATAGAAATTAAAAAAAGAAAATAGAAAAATGAAATAAAAAAAGAAAATAAAAAAAACAAAACAAAAAAAAACAAAATAAAAAAATAAAATAAAAATAAAATATAAAATAAAAAAAGCAATAAAAATATAAAAATGATATAAAATTAAAAAAATAGAATGAAAAAATAAAATTAAAAATAAGATAGAAAAATAGAGTACAGAATAAAATAAAATAAACTAAAAATTAAATAAAAATGAAATACTTAGAAAAATAAAATAGAAACCATTAACAATTTTTTGAAAGTGATAAAAGACATTTAGTCTACAATTTGCGTACCCAAGGGGTCAAAGGCCATTGTTTAATGAACACTAACTTATCAATAATTTATTTAATTTTTTTTTCATTATAATTAATCTTTCAATATTTATAATTTAGACGAAGTACTTTGATTTGCTAATAATAATTATGGCACGTTTTGCCTGATGCAAACGCTTAGAGTAAATTATTGCATCATTAGGATTAGAAAAAAAAAAAAATTACAATCTCATTCATTCATACGTCTTTCCTTTAAAAAGTCATTTATTACTAAAACAAAGTTCGCCTTTTTTCAAAATTTTCCTAAAAATTTTATATTTAAATAAATAATTTTGTCTATTTTTTCTGCTCATCATATATTGTATTTTTCACATTGAATTAAATTAATTAATAAAATACAATAAAAATGAATTTTTAAAAAATAATTTTAAATTAGGAAATTAATTTTGTTTTAATTAAAAATCGAATTTTTAGTTTATTTAAATTATATTTCAATTAAACTAAATTAAATTAAATTGAAGTCAAATTTTATTTAATTGAGTTCAATTCAAATGCAATTTAATTTGGAACTGAAGTTCAATTTAAATTCAATTTAATTGTGATTGAATTTCAATTCAAATTGAATTTAATTAATGAAATTATTAATGTGAAATGGAATTGAATTTGAATACATATTTAATAACAAACTTAATTGAATTTGAATTAAATTTGAATTACAAATTAAATTTGATTTACAAATTAATTTTAATTTGAATTAAATTTGACTTATAAATTAAATTGAATTTGAGTCGAAATTCAATTACAAATTGAATTACATTTGAATTCAACTAAATTGAATTAAATGTGAATTGAATTAAATTCAAATAAATTAAATTGAGTTTAATTGGGATTCAACTAAGTTGGAATTGAATCTGAATTGAATTGAATGGAATTGAATTAAATCTGAATTGAGATTAATTAAATTCAAATAAATTGAATTCAATTTGGATTTAATTAAATTCAAGTCAAATTGAATTAAATCCGAATAAAATTGAATCTAATTGAATTAAATCTGGATTTAACTGATTGAACTTGAATTAAAACTGAATTAAATTGAATTAAATCTGAATTAAATTGAATTAATTCTGAATTAAATTGAATTGAATTGAAATTAAATTGAAATTCAACTATGTAAATTCAAATTGAATTGAATCAAATTGATTTCAAATAAATTTAATTAAATCTAAGTTACATTCAAAATAAATAAAAATTAAATCCAAATTACATTCAAATAAATTAAATTGAATCTGATTCGAATTAAATTAAATGAAACTAATTAATATTATTTAATAACCAGAACATAATTTAATAAATTATTTTTCTCCTCAGTTCCAGAGAGACGTGGATAATCAGCTGGGCGATGAAACGGATGACCCTCCTCTCTTTTTTAATTAAAAAAAAAAAAGAAGAAAGCACGAGAAGCAAGAAAAATCGTTAATAAAAAGACAAAAATGATTTTTAAAAAATTCGTGAGAGGTTCTTAAAAAAAAAAAATATTCTCACCGCCCGAACAGTATTAGCGGATTGTCTGCCGTCCGAACTTGAACTCAATACTGAAGTTTAATTTCACATTATTTATATTATTATAGTAAAAAATTAGGCAAAAAAAAAAAAAAAAATTAGGAAAATTTTGTTCAAATCGACTCTTGTAATCTTGGAATCAATTTAGTAATATTTAGCAAAATGAAATCCATACAATGATTTTTGATTGTATAGAAGATAGTTTGCGACAAAATTCACAAATTTTCTAATAATGAAAATTTTACGTAATTTTTCCACCGACAAATTTATTAATTTTTTTCGATTTTCGATTTTTTTCGTAATTAACAAAAATTATTGTAATTGAAAAAAAAGTTCGAGAATGTAAATTTCTTTTTTTAATATTGAATATTAAAAATTAAATATAAATATATTTGTATTAAATTAATATAAATATTAATATAATATAATACAGTATATTTATATTTAAATAATGTTAAAAAAAAAAATAGAAATATCAATATTGAAAAAAAATAAATAGCATAATTAGTCAGTATTTCTGGACAAGATGTCATAGACGCATTGCTTTAGTTAAATTATTATTATTTAATTAGCAATTTGTATATTTATTTTTTATTAGTATTTATAAGTAGTCAATATTAAATTTTACAATCTAGACGAAAGATCTAATTTGACCGAATTTAGTGTTGGTACAAATATTTTTTTTCAAATGAAATTTTTTTCACAATTTTACTAAAATATTGAATTAATTTTCTTTTTTATTTAATTTATATGTCGTAATTTTCGTTTACTTTTTAATTGAAAAATTGAATATAAAGTGATTTTTTGGTAATTCTAATTAAATTATAATTAATTAATGAAAATTAATTAAATTATAATTAATTAATGAAAATTAATTAAATTATGAATAATTAATAAAAATTAATTAAATTACTATCACATACAGTTTACCTCATTAAATTATTACTGAAATCTACTAACAATTGTAAAACTTTTTCTGTACTTACTATAAAATGAAAAGAGAACAAAAGTCTTGTCAATTTTTTTAGTGCGTTGAAATATATATTATATCTAATTAATGTAAAAATCATCGCAATTATGTAGGTATATTAGATAATTTTAATTATTTATTTATTTAGTTCGCAAAAAAGACACCATTGAAATTATATTATTACAAAAAAATATTTAATTAATTATCAGAATTTTAATTAAAAAATTTTAATTTAAAAAATATCGATTTAATAAATTTTAATTAATAAATGTTATTTTAATAAATTTTAATTTTATAAATTTCAGTTTAATAAATTTTAATTTATTGAATTAATAAATTAAAAAAAATAAAATTCTTTGCATAGGGGAAAAAATGAAATATTTCTCTGTATTTTAATATTTATATTTCAATGATGTCTTTTCTTGCTATTTTTTAATTGCAAATGATTTTTGGAATTTCTTGAAAGCTGTCAATTATTCCAAAAAGAAACAAATACAATAAAATCTGTAATAAATGTTTTTAATTAATTATCAATTGAATTATCAAGTAATAATTAATTGAATTAATTGAATTGTTATTAATTAATTGAATTAATTAATAGTTATTAATTAATTAAATATTAATCGATAATTAATGGAATTATTAATTAATAATTAGTTGTTAATTAATAATTAATTGAATATTAATTAATAAACAATTTGAATATTAATTAATATTTAATTAAACATTAATTATTATTCAAAAGAAATATTAATTATTTAATCAATATAAATTGTTCTGAGGGAACAATTAATAGTTCTTCGAATGTTAAGAAAATATTTTCAATGTGTAACTGAAGGTAGAAAAAAGCCAATTAAGTATTGAATAATTATTAAGATAATGTGAAAGAGTGGGAAATATGAAATGCGTCATAAATTTGAAAGAAAAATGTATTCCTAAATTTTTAAGTGCGACAAGTGTTCATTTTAGTTGCTCAGTGTATTTAGTTTAATTATTTATTTATTCATCCATTTTATTTATTGTCTTCATCTATCGTATTCATGTAATAATTTAAATTTATTTATTTTTAACATTTATTGTCACGAATGTTCGTGCAAATTCGGATGCAATAAAAATAGAATCCTCTAAAATTGTTTGTAAAATTATTTTTTTCCCTATCAACTCATTTTTTTTAATTTTTGCAAAAAAGAAAAGTTGTTCTTATGCAATTCTTATTATTATTTTATTATTATTAAAAGTGATTCTTATTAATAATAATTATTCAATTCTTATTAATAATATTAATACAATACGAATTGTTTAATAATAAATTTATTCCAATCAGTTTTTTATTTAATAAAAAATATTTTTTCTTTTTTAAAAAAAATGCCCCTGTGGTAGATCTTTTTGTCAAGCTCGGGTGTATACCAGTATTACTCCCTATTTTTCTCGAATTATTAATTATTACTGAAGAGCTCACAATACTTGTGAATAGTAAATAAATAGAACTTAAGTTTTTTAATTCAACCCTAACAAATTTTTTCCAAATAGTTCATTTTTACAGACCAATTTTTATTTATTTATATTAAATAAAAAGAATAAAAAGTAATAATAAAGAAAGGGTTTCTAGGAGACTTGTTACGTTCCTATCGTACTTTTTAGTATGAAAAAAAGTCAATTTTCCAACGTAAAATTTTTCTATTCTATCCGAAATATTAATGTTCGGTTCCATTGTTATAGATTTGAAATTTATAAAAAAAATTTCACAAGAAAGGTAATAATTTTTTTGATTTTCTTCAATAATTAATTTTCGAAATGAAAGAGGCCCGACGGGGCACCAGGGGCACTAATCACGCTCCTGAAGTTCTTTACTCCAAAAGTGCAAAAATCATCCGCTAGATATCGCATCATTAAAATTGCAAAATGGCGGTCGTAGTGATGTCCGCGGAGTTCTTAATATATGAAAAAATTCGATAAAAAGGGGTGTGTAAAATGTGTGTGATCCTGAGATCGGAGGCCCTCGACTCAGGAATGCATCCGAGACTTGGGCACATGATTCCCGGGATCATGAACTACGACAATGTTATCAATGACTAAAGTATCGCATTTTTCATCAAAGTATACATAATATAAATGTCTACGCTGTAACAAGAAAAAAAACCCAAACGTAATTGAACGTAAAATTTCTTTTCTTTTTTTGTGCACATCATTAAAATCGTGAAAATAAAAAACAACCACGAGGACTCAAACGAGAGCTTTGGGGGAGAGATAACCAAAGAGAGAACACTCCTCGTCGTCGTGCATGTGTGTCTGTGTGCGTGTCGTCATAATAGTTTGTGTTGTTCAAGTATTCACCACAGTGCACAAGATCATTATTATCATCATCATTATCATAGTGTTTGTGTTTTTATTTGTGTCTATGATTTTTCTTTTTTCTTTATTTTCTTTTCTTTTCTATTTGGTGAAATGTTCTCGTCGCCGGCGTCCGTGGTCGGCGAGCCGTCTGGCTATGATTTTGAGAAAGAAGAGAACGCTGCCAAGTGGAAGGGAGTGTTTGTCAACTCCCTGCGCAAGGTGTGTAAAAACAACCACACTCACACAAATATTCATCCTCCCTATGCTGCATGGACCTTCACTCGGGATTTTATATTATATATATATACACACATACATATATAGATTTGTGTGCGTTATTAGAAAATTCAGTTTGACAAGTATTGAGTTTTATTGGGATATGTCAAAGTTGAGTCTAAAGGGGGACAAGGTATAGCCAAAACCAATTATTGATTCGTTTTTTTTTATTGTTGCCTCTTAGAAACAAATAAACGGTGTTTTTTCTCTAAACAACCTTTGTTTCGAATTTTTGTGCGAAAAAGAAATATTTTCTTCGCTGAAAGTGTGAGGGTGCTCTTTTACTTTTCCAGTGACTGTCAATTTCAATTTCTATTGGAAAAAATTACTTAACCTCTTTTTTTTTACCAATTGAAAACTCGATGAAAAAGTCAAGTGGTGAATTTAGATTGTAAACTAGAAATGAATTATCAATAATCGTATTGTTGGAATTGGATATAGAATGTTTATCTCCAGCTGTTGGTGATGTAATGTTTAATATTCTCTGAAAAAGGGGCAATTGTTTATCTTTTCTTTTTTCTTTCCACTGGAATATTTATTTTTACTTCTAAACAAAATTTGTATTTTTATCCTATAGAGAAATATTTCTAAAAATTAATTTATTTATAACATTTTTCCAGGCAATTATAATTATGGGAAAAAATAATCGTAAATTTGATTTTTTTCTTGTAAATCGTCCTTCTTTGGGAAAAAATGTCTGTTTACAAAATGTATTTACAGAGAAAAACAAAAGAATTTTTTAAAATTTCTTTAAGCAAAAACTTTATGTAAATTTTTTTTGTTTTCTTTTGGTTTTTAATTTAAATGGACAGATTTTGATGATTTTATTTTTTTTTAGGTATTGGAGCAAGTTCATCCTAGTCTAGAAGCTCGACAGGACGCCTTAGATTATGTTGAGAGTTTGATTTTGAGAATGTTGGGCATGCTCTGTGGACATCCACCTCCTCATACACCTCAAGACGTTGAGGAAAGAGTAAGACGTACATTTCCTACTCCAATTGATAGATGGGCATTAAGAGATGCAAGAGATGCTCTAGAGAAAGGAAAGAAAAAATCGCCACTTGTTCTTCCTGTTGATAAAATTCATCAACTTTTGCAAAAAGTAAGCCATCGACGCAAAAAAAATCAAATTAAAATTTAATTTCTCTTAACATTAAAAATTGTGTTCCTAAATTTTTCAAAATTCAAATGAACGTCGATATTTTTTTCCCCCCCTCTTTTAACTTGTATTTTATTAGAAAACTTTTTTTTTGCATTTAGAAAAATTAATTGTTGACTAAATTTAATTAATTAATTTACATTCCTTTCCATTTTAATATAGAGAATTTTCTTTAAAATATTTAAATAGAAAGAAAATTTCGTTTATTTGAACTTTCAAAACTTTATCAACATTAAAAATTGAACGTTGGTGTGAAATTTAGAAACGTTTATAATTAACGATTTATAAGGAAAATTAATTTTCCATTTTTGTATAATAAGAATGTTTTACATATTTTTTTGTATAAAAAAATGTTTTGCACATTTTTTTCTATAAAAAGAATGTTTTTCATATTTTTTTGATTTTAAATTTGTAAACAAAACATTTTATTGTTTTTGTAAAGAAAAATATATTTCTCTTTCTTTTAATTGTCGATCATAAACGTTGTGAACTTTACCGATGTAAATTGAAGTAAAACGAGAAAGTATTTTTTACAGACATTGACCATTTTTGCTAATTTTAATCAAATAAAACGGATCCATAAATTTTAATCATTCAAATTAAGAAAAAATTTTGCTAATTTAAATATTTACCAAAATATTTGATTGAAATAAGAAGCAAAAACAAAATTGAATATTTAGAAACTTTATATTTTATTTTTTTATCACGAGACGCAAAATTATTGTAATAAAATTTTGAATTTGAGGGGGAAATAAATAAATTTCGTTCAAAGTGTTTAATTTAATTTAATAATAATTTTAATTTCGAAATGTTTAATTTACGGTTTTTGATTTTTATTGCAGTCAACATTTTCGAAGAATATTTAAATAAAGTAAAAATATTTCGTTTATTTGAACGTTCATAATTTATTTTTGTACTTAATTTGGTAACATTTTCTAATAATATTGTTATTTTTCATTAACAGGAAGTATTACAGCACAAAATTGATTCTCAAGTCAGTCTTTTTGTCGTCGGGGTACTCGAATATATTTCTGCTGATATTTTAAAGGTATATTTGCAAAAAAAAAACTATTAAAATTTGTAGGCTGAAATAAGAATTTACAGAAATTTGTTTTCATAACGAATTTATTCATCTTATTTTGTAATTAATATTGTAATTATTACAATATTAATATAGTAATTATTACAATATAAATATTGTAATTATTACAATATGAATATTGTAATTATTCCAATATTAATTGCAAAATAAAACGGAAAAACCAAGTATTAATTTCATAAATAATCTGAAGTTAATTAGTTTTTAATTAGTTTATGATTAATTATTATTAATTCATTTATCAATAATTATTGTAACACTAAAGAAAAAAATACGTTTTATTCTATTAATAGAATTATTTTTACGATTGAAGTAATAATAGAAAATTAATAGTGTAAAAATAATTATTTTTTAAAAGAAAATTGAAATTAAAGGCAAAAATATTTTTTTTTCAGTTGGCTGGTAATTATGTCAAGAATATTCGCCACGTTAAGATTTCCTGTGAGGACATAAGAGTTGCGATGTATGCAGACATGGTAAATGCTTTTTCCGAAATTTTTAGCTTGAACCGTGTTTTTGTTAAGCACATATCAATCGATTTACACAGTATCCTTCGTTATGTGCAGTCTTGCTTCAAGGATAATTCGAAAAAAGCGTCTATTATTTTCCTATTATTTTTATTTTGTATTTATTTTTGTATTTATTACATTTGTTATTTTCATTATTATTTTATAATTTTTATCAAAATATTCTTATAACTTCCTTTATATTTTTTCAAATATTTTTTTACTTTCTGTATTTTATTATCTTTTTTATTTATTTAAATCATAGCTCTTAATCGCAAGAATTTTTTTTTTATTTGAACCAAAAAAATATAAAATAATTTTATTTATTTGTTTTTTATTGTTTGTTATTTAATTCAGTATTTTAATAATTAAATAAATTATCTTTATATAATTTGTAAAGAATATTGATTAATAAATTTAAAACTAGAAAATCATTTTCTTTAGTGAGGTGAATTAGGAAACAGAATATTAATTCGCAAAGTTTCGAATTAAACTTGATTGCAAGACTTATGTAAGATATGATAGTGTAGTTCGAAAAGCATCATTTAGAATATTGGTCCAGAAAAACAGTCCTTGCTTTAATAAAGGTAGTTCCAAAGAGAAAAAAAAAGAAAATAAATGTATACGGTACCTTGCTAGTACTAGTAGCTAATTTTGAATATTCTAATCAACAGACAGGATTAGAAAATAAGTGAAAATCAATAGAAATTTTCTAATAAATATTGATTTGAAAAATAAATTTCAAATTAAAATCTTTGAAAATTTGAACTTTTTATACTTTTAATTAGGAATTCTGTAGAATTAATTTTTCTCAAAAAGTTTAATGGAATTTTTTTTAATTATTTGAAGTTTTTAATTTCTAATATGTATATTTAATTGAAGAATGACAGAATAATCGAAATTTCGTAAAATTAAATTATAAACAAAAGAATTTGAAAATTCACAAAGAACTTTTTCAAAAATTATTTTTAAAAAATTGACTTAATGAAGAATTTTCGTTTTAAAAACCTGGAAAAATTTCGTTTTTCAATCTGGAAAACCTGGAGAAGTCAGGGAATTTGAGAAGAGCAAAAGCGTGGCAACCCTGATAGAAAAAAGGAAAAATTGAATAGAAAAAATGTTAAATAGTAAAAAAAAAGAGGAAAAATTGAATAGAAAAAAAGTTAAATAGTAAAAAAGAAAGAGGAAAAATTGAATAGAAAAAAAAGTTAAATAGTAAAAGAAAAAGAGGAAAAATTGAATAGAAAAAAAGAGAAAAATTTCCTGGGCTAATAAAAATTAGTAAAAAAAATTGAATTCATAATTTATTTTTTTTTTCTTTGGTTTATTTTGGAATAAAACTTCTATTGCTAGCAACGGGTGCATTGGTAAATTTCAGAATATGCCGATTAGCTACGCTAGACTAGTCACAGGCTAATTGTGGCTGCATATGTTCTCTGCTTGGTTACATGCTTTCCACTAAACATATTAACAACACCAACCATGTTCGTTCTTCGCTCATGCCGTTCTAGGTGGTACGTACATGCGAAGACCCAGATAAAAAAAAATTAATAAAATAAACCTCACAAAAAAAAGTATCTTTCATTACGGTGTCTTTTTTGCAAGAGTCACGTTTTTGTTTTTTCATGTTTCTTCTCGTTTTCTTTTTTTTTTTTTTTTTTATTATGGCCGTTTTCGGCATGGTCACGGATCGCGATCCGGATCACTAAGTATCCAATCACAGCATACGAAAAGTGATCCAGATCGCGATCCATCGCGATCCGTGACCATGCCGAAAACGGCCTATATTCCTTGTTATTTCGATCGTATTTTTCTTAAATGTCAATTTTCTTCTCTTCTTGATGGAAAATGATTTATCTTTTTGAAAGTAATATTTTTTTCTCTCTCAAATTTCATAATAAATTCTTTAAATTCTTCAAAATTCTTTAAAAGAAATTCTCAAATTTATTTAAATTTTGTTTTGATAATTTTAAATTGAAAGAAATTTAAAATAAAGTCTCAAATTTGTTTCTGAAAATTTTAGATTGAAACAAATTTGAAATAAAGTCTCAAATTTATTTTAAATTTGTTTCTGAAAATTTTAGATAAAATTTAAAATAAAGTCTCTTTATTTTAAATTTGTTTCTGAAAATTTTAGATAAAATTTAAAATAAAGTCTCTTTATTTTTACATTGCTTTGAAAATTTTAAATTGAAACAAATTTTAAAATACTGAGACTGCAAAATAATTTTTCGAGTTTTATAATCAATTTTCTTGTAAATTGTAAAAAATTTTATTTTGCTGTGAGTTGTGAATCAAAAATGTTGCTAATTTTTTTTTTTTTTTGATTATTTAATGAAATTAATGCAACTTGATTAATTAATATTGTTGACGAGACTTTTCATTTTTGTGAAAAGAACAAAAAAAATATCTGGGATACGAAAAGTGGAATTTTATTTGTGAAATATTTTATTTCTATTATAGTCGTTTTTGTGTTCTTTGAAAGAAAAAAAAAGAATTTTTCTTTTTTTTTGGAGAAACCCTATTTTTAATTCTACTTCTGTAATTTTTTTCTTTCTCTTTCGTAATTTTTCTTTGGCAATTTATTTCTTATTTAATGTTTTTAATTTAGAAATAATTTGATTTCTCCAATAATAATAATGATAATGATAAAAATAATTATAATAATACTTTTAGATAGGCATGAAATTAGGCGTCCATATTTCACGCACGCAATGAAATAATATTGTATACTTAAAAGTACAGTTCTTTGCTTTTCAGAAAATGCACCTTAGGTATTTCTCTAGCATCATTGACTTCTGCCAATTTATTTACTTGCAAAAGTGATTTCAACAAATTTTACTTTCTACAAATTTTGATTTCAAAAAAATATTTTTAATGGAGTCGTTTTACTGTTATTCTCTCCAAATTTCGGAAAAAATTTTTATTATTATTTCGAAATTATTCGTTTGTTAAATTAAATTTTTATTAATTTGTTGTTTTGATTTTTTTTGTTATATTTATAATAATAAATTTATTTGTATTTTATTTTACAAAATTTATTATTAATTAAATTTACTTTAAAAAATTGATTTATGAACTGTTTTTACAAAATTTATTTGTAATTTACTTTTACAAAATTTATTTATAATTTATTTTTACAAAATTTATTTGCAATTTATTATTATAAATTTTCTTCGTAATTTATTACTATCTACAAAACTTATTTGTTAATTTATTATTATGAAAGTATTTGTAATTATAAGAGGAAATTATTTTCTTCTTGACATATTTTAATATTTATCTATTTATTTATTTATTTATCTATTTATTATAATATTTATAATTTATTTATTTATTGTAATATTTATTTTGTATAACTGTAAAAAATTGTTTTCTTATTTTTCTATTTTTATTTTTGCTCTTTTTGTATTATTACACTCTTTTTCATATATTAATTATTATTTTTCGTAATTTATATTGTTATTTAAAAAAAATCTTTATTGATTATAATGTTTTTTTTTTCTTTTTTTGATGTCGTCTATTCTATTTTTATTCTCATATATTTTTGTAGTAAAAAGAAAATATTGTAGACTCTAGAGTAATTTGCTTGCTACTATTTTTTTTATATTTAATATGAAAGTGTTTTTTTTCTCTCTCTCGTATTTTTGTAATATTTAATTTATGCAGTTTGATAATTTTAAAGGGAAATTTATGGTAATTTTTTCGATTTTTAATTGACAGGTACTAATGGACATGTTTTACCAAGATGATTACACGGAAGGTCCCCAAAGCAGTTTAGGGGCTGGGGCTGTCGTGTCTCAGACGTACGAAGAGTCCGTTAGAGATTTAATTCACGACGAACGGCATTATTTGCGCGATCTCCATATGATTATCAAGGTATTTTTATTTATTTCGATTAATTAAGTTTATGATTTAAAATTTTTTTTGGTAATTTAATTCAAATTAATTGCGTCTATTATCAATTTTTTTTCCATTAGTAATTTTTAATTTGTTTTTATTAATTTATTTTCTATTCAAAAAGTTTGATTTCGTTTTTAATAAAATCTGTATTTTAAGTTGGAAAATATTTTCAATTTTTTAAAGTATTTAATTTTCGATAGTACTTAAAAATTTACTAATTGAAAAATAAAAATTTACTGTAATTTCTAGTAATTAATTTGTCTTTGTTATTTTTATAAATACAATTATTGAACTAATTTCTATTTCTGTTTTCTGCTCAGGTGTTTCGAGAAGAATTAGTGAGATTCACACGAGACAGAAGTGAAATCGAAATACTATTTAGCAATATTATGGATATTTATGAAATGACTGTGACTTTACTTGGAAGTTTGGAAGATATTATGGAGATCACGGAAGAGAAGCAAACGCCAACTGTGGGTTCATGCTTTGAGGAATTAGCAGAGGCGGCAGAATTTGAAGTTTACAAGACGTAATTATTATCAATTAATATTTAATCTAATTATATTAGAATTTGAATAGAAATAAAAATATTGGAGCAAAGAAAGTAAAAATTAAAAATAAAAATAAGATTTAATTTAGATAGATTTCAATTACTGTAGAAATAAAAATATTTGAAGGAAAGGAGTAAAAATTAGAATAAAATAAAAATATTAGAATAAAAATAAAAAGTATTAACAGGGTTCCTACAGAATCTGGAAATCATGGAAATGGTATGGAATTTTTAAAAGGCTTCTGAAAATCAGGGAAATCATGGAAAAGAACTAGAATTTTTAAAAGTTTCTATATTTCTCCTGTTTCCCATTTTTTCTCTTGAATAGAAATTCAAATAATAAAAAAGCTAAATAGCATAAAAAAGAAGAAAAAAATGTTGAATTTTAAGAAATTTGGATTTTTCAACTTTTGATAATTTTCGATAATTTTAGATTTTTTACCAAAGAGTCGAGACTATTTAATGAGTAAAGTATTTTCCAAGAGCACAAAAATAATAAAGCTAAATCCTATAAAAGAGAGAAAAAAATGTTGAATTTTAAGAAATTCGGATATTTGAATTTTTGATAATTTTCGATAATTTTACATTTTTTAAAAAAGAGTCAAGACTATTTAATAAGTAAAGTATTTTCCAAGAGCACAAAAATAATAAAGCTAAATCCTATAAAAGAGAGGAAAAAATGTTGAATTTTAAGAAATTTGGATTTTTGAATTTTTGATAATTTTCGATAATTTTAGATTTTTTACCAAAGAGTCGAGACTATTTAATAAGTAAAGTATTTTCCAAGAGCACAAAAATAATAAAGCTAAATCCTATAAAAGAGAGGAAAAAATGTTGAATTTTAAGAAATTTGGATTTTTGAATTTTTGATAATTTTCGATAATTTTAGATTTTTTACTAAAGAGTCGAGACTATTTAATGAGTAAAGTATTTTCCAAGAGCACAAAAATAATGAAGCTAAATCCTATAAAAGAGAGGAAAAAATGTTGAATTTTAAGAAATTCGGATATTTGAATTTTTGATAATTTTCGATAATTTTAGATTTTTTACGAAAGAGTCGAGACTATTTAATGAGTAAAGTATTTTCCAAGAGCACAAAAATAATGAAGCTAAATCCAATAAAAGAGAGAAAAAAATGTTGAATTTTAAGAAATTCGGTTTTTTTGAATTTTTGATAATTTTCGATAATTTTAGATTTTTTACCAAAGGGTAGAGACTATTAAATAAGTAAAGTGTTTTTAAAGAGCCCAAAAATAATGAAATTAGATTTAAAATTCCACTGGAATTTCGTAAACAGTTGACCTGGAAATCATGGAAAAGGTATGGAATTTTAAATTCGGATTTCTGTTGGAATTCTGATTATTAGAATAAAAAAAGTTGGGACAAAAGAAATTAGATTTAATTAAATTAATTAGATTTTAATAAATCGAGTTTTAAAATTGATATTTTGTGGAAAAAATGCCCGTGTTCGTGTAATTAATAATTTTAAATTGAAATTTTACAGATACGCTAGAGAAATGAATAGTTCGGCTAGTCGAGAAATTTTAACGAGACTATTGTCGAGGCCAGAGGCAAAGGATGGTCTACGAACCGCTGGACACGGTTTCAAAGAAGCTGTCAAATACTATTTGCCAAAACTTTTAATGCAACCAGTTTGGCACTGCTTTTTGTATTTCGATTACATAAAGGTAAATTTTTTACTTTTAATTATGCTCATAAAGTTTTTTAAGTTCAAATGAACGACATTTTTTTACTTCTTAGTTTGCATTTTGTTTATGAAGAAAAAGATTATTTTTTATCTTAAAGGAATTGAATAATGATAATAACAGGGCTCGAACTAGGTCCGTAAATTTGCTTGAAGTCCGTAAAAGTCAGTTATTTTTTTTTAAAAAAAGGTCCGTAAAGTCCGTAATTTGATTGAGAAAAGAGACAAAAAATTCGTAAATTGTACGATATTTTGAGAATTTTAGAGAAATCACAAATGATTTAAGAAATTCAATTATTTTTTGAAAATTTAAATAAAATTCTTGGCGAAATTTTAATTATTTTCAAAAACTTTTATATTCAATTATTCAATAAATTATTTATTTTTGTATTTGAATAATTAAATTCTATTAGAATTTTCTAATAAAAATTTATTTAAAAATGAATTTCAGTTAAAATTTGAGATAATAATTGAATATTAAAAGCAATATAGCGTGAATTCACTGATTCGAGCCCTGTAATAAATAAATTGAGGGGAAATTAATTTTTGTATTTAATTTCCGCAGGTATTACTTGAACGTACACCAAATTCCGAAGACGGAGAAACCCTCGAGCAAGTTCAAGGCGTTCTCAGTCCACTGAAAACGGAATTAACAAAAACTGTTGCGAGTCTTCCAATTAAAGATAGCGGTTTACGAATGCAAAGTCGAGCTCGTAGGCAAGCAGCCCTTGAAAAAACGAGCGAACTTCAAAAAACTGTTGACGGCTGGGACCAAAGAGACGTTGGCCAATGTTGCAATGAATTTATCCGAGGTGATTAATTAAACGATTTTCATAAACGAAAATAGTATTTTTATTTCAACTAGATATTAATACTAAAGTTCTATACTTTAGTATTAATATAGTTGAAATTAAGAGCTCGGGAATAATAATTTTCGTTATTTGTAAATTGTAATTAAATATTTTTTTCTTTTTCCCGAACAGAGGACATGTTGGGAAAAGTGGGAAACAATGGCCGAAGATTAACGGAGAGACGAGCTCTTTTATTCGATGGTTTACTCGTCCTCTGCAAACCAAGTGGAAGCAAAAGAGTGAGTGTCAGTGTTTCGGGAGTCAATGTAGGAAGTAGTCATCCTGCTCATCAGGGAGAATTGCGTTTAAAGGAACGCTTCTTCATTCGAAAAGTGGACATTATCGATCGTGAGGATACTGAAGGTGATAAATTTTTGTTTTAAGGAAAAAAACAAAGTGATTAATTATTAAATATTAGAAAAAATAAATTAAATTGAAATAATATTTTAATTAGAACTTAAAGTTTTTAAATTCTTTTTTTTGTTTGTAGAGTTGAAAAATGCCTTTGAAATAAAACCAAGGGACCATCCGAATGTAATTCTCGTGGCCAAATCGGTCGAAGACAAAAACAGTTGGATGGCTGATCTTGTGATGCTCAATACAAAAAGTATGTTGGAGCGAACATTGGACAGCATTCTCTTGGACGAGGAGAGGAAGCATCCATTGAAATTGCCCTCACCTCATTTATATGAATTTGCCGAACAGGATAGTTCGGAGAATATTGTTTTAGAAGCAAGGGAAAATGGCGGTGTGCCACTCATTAAGGGCGCGACCCTTGTTAAATTAGTTGAGAGGCTCACCTATCATATTTATGCCGATCCAGCATTTGTCAGAACATTCCTCACAACTTACAGGTATAAAAAATTATTTTTCACTGTATTAGCGAAATAGTTTTCAGTACTTCAATTAATACTTTTGCTATTCTAGAGAAACTTATCGCTGTTTTAAATGAAACTTTTTTTCCGTGTGTAATAATAATTATAATTTTAAAAATTTTGTTTTCTCTCTTACAGGAGTTTTTGCTCTCCTCAAGAATTGTTAACGTTGTTAATAAAACGATTTGATATACCCGATCCATCATTAGTGTACGAGGAGGAAGACAAGCCGACAGGCTGTAAAACAATAGCGAGAGAAGACTGGAAGAGGTACAGAAAAGAATTCTGTCAACCTGTTCAATTTCGTGTTTTAAATGTTTTACGACACTGGGTGAGTTTATTTATAAAAAAATTATTATTTAGTTTTATTATTATTATTTTGTGAATTAAAATATTTTAAAAATTTTCAAATATAAACATCAATTATTGAAAAATTACAGATTCAAAATTTAAAGAATTCACTTATTATCTATTATTAAGTACATAAATATAATAACATTCTTTGGAAGAATTGAATAATTTTTTATAAATAGTAAAATTCTTCGAGGGATTCAATTATTTTCATACATATTAAAATCCTTCAGAGGAATTCAATTATTTAGAATAAAATTCTTAGCAAGAATTTAATTATTTTTATAAATATTAAAATATTTCGTAGGAATTCAATTATTTTTAATACAATTTTAATAAAATTTCTCGAAAGAATACAATTATTTTTTAAAATATTATTATATTAATTGAATTCGAATATTTTCAAGAATTTTAATATAAATTCAATTATTTTTAACTATTTCGATAAAATTCTTTTAAAAAATAAATTATTTTTAAACGTTTTAATCAAATTTTTCAATTAAATAAAATTATTTTCAAAATTTTTAATGTAAAATTCTTTTAAAAAATGCAATTATTTGCAAAAATTCAGATAAACTTCTTTGGAAGAATTCAATTATGTTCATAAATATTAAAATTCTTTATGGGAATTCAATTATTTTCATAAATATTAAAATTATTTGGAGGAATTCAATTATTTTTAATACAATTTTAATAAAATTTCTCGCAAGAATACAATTATTTTTTAAAATATTAATTAAATTCGATTATTTTCAAGAATTTTAATGAAAATTCAATTATTTTCAACAAATTTGATAAGATTCTTTTAAAAAAGTAATTATTTTTAAACGTTGGAATAAAATTTTTCGATGAATTCAATTAATTTCAAAATTTTTTAATACAATTTCTATCAGAAAAATTTAGTTACTTTAAAAAATGCTGATACAATTTTTCGAAACAATTCAATTATTTTTATAAATAATAAAATTCTTCTTATGAATTCAATTACTTTCAATAGAATTTTAATAAAATTTCTCTAGCGGATTCAATTATTTTTAAAAATTGTGATAAAATTTTTCTAAAAAATTAAATTATTTTCAAAAAATTTTAATAAAATTCTTCGAAACAATTCAATTATTTTTATAAATAATAAAATTCTTCTTATGAATTCAATTACTTTTAATAGAATTTTAATAAAATTTCTCTAGCGGATTCAATTATTTTTATAAATTGTGATGAAATTTTTCGAAAAAATTAAATTATTCTCAAAAGTTTTTGATAAAATTCTTTGTAGATTTCAATAATTTAAAAAAATTTTCAATTATTTATTAATTTATTCAATTATTTATGTTAATTAAAATTAATAACAAAAAATTACATTATTTTTACGAAATTTAATGAAATTTTAAAAAAAATTTTATTATTTATAAAAACTCTAATGAAATTGTTTAAAAGAATTTATTTTTCTGTCAATAAGTATTTTAATATAGGAAAATTATTAATTGCAAATAATAATAAACACGATTATTTAAAAAACTTAAAAGAAATTCTTCATAAAATTCAATTACTTTCAAAATTTTGAATAAAAGTTATTAAAAAACTCTATTATTTTAAAAAAAGAATTTAAATAAATTCTTCAAATCAATTCAATTATTTTCAAAAATTTTAATAACATTCTTTGGAAGAATTCGATTTTTTTTAATAAATGTAATAATATTCTTTGCCAAAATTCAATTATTTTCAATACAGTTTTAATTGATTTTTCCCTAAAGAATTTAATTATTTTAAATAATTTTGATAAAATCCTTTTAAATGAATCCAATTCTTTTCATTTTTTTTTTTTTTTTTTTTGATAAATGCTTTGCAGGAATTTAATGATTTTCAGTACATTAATTTTAAAATTGAAAATATTTAAAAAGGAAAATTATTTTTTAAAAATGTTGAGAATAAAGAAGCAAACAAGAAGTAACTCTAAACTGCGAGCAAATGTTGGAATACAACGATTATTAATTTATAGATTATTATTATTTACGAAACCTCAAATAAATCTATTGGAAAATATTCGATTTTCTATGTGTGAATAATTTTTCAGGTGGATCATCATTTTTACGATTTTCAACGTGATCCAACGTTGCTAGAAAAATTAAAGATATTTTTGGAAACTGTTAGTGGAAAATCAATGAGAAAATGGGTAGATTCAGTGATGAAAATTGTATTGAGAAAATGTGAACCTTCGGAGCAGAGGCCAATTACGTTTAGTTTTGAACGTTCACCACCTCCAATTGAGTGGCATTTAAAAGTTCCTGAAGAAGAATGGGGCATTCTCACGGTAATTTATTGTTTTGAGAATTATTATTTAGTTTCTCGAAATATTCAGGAAAAAAACAGAAAATTAATTTGAAAAACTAAAAATTAATTTGCAAAACTGAAAATTAATGTGCAAAATTGTAAATTAATTGTAATAGTTTACTCAATAATTATTGTAAACTTGTTCTTTTTTTTTATTGTTTATTATTTATTATTATTTTTTTTATGAATCAATTTTCAAAAGAAAAGAAGAAAACGAGAAGATTATAAATTTTTCTGATAAATTATTTTGTTTAAATTACAGTTGCATCCTATCGAATTAGCGAGGCAATTGACATTATTAGAATTTGAATTGTATAGAACTGTGAAGCCTTCTGAATTAGTTGGTTCAGTGTGGACTAAACGAGACAAAGAAAAGACGTCGCCAAATCTTTTGAAAATGATTAAACACACGACTAACGTAAGTTTTTACGAATGGAAATCGTCTTTAGTTTTATTATTAATTTGGTTTTTTTTAATTTAGTAATTTCGTTTAATTAAATACTAATATTAATTTAATTTTCTTTAGTTTACGAGATGGCTAGAGAAGACAATAGTGGAGGCGGTAAATTTGGAAGAAAGAGTCGCTATCGTTTCGCGAGCAATTGAAATAATGATGGTGCTACAGGATCTCAATAATTTCAATGGTGTACTCGCCATTGTCAGTGCCATGGGATCTGCATCCGTTTATAGATTAAACTTTACATTTCAACAAGTTCCAAAGCAATTAAAAACCGCTCTCGACGAGGCTCGTGAATTAAATAACGATCATTTTCGAAAGTATCAGGAAAAATTGCGCTCTATTAATCCACCTTGTGTACCATTCTTCGGTAAGTTTTTATTATTATTATTATTATTATTATTATTATTATTATTATTATTATTATTATTATTATTATTATTACTATTATTATTATTATTATTAATTATTAATTAATAAAAAATAAAGTTAATAATTATAGGAAAATTTAATAAAAAGAATTGGTTATATTAAATTTTTTTTTCAATTTGCATAGGCATGTACCTGACCAATATATTGCACATCGAGGAAGGAAATCCGGATTACTTGCCAGGAAGTCCGGAATTGATAAATTTTAGTAAACGACGAAAAGTCGCGGAAATCACTGGCGAAATTCAACAGTACCAAAATCAGCCTTATTGTCTTTCGGTGGAGCCAAGAATAAGGCATTTCATTGAAAATCTCTCTCCGTTTGATCCGAATATGAAGGACGCGGATATTAGTAATTATTTGTATGAAAAAAGTTTGGAAATTGAACCGAGGGGTTGCAAGCAACTGCCAAAAGTTGTAAGTTTATTTATTTACTTTTCAATATTATTTATTTTTAAAAGTTAATATTTATTTGTATTTAAATATTAACTATTTATTTTTAAATATATTAACTATTTATATTTAAATAGCACAATTTACATGCTTTTTTTTTCTCTCGAAAAGCTAATTTTTCCTATTGAAGGAAAGAATAATGGGTAATTTTTTTTCCTCAGGATCGCAAATGGCCAAATTTAAATTTAAAATCACCTGGTATCAAGGCGAGAAGTTTAAGCGGTAAATTGCCAGCGCCATTACAAGCCATGGCTTCCAGTGTAAGATTACACGATCCACCCGCGGAAACTGCACCGCCTCCAGAACTTCCGGAAACGCCTCCTCATAATTCACAGGTGCCTCACACTGGAGATCACTGCGTTTTTGCACCTGTTATGTTAGGAGGTCTGTATTTTTTGAAATTAATTTAAAATAATATTTTTATTCCAGGACATTTAATTATTTAAAAAAAATTGATCAAATTCATCTACAATTCAATTATTTTCATAAATAATAATATACTTTTTAGGAATTGAATTATTTTCAAAAAAATTTAGTAAAACGCCACATAGACATTCAAGTATTCTCAAAAATTTTAATAAAATTCTTGGCAAAATTTCAATTATTTTTAAAAATTTTTTGCTTGGTATTCAGGACAACCGCCGGGTTCACCGGGACCTTTGAGTATGTCGGGTCTGTCGATTAGTTCACCAGGAAGTAGTCCCCAGTTGGGATCTCCTGGACACATGGCACCGCATCATCATCCATCGCAGAGTACTCTCTTTGGTTTCTCGCAGAGTTCAATTGGCACAATGAGTTCACTGTCGGGATTAACGGCATCGGGCGGCAGTCCTGGTGCACCAATGCCACCGCCGCCTTCGCCGAGTCACGTGAATCTCAGCCAACCTCCTCCGCCGCTGCCGCCACGATCTAATCGCCGAAGAGAAAGTTCCATTAGCGAATCACCCCATCAGGTAAAATTATTATTGTCCAAAGTGATAAATTAATATTAAAACGAAATTAGTGATAAATTAAATAAAAAGGAAAATGAGTAATAATTAATTAAATTGAAAACTAACTGAACATAATTTTTTTCAGGCGAGACAAGCGCCAAATGCTCCATTATTGCCACCTCGGGATGGCACATCTCCACCGCCCTTACCTCCTCGTAGAGATTTACCACCAGCCACTCTGCCACCTCGACTTCCGGCTACATTAAATCCAAGTAGCTCGGCATTATTAATGAGGCGAAATTCAAATTTGGAAAGCTCCACGTCCGCCGCCACTCACGCGAGGAGATACATGTCTGTCAATGGACCCAGTCCCACGAAACTTCCTCTTAATCAACCCAATGGTGAGCTGAAAAAATTTATTTAATTTTTAGAATTCATAAGAAAATTCGAAATTTTGCTGTCTTTTTTGTTCAGAGCTGCCACTGGTCAGGGAAAAGTCAGGGATTTTTTATTAAAAGTACTGGAAAAAATTTATTTTTATAATTTATAAGAAAATTCTGAATTTTTGGGTCTTTTTTGTTTGTCTCGTAAACTATGCAATTATCACACGAATTCTAATACAAAACCTTCGATTTTTTCTATTTCTACCAATAATTTCTTTTTAAATAACTTAATTCTTGAAGAACTATCATAAAATTATTACTTATTAATTATTTAATGAATAAAATTAATGAATTTTACTTACATATTTCAAAATTAATTAAATTTTAAAGGTTGCGTTGACAATTTTCATAAATTCTTCAAAATGCTTTAATTTTAAATTTTAGAAAATTTCAATTTTGAATGAATTTAATTAGAAAGAACTTAGATTTTTGCAAAAAATTTTAATAATTCAAATTCTTCTGAAATTAGTTTAATTTTTTAAAATATGTTTAATTTATTATTAAGAATAATTGATTTATAGAAGAATTTTAGTTAAAAGTACTAAAAAAAAAATTTAATTTTGGAGAAGTTAAAAATTATTTTGGAGAAATTCAATTATTTTCAAAAGTAATAAAATTTTTCGCAGGAATTCAATTATGTTCGATAATTTTAAAAAGTTCTCGTCAAAATTTCAATTATCTTTATAAATAATAAAATTCTTAGCAAAATTTTAATTATTTTATCAAAAGTTTTCCTCAAGTCAATAATTTTCAATATCTACTATTTTAATAACATTTTCCAAAAGAATTGAATTATTTAAAAATAATTTTTGATAAATTTATACTCAAAAATTTAATTATTTTCATAAATAATAAAAATTTCCCATGAATTCAATTATTTACAAATTTTTTTTTATAAATTTCTTTGCAATAATTCCATTATTTTGACAAATAATAAAACTTTTTAGTTTTTTACAGAGATTTAATTACTTTCATAAATAATAAAATGCTACTTAAGAATTCAATTCAATTATTTTTATAAATAATAAAAGTCAGCACAGAATTTCAATTATTTTTAATAGATACAATTTTAATCGAATTCCTTGAATATATAATTATTTTTAAAAATTTTATTAAAATTCGTCGAAAGAATTCAATTGTTTAATAATTTGTTGATAAACTTTTTTATGAGAATTCAATTTTAAGAAACATTTAATTATTCAATAAATTATATAATTTTGTAGTAAAATAATTGTAAATAATTGTAAAATTGAATTCTAAACAAATGGATTTGGAAATTCTCAAAAAGAACTTTTTGAAAAATTATTAAATACAATTGATTTAAAGAAGAATTGTAGTTAAAAATTCTAGAAAATAATAATTGAATTGAAATGATGGAAATAATTCTGAAAAAGTTACAGTAACAATATTCTTATATTATGAAGTAATGATTTTATCACACTTTTATCTTTAATTATTTTAATTTAGTGAATTTGAATGTTTTGAAAAATTTTAATTCCTGTGGAAAAATGATAATGATTAAATATTTATATAAAAAGGAAGTTCTTTATGTTTTCGAATAATTTTACGATTAAAGAAATTCGTAAATATTTATTTACGAATTTCTTTAAAAAAAAATCTTCTGTTTCATTTGTAATGGAACATTTTTTTGAGTATCTAACAATTTTTAAAGTGAATCAGAACAATCTTCAGGGTCAGGGAAAAAGTAAATATTTTGTCTGGAAATCAGGGAAAAACAAAATTAAATATTTGTGACAGCCCTGCGTTGTTAATTTTTCTTTTTTCTATTTAGCAATTTAATTAAAAAATTATAACACAATTTTCTCTTTCTAGGATCAGTAACTCCGAGGTTACCACCAAAACCTCTTCCTGGACGACCCCCTACAACTATGTTTAATTTCAGCTCTCCCCCCGGACCTAGTTAGAAAACCCCCTTTTTTTTATTTTGTTTTCTTATCCTTAGAATTAAAAAATATTTTCACGGGATTGATTTGTAAGATTATATTTAAAAAAAAAAAATATGAAGAAAATATTTGTCGAAGTCGTGTGGCGTATGTCTAAGAGGAAAGGCTTTGATGTTTGTAAATAGTAATGTTAAAAAAACAAAAAAGTTCCGGGCAAAGGACCAGTAAAATCAGACACGCACAAAAAAATTAGACCACCATGAACTTCGACTTAGGATCCTAAATAATATACTCGTTTTTCCTTCCTATTTTTTTATTGACCAGCAAAATTGGTGTCAGTGTTTTTTTTTGTCTTTTGAAAGAAAGTTTTTTTTGCTCTTTCAAGAGAAAAAACGAAAGAAGATTTTTTGACAAAAAATATCAAATGTGATGAGATGATGTTCATTACATTTCATATTCGCAAATATACCCGCACATTCTGAACAAACACGGCACAAGAAACTATTTTTTAGTATGAAAGTTTATTTTTTCAAATGTACAGACTGTTGTAAGATAAACAATATATTTTTAGATATTTTTTTTACAACTAGAAACGCATATAACCGATAGAAAGTAAGTTTTGAAAGAAAGATGTTTGACTCTTGTTTTTTGAGTCAATTGTTTCTGGTGCCTCTCTTTCTCATTGAGAATATTTTACATGTACACGCAGAGATGTTCCGAAAAATAGACTCGAATTTTATTATAAATAGAGGAACTAAGATTTTTTTGTATTTTAATCATTAATAATTGTATATTTCGAGTATAATTTTTATTCGATTTTTTAAGAAGAAGAAATTTATTTTCAGAAAGAAATTTTCTAATTTTTATTTTGAAAAAAATTTCTTTCCAGAAAGAATAAATTTTTTCAAAAATGAAAGTAAAGATTTAAAATTAAATTCCTTGTCTTTCATTTTTTTTTTTAATTCTCAGGTTCCAAAGACCTTTTTTTTTAATGTCAGATTGACTTTTATAAGTAAAAAAAATAAATGCTCAGTTTTTTTTTATTTTACGAGAGAATTTTCTCGATACTGTGTTATTAGAATTTACAAATGAAACTTGATGTCGAAATGAAGAATACATTTCATCACAACAATTTCTTGTCAAAAGGAAAAGAAAAATAGAACCAATTTTAGCTGTTATTTTTTTTCTAATACCAGAAAAATAGAATCGCTATCTCCCATTTTCATTTTTCCTTTGTCCCTTTTTAAAAAAAAAATCTATCCCTGAACACAACTGTGATACACTTTGAACGTGGATAAGTGAATGTAATTAGACGTTTAGAATTTAAAAAAAAACAAAAAGTAAAAATAAAAAAAAATTAATAATTATAGTTGGAAGAAAGTGCAGTATCAAATGAAGTATCGATAGCGCAAAAAAGAAAAAAAAATTATGTAAATGTATATTATAAACTATATTCTTGTCGATATAGGTATTGTAATAATGTTAAATTACAAAAGAAAACAAAAGTGAAATATTACAAGAAACAAAAAAGTGTAAAAAAAATAAAGAATATATTGTGTAGTATTTTTTTTCTGTTTTTTCTTCGTATCGTGAAAAATTTTATTGAATGAAGATTTTTTTTTAAGACAGCTTTATTATATAAGTCATTAAACGTATAAGGTATACAATTATTTTAAAAATAAATTTCAATTACACACCAATCATAGAACTAAGAATTTTTTCTTTCACATATAATTGGAAACCTAATTTAAAAAAAAAATCAATAATGTACAATAAAATATGTAGATAATTAATATTTACTTATTAATTTAATATCGTCATTAAATATTTTTATTTATCACATTTACAATATTGAGTTTCTTTTTATAAATAAATCTATTTATTTAAAATAAAAAATTTCTTAGTAATTTACGTATTTATAAATTAGTAATTAATTTTTTTCTGCTAAAGGATTTCTTTCTTTTTTGATAACTATTCCATAAAAAATAAATAAAATGGACTTCTATTTTTACATTTAAAAATATAATAAAATATGTAGATTTTCTACTCTTTCAATCATTCTTGGCGTCAGTGAATTAATATCGTACGATACGAGACACTTTAATTTTATAAAAAATATACAATATTTACAAGAGTTCCCATTTGTTTTTCTCTTATTTCAATAATTGACTCGTATACTTAATTATCGATTTATATTTTGCATTTTGGTTTTGTTAGATTCACTATACGATAATTTATTGTCTGATATACAAGTTCTGCTTCTTATGAATCAAGAAAATGGAAAACAGATTCAAATTTTCTTCTGAATTTAAATTTTAATAAAATTTTCATTCCTAATTTATTTTATGTTTAGTAAATTAAATTAATTTACTTGGAAATGAAAAAAATTAGAAAGTAAAATGTACAGGAAATTTTTTGGCATGAAACAGAGAAAAATTTGAGTAAAATATAAATATTCTTTTTTCTGGGGCGAAAATCAAAAGTTTCCTTGAGAAAATTAATAAAAATTCGACTTCAGTCGAATAAATGTAATTGTGATCTAGTTAGTTATCTTTTTGTTTTTTTAATTTAAAAAAATAGAAATTAATTTAAGTCACTTCCCAGACGGTGGGATTTTCACTTGCAACGTGATTTTTTCCAACGTCAACATGAGCATCGAGGCTATCACTAAGTTTACTGAAACGTCTCGCCCAACTGCCACGTCTTGGGCCCGGTCTCGATATTCCAGCTTCACGCAAAACCGAAACAAGATCCTCCTCATCTTCCTTGCCCTTTATTCCCTTCTCGAATCTTGCCTCCTGCGCCAATAATCTCTCCCTCTGCAATTGCGTTGACATTGCTTTTGGCACGGCTGGTATCACGTAACTCATTATTCCCGTCGAGGCAAATACCTAAAAATTATTTTCGTTTTTGTATTTTTTTATTTTTGAGGCATGTTCATTAAAATTTAGAAAATATACAATTTTTTGCACCAAAATAAATAATTCTCAATATTATTATTTTTTTAATAATTTATTAAAGAAATCTTGGTATTTATTTTGACAAATATTGTCAATTGGTATTTACAAAAATTTTTATTTTCAAATTTATATTTGTTTTCAAAAATTTTAATATACTTCTTCGTAATAATTCAATTATTTTCAATAAATAATAACATTCTTCGGAAGAATTCAATTATTTTTATAAATAGTAAAATTCTTCACAGGAATTGAATTATTTTCAGTACAATTTCAATTCAAAATTTCACGAGAGAATTCAATTATTTTTATAAATAGTAAAATTCTTCGCAGGAATTGAATTATTTTCAATACAATTTTAATAAAATTTCACGAAAGAATTCAATTATTTTCTAAAATTTAAATAAATCCATTAAAACAATTCTACTATTTTTTTAAATATAGTATAGTCTATGTAAACATTCAATTATTACTTCCGCATAGAGGAAGTATTTTTAATTATTTTGATTTTTTTTCCTTCTGGTTTTATAATCTTTTTTTTCTGCAAAATTCCTTTAAAAAATTCATTAAGTTTCAAAACGTTTAATCAATTTTTTGAAAAATAGTCAGATATCTTCTTTAAAACTTAAGAATTATAATTCCAAAATGCAATTACATATTTGACAAATAATTAAAGTAATTCTAAAATTGAGTTAATCTCAAAAATTCGATTAATTCTAAAATTGTCTGTAAAATTTATTTTTAAAATTCAATTATTTTCAAAATTTTTAAGAAATTTCTTGTAAAATATTAAATTATATTCTATAAAAATTAAAAAATGATACAATTTGTTTATAAAAATTTAATTATATGTCAATTTCTTAATAAAATTTTTGAAAAATTAAATTTCTTTTTATAGAATTTAAAAAATGATTTTAAAAATTCGAATTAAATACAATTTCTTTAAAGAATTCAACTATATTTCAAAATTTTGATTAAATTCTTAGCAAAATATAAATTATTTTTATAAATAATAACATTCTTCGTAAGAATTCAATTATTTTTATAAATAGTAAAATTCTTTATAGGAATTCAATTATTTTCAATACAATTTTAATAAAATTTCACGAAAGTATTTAATTAATTTTTTTTTTTTAATTTTTCTCGAAATAATTCAATTATATTCTAAACTTCTAGTAAATTCTTGGAATCAATTCAATTATTTTTAAAAATAGTAAAATTCTTCGCAATAATTAAATTATTTCTATAAATAATAAGATTATTCACAGAAATTCAATTATTTTCAATACAATTTTAATAAACTTCAATAATGAAATATTTTATTATTTTCATCACAATTTTAACAAAATTCCCTGAATGAATTAATTTATTTTAGAAAAATTGTAATAAAATTGTGAGAAGAATTCAATTATTTACAAAATTTTTTAAGAAAATTCAATAAGTAAGTATTTAATTTTAATTATTAAGAAATGCAATTATTTTTGAAACTTGAAAGAAATATTTCATAAAATTCAATTACTTTCAAAATTTTCAATTAAAATTGTTAAAGAAACTCCATTATTTTAAAAAAATTCAAAGAAAATCTTCTAAAGAATTTAGTTAGGATTTTGAAAAATTTTAATAAAATTGTAAAATTCTTCAAAATAATTCAATTATTTTTGTAAATTGTAAAATTCTTTAAAATAATTCAATTATTTTTGTAAATTGTAAAATTCTTCAAAATAATTCACTTATTTTAGTAAATTGTAAAATTCTTCACAAGAAGAAGATAGAAGATAGATTTTTTACTTGATTAAAAATTAATTAAATTCGTAATATTATTAAAAAATAAATAAATGGCCTCAATTCCAAAATAAATTTACTAAATAAACTGCTAAATTTCTTTTAAAAAAATCCTTTTTCCAAGAGGAAGGAAAAATTAAAAACTTTCAATTATTGAAAAAATAAACGAAAATTGAAATATAGAATAGAAAAATAGGACGTAAAAAATATTCTGAATTTTAATGAATTGTTAATAAAATTACTGGACTCACAACGTGTTCGAAAACGACGACAAATGCAAGACGTGCGGCAAAAACGTGCCAATATTGAGGACTGAATCCATAAGGATCTTTATGATTTGGCCCATTTCTGTAGCCTCTGTATTGGCACGTCGCAGGAACTGGAATAACACTTCCATCGCCGCCCATTCCTTCAATATAATCCGAGGTATTAAATTCGGATAATGAACTGTCAATGTAACCCCTCAAATCATTCGTTTCCGAATAAACATAAGCGTACACGGATCTGGGTATAAAATCCGAAGTATAAGCAATCACGAATGCCTGCGAAAAAAAAGACGACAATTAGTATTTACAATGATAAATTTTGTTTACTATTTATTACTTTTTATCAAAATAAATAAATAAATCAATAAAAATAAATCAAATAAATATAACAAATCAAATAAATAAAATAAGTCAATAAAAATAAATAAATCGAATAAATCAAATAACTCAAATCAAATAAATCTAATAAATCAAATAAAAATAAATAAATACTTATTCAAAATAGTATAAAAAAAATTTAAAGCTAGAAAAAATTGTATGTGAAAAACAATTGGTTTAATTCAAATAAAAAAATAATTTGATTCAAGCAAAAAAATTTTATTTTGTGAGAATAAAAAAATTATTTTACGAAAATAGAAAAAGAATTTATGAGAGATAATTATAAACTCACATTACTGACAACGGCCGTGTAGGTAACACCTTTTAAAATTCCAAACCAAGCTCCAATGTCTTCAACTCTTTCTGCCAAGGGTCTGCGAGCTTCCTTTATCATTTTATACGCGTCCAATCGAATCTCGCCGATATTATTCAAAAGAGCAAAAATTGGAGCCAACGGGAAAGCAGCAACAAACAACGTCACGAATCCGTACTGAATTACTGTAATTTAAGAAATTAATTAATAAATAAATAAATTAACTTTTAAATTAGCAATTAATTTAAAAATAATTATTAAACTTTCAATAAAAATTGATATTAATAATAATTAATAATTAATTAAGTAATTAATAATTATTGTAGAAATAAAAAAAATATCACGAATCCATTTGGAATTACTTTAATTAATAAACTACTAGTAAAAAGCTAACGAATTCAAATATAAAAATTAAAAAGCAAAATTTATCAACTATTTTAAAAATTAAAAAACAATTTCTAATTACCTATTCGAGAAATTGATAAGTCTCATGAATTAAAATTGAATATGAACACAATTATTGTAATTATCAATAAACTTCTATTAAAAGTCCGATGAATTCAAGTATAAAAAGTAATAAACAAAATTCTCTTAAATATTTAAAAAAAAATTAAAGAACCATTTTCAAATATTTTATGGAATTTAAAATATTTCACAAATACTCAATTACTGTAATTTAATAAAGAGAGTAAACGTAGAGAGTAAAATTTGACAAATTCGAATATAAAGATTGAAAAAGAAGAATATTTAAATTAAAAAATAGAGAAAATCTTTTTAATTTTTTATATAAAAAAATATTCGATAAGATAAATAAACTGACTCATTTCGAGATATTCTTCGAAAAGGCCCATTCTCCCTGGATCTTGAAGTTGATAATTTTGCTCCCAACTTGTATCGAGTCTATCGTGATCTTTTGTCGCCGCCTTGTGATTTCTCTTACGCCACCAATTCCACATTTTTGGCGAGAGAATTTCGAGAAAATTGTTAAATAATTGTTTGCCAATCATAATAATTGCGAGTTGAATGCAAAGTTCCGATAGACAGCCAGCCGGATCACAAACGTCATTTTTTATTCTATTAAATTCCGATTGCCTCGAGTGCAAATCGCCAGGATGGACGTAAAATCTCCCCTGTAAAAGTAAACATTTTTTTTTTTTCATTAACGTCAATGTAAATTATTTTTTTTTATTATTTACTTATTTTATTTCCTCCGTATTTTTATATTAATTTTTCTTATATTATTTTCAAAAAAATTAATTACATAATTCAATTATTTCTAAAAATTCACGATATATTGATTTTAATATTCAATTATTATCTAAAGTTTTAACTGAAATTCATTTTTAAATCAATTTTTATTAGAAAATTCTAATAGAATTCAATTATTTAAATACAAAAATAAACAATTTATTGAATAATTGAATATTTTTTAAAATTCAATTCCCAGAAAGAATTTTATAAACAAATTTTTAAATAATTGAATTCTTTCGACGAATTTTATAAAAAAAAATTTTTCCTGTGAAATTTTTATTATTTATAAAAATAATTAAATGTTTGCGTAGAATTTTATTAAAATAGTAGATTTTTTTTATTGAAAATCATTGAATTCAGGAAAAATTTTGAAAATAATTGAAACTTTGCGCATGAATTTTATTAAAAATTTGAAAATAATTGAATTGCGGAGAAGAATTTAATTATTTATAAAGATAATTGAAATGAAGAGAATTTAAAAAAATTTTTTGAACATTATTGAATTTCTGCGAAGAATGTCTGAAATTATTTGTAATTTCTCTAATTCTCTAAAAGTAATTTCTAAAATTCTCCAAATTGTATTGAACAATCTCCTAACTTTTCGTCTTTTCTCAATCAAATTACGAATTTTACGGACCTTTTTTTAAAGAAAATTAATTTTCAAATTTTTTAATCAATTTTAGTCAAAATTAATTCTTATCTAAGTAAAAATGTTCAGTTTACACTATTTTTTCAATTTCACTTGTTAAATTTTTGCAAAATAAATGAAAAAAGTTTCTTGATTAGAGCGTTCAGAACTTTGGGAAAATAGAAAAATTGAAATAAAAAGTTTACAATTTTCTTCAGATAGAAAATAAAAGAATTTTTGGTCGAACCTTAAAAAATGCAATGTAGATGAGAGAAGAGTAAAAGTTGACGAATTCAAACATAAAAATTTTGAATGTAAAACTGTCCTCGTATTCAGTTTGTGTTCGTGGATTTTCCAAATTAGTCATCCATCTCGCCATTCTTTGATAAATTCTCGTCAATATCATAATGACAATCAAATTAAGTAAAGCAGCAGTTGTGGCGGTGAAAATTTTCGTGTGCCTTTTCACGAGAGAATTGCCGCCTTTATAAAAAACTGGTACCAAGGAAATTCTGTAGATTATCGTTCCCAAAACTGCGGCAAGTACCACGCCAACCTGTCGACAAAACAAAATTTTATCCATCAAGTAAAATTTCTAATATTAATAATTAAATTCAAATAAGTTTAATTAAATAAAAATTATATCAAGAAAATAAATTAAATAAAAATTAATTGAAATTGAAATTAAATTATCATCAATTTAAATTGAAACTGAATTAAAGAATAAATTAAATTGAAATTCGATTAAATTAAAAAAGAAATTGAAATCAAATTGAAATTAAATTAAATGGAAAAAGAAATTGAAATCAAATCCTTTGATAAATTAAAAATTTAAATTTGATGATTTTCTTTCTTTTTTTTTTGCCTAGAGGCGATTTTGATTTTTTGATAGAGAAAAATTTTCTTCACCATGAAAAACACCATGGAAAATGTGACGGCAAATCTCCAGGCACGCGACCAAGCTGGCATGTAAGGTTCTCGTTCTCTCGTGACGGGATTTATTCTATAAGTTTTAACCGAAGCTTCAAATTCGGGTCTTGGTTCCTCATCGCCGTCAGAATTTTGCAAATCCCATTCCCACGCCAATATTGCTTGACGACGTTTCCACAATTCCAAAAATGTGGTTGCTGTTGAAAAAAACAAAAAAGTATTAGTATTTTAATTTTTTTTTTGTAATTTAATTATTTCTACTGTGTATTTAATCAATTCTTCAGACAAAAATAAATTAATTAATAAATAAAATAAATACGTCTTATTTTTAATTCTCTAAATCGATTTTAGTTTTCTTTTCTTCTCTCTTTTTTTTAATAAATTCAGAATATTTTTGTCGTCTTTTTTTTAAATTAAATTTAAGTCTTCGAATTTTTCTTTTGATCTTCTTTTTTATATTTTTGTCGTCTTTTTGTTATAATCAATTTTTGATTCAGTTTCCGAATTTTTTCTCTCTTCTTTTTCTCTTTTCCTCCTTTTTTTATAATAAATTCAAGATATTTTTGTGGTTTTGAATAAAAATTCGACTGATTTGTTGAAAAAAAAAAATTCTCACCCCAAAAGGACATAAAAATGGCAAAAAAGACAGTTGCTGGATTATCGAATAAATATGTCAGTCTTGAAAAAATACAGGAATCTTTCAGTTTTTGATAGGAGCACGCCTTATCACAAAGTGGACAGAGTGTAATATTTCCTGGAAAAAAGTTTGAAAATTACTAAATTGATTTTTATAATTGATTATTATAATTTATTTATAATTTAATATAATTTATTTTTATTTAAATTATTATTTTAATTACAATTTTTTTTTGTCAAATATTAATATTAATCACAATTTGTTTTGTTTTTTTTAATTTTTCTGTTTGTTTTGGTAGAAATAAATTTGCTAATTAAATTATTAAAATTACCTTCTTTAGATGCATCGCAGATTTCTCTGCTGGGCTGATTATCGTCGCTATTCATACTTGCTAAACCGTAAAAAAAACACAAGAGACCAACGACAGCCGGGGGATATAATGCCTTTGTATAAAATCCAAGCCACGCGAAGTAAAGTGCAACTTTTTCTCCAAAATATCTTCTAATTAGCCACAAAGGTTGTCTCTTGTACCTGCAATTATTTTATCATAATATTAACACCACTTTAACTGCATAGAAATATTTTCTAAAATTATTGTTAATTAATAATTGAATTGGAAAATATTACGCTCATCAAACTTATTATTATGCAAATTAAACGATTTTTTATTTTCAAATATCAACTTTGATTTTTGAATAATTTTCAGATTCATAAAAATTTTAAAAAATTCACTTATTAAATACAAAATTAATAATTATTGTTTATATTTAAAAAAATTAAATATAATTCTTCGAAATAAAAAAATTTAATTTGAAGATTAATTAAGTAAATTTCTTTCGAACGTTCGGAAAGGATAATTGTAAAATTTTCGAAAATAATAAATATTGATAATAATAAAATAAAAGAGTGATTTAAATTATTAACTTTTTTGAATTTGAAAAAGAAATAAAAAAAATTGTTTACCATTGTGATGGCCTGGCCCAAATAAGATAAAGTAAATATCTATCTAAAATCTCTCCGTTCGCCAATGGTTTATTGTAGGGCCCCTCGTGAAGTGTAAAACAGTCGAGATACGTTCCATCGGCAATGAGTCGTCTTATTCCTGCTTTCTCATTAACTTCATTGTATTTCGTTCGATGTAAAATTTGCATTACTATTAGGGATCTTTGAGCTGGAGTATAGGCAGTGTCCCTGTCTTTCACCACAAATCTAGAAAAAAGAAAATTTCATTTTAATAAAAATTATTATTTTCATTTTCCCAAATCGAATCTCCCGAATGCCGCAAGATAAATAAAATTTAAAAATTTAAAAAAGATTGAAAAAATAGAATAATTTATTAATTTGGTCGTTAAAGGAAAATAAGAAAAAAATTACCTTTCTTCATCTCCACTGTCTGTACTTGCATAAAAACTTGGCTCCTCAGGATATTTATTTGTGTCCCACATGTGAAATTTTCTTATTCTCTCCGTCCATTTTAGCCATTTTTCCCAAGGAGTCTTCTTCAAATTTGCATTTTCGTCTCCCTGTGAATTAAAGAAAAGGAAATTACTACATAAATTGGAAATTTATTATTACTAATTATTACTAATTATTACACTTCCATTTAATCTATACTTTAAATATTTTATTTTTAATTACAATTAATTAAATTGAATCAATTAATTTTAAATTATTATTATAATGAAAGTTTTTCAAGCAAAAAATTTTTTTTTGTAAATATTATTTATTTATATTATTATTATTATTATTTATATTTATAAATTTTAAATAATGAAAAATTAAATTTTAAAACAAAAAAAATGGCAAATTTGTAAAAATGAAAATTAAAAAAATAGAATTAAGAAAATGAAAGAGAGAAATAATTTTATTTTAAATATGAAAGGTCCTTTTATACAAGTAAAAATATATAGGCCTATAGTTTCAGTGTGGAATAATAATAAAATGATTCCTTCTATTATTATTGTAATCGATTTCTGCATATACAATATATGCCAGGCTATATTTATAAAAGAAACCCTCTTAATAATATTGAACTTATAAGAGAATCTTTATTTATACAAAACAGAAAAAATCACTAAATTTATGATAAATGCCGTAGCAAACGATAATTTTTTTTTTTTTATATTACACTTGACTAAAATTCATTTTATTTAAATCGTTTTTTCATTTTTTTTTGTTTCAGTTAAAATAATCAATATAAAATTATTCAAATAATTCAAACAATTAAAATAATTCAAAATAATAATAATAATCTTTTAATTAAAATTTTACTATTTTATTGGAAAAAAAAAATATTATTTCCGCAAAATATTTAAATTTTAGTGAAATTAGTAAAATTTACTTCGAACGTAATAATAATAATATCAATAATAAAATAATTGTTTTATAATAAAATACCAAAAGTAATAATATTATTTTCTTTTTTAAAATAATAAATAAATTTCCCCTTTTTGTTAAAACCGTTTTTTTTTTTCTTAAATTATTTTGCGGAAAAAGTGTCCTAAATACCTAATTACACCTTTTTATTATACAAAATATTTGATAAATAATTATAATGTGTATATGAAATAAATGATAAATAAAATAATAATTTAAATTCTAATACAGAAAAAAATTAATAAAATATAAATAATTTTAATATTTTTAATACAAAAAATTGAATGAATAAAATACTTTTTCTACAAAGAAAAATTAATTAAAAAATAAAAATTCAAATTCTAATATACGGAGAAAAATGAATTGAAACTTACCCAAGCTTTCACGGAAATGGTAATTAATCTCTTGGTTGGTAATTTAAGATTCATCAATTCGGCATACTGTGTTTTTATTTTCCATGGAATGTGTAGTTTTAAAAAATATGTTTTTCCATCGTATGACGATTCTTTTGGTTCAAGTTCACATTGTAGGCCTTCCTTTAATAAATTTTGTTCAAAAATTTTTCTCTGCTCTATTTTACGTGCCTCTATTTCAGTCATAACTCCCGCTGCCTCCTCTTGATACACCAAAACCATATCAATTCTCCGCCTGCCGTCTCTGAAATTTTTTTACAATTTTATTATTTATTTTTATTTTTTTACAATTAAATTAAATTAAATTAAATTAAATTAAATTAAATTAAAGTTTCATTAAAATCATAATGAAAAGTATTTTAAAATTTTATTAAAATCGTATTAAATTATTTCCAAAAATTTTAATTCAAATTATTAAAGAAACTTAACTTAACTTAATTTTAAATAATGCTAATAATTAAAATAATAATAAAATTCATTATCAAGTATTTTTAATTCTTTTTAAATATTATCCGCAATTTATAAATTAATTTAAATTCTTTTTGAATATTATTCAATTCTTAATTTTTAATTGTTCAATAAAAAATTGTTTAACTATTAATTAATTATTAATTATTCTTTATTAAGTTTAAATAATTATTTAAGATTTAATTATTAATTATTAATTGTTCATAAAAATTATTATTCTTATTTTTAAATAATTATTTTAAAAAAATTTTTAATAATTTTATTATATTTTGAATAAATATTTTTCGTGAAAATAAATAAAAGGAAAAAATTATTGAATTCTTACCTAAAAAATAGTGTTTCGACGTCATTCGTCGATGCGACGGATCCAGAGGCATTTCTTTTATTGATATCCTTGGGAAAATCACTATCAATCGACTCTGGAAATGGTGTTGGTGATTCTGGCGATTGACTATTTTTAATTGGTGTAAGCGTAGGTCCTGCCAACAAAATCTATTGCTGTAAATAAATATAATGTTGGCCCTGCGACAAATGATTTTGACAATATATTCATTTTGTTTTGTAATTACCATAATTTATTCCTCAAAAATTAAAAGAAAAAAATTACTCTCTTTGTAATAATATTAAAATTTGTTTTTTAAATTTTATCAATTTTATTAATTGACCTTTTTTTATTTTTTTTCATTATTGGTTCAACTATTGGACTGCAGGAATTAAATAAATAAATTAAATAAATTAATAAAATAAATAAATAAAATAAAATAAATAAATAAATAAATAAATAAAATAAATTTATATAATTTTTCTAATAATATTAATTAACCTTCATTTACAAAATATTATTTTTCCAATCGATTATTTTAAACACAATATGTTTCCTTTATTTTAATTAATAATAAATACAGGGTTATATAATATAGCTTCATTTTTAATTCATAAAATCTTTAAGTGTTCAGAAAGGTCAAGCTATTTTTTCTTGTACAGAATAATTTTCTTTGTTGATTTATAAAAACTTTTTAATTTCTTTATTATAACTAAGTGATGCATTTTTTACTATTATTATCATTAGATTAAAATAAATAATAAATAATATTCTATAGATAATAATTAAAATTTTTTTTCATCACAAATTATTATAAATAATATATATTTTTTAACAATTATTGTAAGTAATTATTTATAATTGTATTAATAAGTTAATATTAATAATAATATTACAACTTATTATTTTAATAATAATAATAATAATAATAATAATAATAATAATAATAATTTTCTTCACTATAAACTATGAATTGTTATTATTATTGTTATAATATTGTTAAATATTATTATAAGTAATAATAACGATAATTTATAATTGTCAATAGTAATAATCGTAATTTATTACAGAACAAATAATAATTATAATTTACCATACTGTAACTTGTAAATAAAGTGACTACAATTATTATGAGTAATGATAACGATTTATTACAATTAATTATAGCAATAATAATTATGACTGATTACATAATTACAATTTATGAAAATATTAAATAAGTAGAAGTAACAAAAAATTAGAAAAAAAAATAGAAACAACAATTTTTTTATACTTAATAATCATTATAATTTTAATATAATAATAAATAATAATAAATATCAATTAAGGGCATTTGAACCATGATGACGTCACAGATTTAAAACTAATGCTTTGCACAAACTGTGACGTCATCAAGGTTCAAATCCCCTTAATAAAAAATATTTAAATTAAAAATCATTCAAAAAAAAAAAAAAAATTCCTAATTATTTATTTAAATTATGAAAGTAATTAATTAATTAAATTATTAATTTTCAGGTGTAAGATTTTCATAATAAATATTATTATAATTTTTTTGTGTATTGTTAAAAAAAAAGTTTCTTTTTTATATTTAGAAAAATCCCAGGCACATTTGTTATTAATGTGAGGGAAAAACGTGACATGCTGACATTCATCTACATTTCTACATTTATATACCATCATTGATCGTGCGTTATGTCGATTCTATCTATATACTCTCTTGTCATAGACATACCTTATTGTCTATATTTATATTAGTTATGGATTAAAAAAACAATCTTTTTATAGTTCACTTCTTTCATTTTTACTTAATTTTCAATATTTTCTCTTTTTTTCCCCTACTCATCTAATTAGGCCATTCAATATGTATGATTAATTCAAGAAATTATATTTCCCTTTTTCTATTCATTTTATTTTCTCTAATTCATAAAATTTGACAACTTATAAATTCTATTTTATTTTCTATTCATTAATATTTATCGGAAACAATTCACTCTAAGTCGGTATATTTTCAAATAAATAAATAAATTTTTTTTAATAAATAAATATTTTTACTTTTTTTTAAATAAATAAATAAATTAACAATTTCAAAAAATTAATATTTAATTTCTTTTTTAAAATTTAAACTTTCAATGATAACAATAATTTAAATTTTAATACCTCCTGGAATTTTTTTTATCAAAAATTAAAAATCAAAAAATCAAAATTATATTCATAATTAATTTATTTATTTTAACAAAAAATTCATTTGTTTCGAAATATTTCTTAACCCTTTTGTTTAAAAAAATGTCGCGTTTATTGTCATAGTGTATTGTTTATATTATATAATAATTCGTGTAGAAAATATTGAAATATAATCAAAATCATTTATCAGGAAATTCAAAATTTCTAAAATCGAAAGCAATTTTTTCTTTCGTTTAAATAAAAGTCGAATAATAAAAATATCAACAAATATTATAAAAAAATTGAATTACAATAAAGAAAAGGAGAATAAAAATTAAAAATAAAAATTAATAATCAAATTATTAAAAAATAATGGAATATAAAAACTAAACAAAAATAAAAAACAATTGTTAATAAAAAAATTTTGATTTCATAAAAAATAAAAGCAAAATCAAAAAAAGTAGAATAATAATTAAAAATTACAATAAATAATCAAATTATTACAAAAAATTGTCCTACAGAAATTGAATGAAAATAAAAAACAATTATATTAATAAAAACAATTGAATTACAATAAAGAAAAGGAAAATAACAATTAAAAATTAAAATTAATAATCAAATTATTAAAAAATAATAGAATATAAAAACTGAACAAAAATAAAAAACCAATTTGTTAATAAAAAAAATTGAATTTCAAGAAAGAAAAGGAGAATAAAAATAAAAAATTGAAATAAATAATCTAATTATCAAAAACTAATGGAAAATAAAAATTAAAATAAATAATCAAATTGTTACCAAAAAATGAAGAGTAAAAATTGAACAAGAATAAAAAATAATTATTAATAAAAAATCATATTATTATAAAAAAAAGTAGAATAAAAATAAAAACAAAAAGAAATAAGAAAAACAATATAAAACCAAAGGAAAAAAATAGAAACAAAAGGAAACAAAAGGAAACAAAAAGAAACAAAAAGGAACAAAAAGGAACAAAAAGAAACAAAAAAAACAAAACAAAAAATTAGAAAAATAAAAAAAAATAAAAACAAAGTAAAAACAAAAATATAAATAATAATAGCAATAAAAATAAAAATTTATATTGATAATTAATTATATTATTTTTTAAGTAAAAAATGTAACTATTAAAAAAAAATTCATAAGCAATTTGAACTCACCGAAGGCTTCTCGGGCTGAGAGATTTCCTCCGAATGGAAAGACACTGGCCTTAGATATTCGCGATTGTGGCCGAGGACTTCCGGCTCCGGATGAACAATTGATGTTGCCTGTATATTTTTGGTAACCATTTTTTTCGTATTCATATGGAATATTTTTCGTGACATCGCGAATTATTGGATTTTTACTATCGTATGGAGTTGGCGGTCGATTATTATTATTATTTATTGTTGTGACGGAAATTATTGGAAATCGTCTATCCTCTTGATCTGATGTTCTTCTCGATGATGATTCTGATGATTCGTTATTTTTTTCAATATCACTAAATTGCGAATTTCCCTGACTATTCTCTTCTTCCGATGGACTCTCTTTATGATCTGATGTCTAAAATATACAATTTCACTTTTTTCCCCCTTTTTTTTTTTATTTTTATTATTTGTTTAACAATTTGCGATAAAAAAAAATCAATAACACACACGTGTAAACAAAAAATAATAATAATAAAGTGAAACAATAAAATAAATGATATATAGAAAATAGAGAGAATAGGGTGAAAAAAAAGTTTTTTAAATTTTGATAATCTATAAATTAAAAGAAAAAAAAATATATAAATAAAAATAATTTTTTTTAAATTGAATTATTATTTTATTTAACTCGAAATTTAACGGATTAGTAATATTTATTTATTTAATGATATTATTTAAATATTTTAAATTAAATAAAAAAGAGGAAAAATAAAAAACTTTTAAAATTATAGAATTCTGTAAAAAAAAATTTTTAATTTTCGTAATAATGTTTAAAATAATCATTATTATTTACTGCAGAAAGAGAAACGTCTCAAATTGTATGCGAAATTTCACGAATTCAATTATTGATAAAATAACGATTCATTATCAAAAAAAATAATTTAGTTTTATCGAAGTTTAAAAAAAAGCTTTTAACCACAAGAAAAGAGAAATAATACATTTCCGTTGAATTAAATTTTTTTTTCTACTTGAATTTTCAAAGTTTTTATATTTTTTTATATAAGAAAATTATTCATTTAATTAGACGAAGTAAGTAATTAATAAGTTTTCCAAAATTAAAATAGAAAAATTGTAATTCAAATATGCAAAAAAATATTGAATTAAAAAAATTGTCCTTACATTCAGAATATTATAAAAAAGAAAAACAAAAAAGAAACTAATGATAATCCCTGAAAAAAAATTAATGAACCAAAAATAATTTATTAAATGAAAATATTAAAGAAAAATGAAAAAACCAAAAAGGAAGAAAAGAATATACTCCAAAAAATGGAAAAACAAAACGAAAAATTGAAAATAAACAAAGAAAATAGAAATATTAAAAGAAAAAAAAATGTGGAAAGAATTGAAAAATAAAAAAGGAAAAAGTTATAATTACTCAAAAAAAAATAGAAAAACCAAAAAAAAAAATGAAAATCCCCCTGAAAAATGGAAAAATCAAAACGACAAAATTAAAATCCTCAAAGAAAATGAAAACTTTTAAAAAATTGAGAAGCAAAAAAGAAAAAAAATGAAAATAGCAAAAAAAGAAAAAAAACAACGAAAGAATGAAAATACCTAAAAAAAATTAAAGAACCAAAAAGAAAAAAAATGAAAATATGCAAGAAAATGGAAATTTTCCAGAAAAAATATGAAAACAATTGAAATAATAGAAAAACCAAAAATGAAAAATGAAAATTACCGGGAAAAAATTGAGGAACCAAAAAAGAAAAAAATGAAAATCCACCCAAAAAAGTGGAAAAATTAAATCGACAAAATGAAAATCTCTCCAAACAAATGAAAAAGAAAGAAATCAAAATACACAAAGAAAATTAAAAAATTAAAGAAAAATTAGAAACCAAAAAGAAGAAAAACTAAAATTACCCCAAAAAATCAAAAAGAAAAACCGAAAATCCCCCTAAAAATGGAAAATCCAAAACGACAAAATGAGAATCTCTAAAAAAAAAAGATGGAAATACCAAATGGAAAAATGAAAATCCATAAAAAAAATTAAAAAACTAAAAATAAAAAAATTAAAATACATAAAAAAATTAAAGAACCAAAAAGAAAAAAATTAAAATACATAAAAAAAATTAAAGAACCAAAAAGAAAAAAATTAAGATAAATAAAAAAATGGAAATTTTCAAAAAAAAAAAATGTAAAAACATTTTAAATAAAAGAAAAAAAACGAAAAGAAAAATGAAAATTCCTTGGAAAAACCAAAAATGAAAAATGAAAATCCACCTACAAATAGTAAAAAAAACAATGAAATGAAAATTCCTCAAAAAAAGGAAAAATTCTTATTTTTTTTCTAAAAATAAGAAAATTGAAAATAGCCAAAAAAAGATGGAAAACCAAAAAGATATGAAGAAAATTCTTCAAAAAAACGGAAAAATTAAAAGAAAAATACCCAAAAAAAAATGAAAATATTAAAGAAAAATGAAAATTCAAAATTAAAAATACCCAAAAAATAGAAAAACAAAATAATGAAATTTCCTTCAAAAAAACGGAAAAATCAAAGAAAAAAAAATAGTTTTAAAAAATGGAAAAACTAAAAATAAGAAAATTGAAAATACCCAAAAAATAGAAAAACCAAAACGATATAATAAAAATAAACAAAAAATGGAAAAACAAAAACAAAATAATGAAATTTTCCCAAAAAACGGAAAAATTAAAGAGAAAAAAATAAAAATATCTAAAAAAAATGGAAAATGAAAATTGGAAAATTCCCAAAAGATAGAAAAACTAAAACGGAATTATGAATTTCCCCAAAAAACGGAAACCCCAAAAAAATAAAGAAAATTCTCCCAGAAAAGTGTTAAAATCAAAAAGAAAAAATGAAAATATCTGAAAAAAATGGAAATACTAAAGAAAAATGAAAAATTCCCCTTAAAATAAAAAATCTAAAGAAAAATAATAAAAATGCACCCAAAAAAGTGGAAAAAACGATGAAATGAAAATTCCTCAAAAAAAAGGAAAAACTAAAAATAAGAAAATTGAAAATAGCCAAATACAAAAAAACCAAAACGGAATTATGAAAATTCCTCAAAAAACGGAAAAATCGAAAAGAAAAAAAAAATTCTAAATAAATGGAAATTCTAAAGAAAAATAGAAAATAAAAATTGAAAATACCCAAAAAATGGAAAAACCAACACAAAACAATGAAATTTTTCCCAAAAAACGGAATAATCAAAGAGAAAAAATATTTTTTAAAAAATGGATAATGAAAATTTCTAAAAAATAGAAAAAACAAAACGGAATTATGAAAATTTCTAAAAAAAAAAAACAGAGAAACCAAAAAGAAATAAAGAAAATTCCCCTAAAAAGTGGAAAAATCAAAAAGAAAAAATGAAAATACCTACAAAAAGTGGAAATACTAAAGAAAAGTGGAAAATGAAAATTTAAAAGTATTGAAAAATGGAAAAACCAAAAAAAAAGTGAAAATACCTCCAAAAAATGAAAATACTAAAGAAAAGTGGAAAATGAAAATTTAAAAGTATTAAAAAATGGAAAAACCAAAAAAAAGTTAAAATACCTTCAAAAAATGGAAATACTCAAATAAAAAAAAATATTTAAAAAAACGGAATACCAAAATGAAAAAAATATTAAAATACACAAAGAAAATGAAAATATGGAAAAACTAAAAAGAAAAGAAAGGAAGTTGTTTAAAGTAAATGAAAATATTAAAGGAACTGGAAAAAGGAAAAATATGAAAAACCAAAAAAGAAAAATTACAGAATAAAATACAGAAAAATAGAAAAAAGAATGCAAAACAAATTTTGAAAATTGTGCCCAAGAAAAATATTTTAAATACCTGCGAATCGTCCTCGGGCCGATTACGGTCACCGTCCATAACGAAAACCGAAAAAATCCTTGGATGCCAGCTTTACGATGATGTTTTATTTTCTTTTTTTTTATTAAAGAAAAAAAATTCCCTTTTTTCTTTTGAAATTTTTTTTTTTTTTTTTTTTGAAAATTAATATCAACTTTTTTTTGTTGTTGAATTATTTGTTCGTGAAAGTAATACCTTTGGGTACATCGATCACTTTCTTTCTTTTTTTCTCTCTTCTTTTTATATTTTTGCTACAAAATCCGCAGTAGCATCGTGTAGGTCACTTTAAACGTTAATTATGAATGAAACTCTGCCCACGTATTTGCTGCGCTTATACCACCCTGACCCACCAGAACGTACAACCTTGAATACTCTTCATTGTCATTTTATGGAGATTCGCATAGATAATCGAAATTTTCTTATAATTCTTCTTTATCAATGCCAAAAATATTATAGATATTATGCCCCTAATTTATATTGCATAAGGACCAAAGAATCTTAATTTATTTAAAAATTCATTCAATTTTCATTGGGGGGATATTGTGTCCTTTTTCTTTTAAAATATAGAACAGATGAAATTTTAAGGTCGATTTATTTTTATGTTTGCTTTCAATTTTCATTTGAATTGATGGAACAATTTTTTTTTTTGCAAATTTCGGATTTTTGTTCTTCTATAATTTTTTTTTTCTATATTTTTGTAATTTTTTCTTCTATATTTTTAAATACATTTTATCTTGATTTTATAATTTTCATCTAGATTTAAAAATTTTTTTCTATATAGATTTTGTAATTTTCTTCTAGATTTAAAAATTTTTTTCTATATAGATTTTGGAATTTTCTTCTAGACTTAAAATTTTTTTTTTTTCTATAGATTTTACAGTTTTCCTCTAGATTTTATAATTTTTCTCTATAGATTTTGTAATTTTCTTCTAGATTCAAAAATTTTTTTTCTCTATAGATTTTATAATTTTTTTATCTTGATTTTATAATTTTCTTCTAGATTTTATAACTTTCTTCTAGATTTTAAAATTTTTCTCTCTATAGATTTTATAATTTTCCTCTAGATTTTATAATTTTTTTTCTATAGATTTTGTAATTTTCTTCTAGATTCAAAAATTTTTTTTCTCTATAGATTTTACAGTTTTCCTCTAGATTTTATAATTTTTTTTATCTTGATTTTATAATTTTCTTCTAGATTTTATAATTTTCTTCTAGATTTTAAAATTTTTCTCTCTATAGATTTTATAATTTTCCTCTAGATTTTATAATTTTTTTTCTATAGATTTTGTAATTTTCATCTAGATTTAAAAATTTTTTCCTCTATAGATTTTATAATTTTCTTTCTATAGATTTTGTAATTTTTTTCTAGATTTTTAAAATTCTTTTTTTTTCTAGATTTTGAAATTTTCTTCTAGATTTTCTAATTTTTTCTTTCTGCATTAATTTTTCTTTCTTCGAAATTTTTATTCTTGTAATTTATAAGGTTTTTATTTTTATTTTCAAATTTTTATTTCTATTCCTTTCTTCTTACAATTTATAAATATTTGTTCATTTTCTAATTTTTGCTTTTTAATCTGAAGAGTTTTTGACCTGATAATTTTAATCTTCACTGATGAAAATTTATTCTTTAATAATTTTTTTTTCAATTTCTTCTTTCTTTTTACTAATTATTTTCTTTATTTTAACTTTTTAAATTGAATTAATTTAATTTTGTCTGATTCAATTATTTTTCCTTTTGTTTTTATTTGCTTAATTTGAATTTTCTTCTGAATTAAACAAATTCAATTTCACCTGCAACAGAAATAAGTTTCAATTTAGTTTTATTCAATTATAAAAATTAAAATAATTATTAAAAAGCTTACAATTATTATTTTAATATTATTATTAAATAATAATAATTTAATTTAATTATTATTTTTAATTTATATTTATTTGTATTTTATTTATTTATTTGTTAATATCACAATAATTTAATGAATATAAAGTACAGAAATTATAAATAAAGAGATAAATAAAATAAATAAATAAAATGAAACGGAAAATTTTAAATTTTATAGAGAAATAATTTATAAAAAAGATTAATAAAAGAAAAAATAATTTAATTTCGTTAATTAATAATCTGCGATTTCGTTAATTAATAATCAAACAATTTTCTAAATTAAAAGAAGAAATAAATTTTTTAATATTCAAAGTAGAAAACAAAATTGTCTAATTTTTGTTAAAAGAAAATAATTTTTATTATTTTACTATAAATTAGTAAAAGAAGAAATTGTTATTTTCCTTTATTTTTGTTTTATTTTATTAAAGTAATTTTTATTTACAAGAAAATTTAATATGAATCACAAATTTTGATCGTTGAAATGAACGAAATATTTTTTATTAAAAATATTTTCATGTAAATTTTAAATTACATAAAAATTGCAATTTAAAAAAAATATATCACTGCGAAAATTGAATATAAAAAAAAAGTTTTTTTTTGCACTTGGAAGAAAAACAATTATTTTCACTTTCAATAAAAAAAATTCACTTTCGATTTTCGTAGTATTTTCTTCTTTTTCTTTTTATTCAATTGACGCATTCACAGAATTCACATTTTCACTGAAATCATAAATCGAACAGAATCCAGTCAATTTTCACACTTTATATTTATTTTAATCAAGAATTATTAATTATTTATTAAAATTATTCACTAAAATGATTCGTTTCCAATTTAACAAAATTATTTACAAAAATTGTTTGTTTATTATTTATTAAAAATTAATAAAATTATTTATTAAAATTAATCACTAAAAAAAATTGGTTTACTCATTAAAATTAGACACTAAAATTCTTTATAAAACATATTTACTAAAATTATTTCTTTACTATTTATTAAAAATTAAAATTATTTATTAAAATTATCCACTAAAATTATTTGTCTAGTATTTTTTTAAATTATTCATTATTCACGAAAAATAATTGTTTTACTTATTAAAATTATTCACTAAAATTCTTTTTGAAAATTATTTACCAAAATTTGTTTATTATTCATTACAATTATTAACTAAAAAATAATTGGTTTATTTATTAAAAAATATCCACTAAATTGCTTTATTTATTAAAATTATTCACTAAGATCATTTATGAAAATTATTTACTAAAATTTTGTTTATTATTTATGAAAGTTATTTTGCAAAAATTATTTGTTTAATACTTTTCACTCTAGAGAAAGTATTGAAATTATTTACCAAAATTATTTCTCGATATTATTAAAAGTTATGATTAAAACCGTAAATTAAAAAAATGATGAATTAATATTCTAAATAAAAATGATGAATTAATTTTTTAATTAAAAATAAATAAATTTTTAATTAAAAATAATTAATTTTTTAATTAAAAATAAATTAACTTTTAATTAAAAATAAATTAACTTTTAATTAAAAATAAATAAATTTTTAATTATAAATAAATTAAATTAATTTTTTAATTAAAATAAAAAGTGTTAGTACCGTGAAGAGAGAAATATCACACATAATACTTCTTCCTTTTCTTCTTCTTATTCTTCTTTTAAAATTCAAATTTTCAAAATTGGCAAAAATTGCAAATAATTCATAATGTTTAAATCACAAAATACTTGATTTATATTCAAAATCAAAAGCACGTGTTGTTGAACTTTTTTAAAAATTAAAAATAATATTTGTTCAGTCATGACGAAAATAATAAAAAACAAAAAAAAAAAAAGAAAAAAAATTGTTTTTTTTTAATAATTTAAAAAATTCTCTTATTTATTTATTTTTTTTTTTCTTGTCTATATTATATTAAAGGAGCCAATTGACATGTAGAGTGTGTCTTCGGAAATATCATGATATGTACTGATAGCTCCGGAAAGTACATTTACTTATTTTCACAAATACTGTAATTTATATTTGTGTGTTTTTCTATATACATTTTTCCCTCTCTGTATATATATTTTATAAATTGTGTGTGTGTGTGTGTAAAAATTTATTCGCCACACACACACACAAATATAAAAGGCATACACGTGGTATCCTTCCTTATATGATGAATATCGTAGAATATCGTAGGTCTTGGCCTGGACAATACCACCTAGTAATGACAGGCGATAAAATGAGGCTTTCAAATTGCTATGGTAACTAAATGGACAACAACATTTCTCTGCTATATAGATAATGTAAATGGACAGAAAGCTTTGACTTTTTTTTCAACCCTTCTTTTTTCTCTTAAATATTGTTTTAAAAATAAAAGGATGAGAAAAAAAAAATTTTTTTTTTAAAAATTAATTTTTACTATTAGACAATAATTATCATCAGTGTGGAAAAGATCAAGATTCAAGATTCAATTTTCCCCTTTTTTTTTGTGGTGAATTTTTAGAGTTTAAAAAAAAAATTTTTTTTAATATTAAAAAGAAAATTAACGAATTATTAATATATTTTTTTGTTTAATTTTTTTACTTCTAATTAAAAGAATTTAGCGAATAATATTTTTTAAATTTAAATACAAAAGTAAATTATTTATTGAATAATTGAATGTTTCTTAAAAGTTAATTTTCATAAAGAATTTTATCAACAAATTTTTAAATAATTGAATTCTTTTGAGAATATAATAAAATTTTTTAAAAAATATATTTTTTGAAGAGTTTGATTAAAATTGAATTAAAAATAATTGAATTTCTACGAAGAATTTTATTATTTTTGAAAATAATTGAAATTTTGACGAGAAGTTTATGAAAATTTTTAAAAATAATTGAATTTCGAAGAATTTTCATATTTATGAAAATAATCGAAATTTTGACGAAAATTTTTTTAAATTTTCAAACATATTTGAATTTCTGCGAAGAATTTTATTATTTTTGAAAATAATTGAAATTTTGTCGAGAAGTTTATGAAAATTTTTAAAAATAATTGAATTTCGCAGAATTTTATTATTTATAAAAATAATTGAATTTCGAAGAATTTTATTATTTACAAAGATAATTCAAAATTTTTACAATTTTTTTTAATTTTTGAACATAATTGGATTTCTGCGAAGAATTTTATTATTTTTGAAAATAATTGAAATTTTGACGAGAAGTTTATTAAAATTTTTAAAAAATAATCAAATTTCGAAGAATTTTATTATTCATAAAAATAATTGAAATTTTTTTTTAATTCTTGAACGTAATTGTATTTCTGCGAAGAATTTTATTATTATTTATAAAGGTAATTGAAATTTTGTCAAAAATTTTATTATTTATAAAGATAATTGAAATTTTAAATAGAATTTTTTTAATTTTTTGAACAAAATTGAATTTCTGTGAAGAATTTTATTATTTTTTAAAATAATTGAAATTTTGACGAGAAGTTTATTAAAATTATTTAAAACAATTGAATTTCTGTGAAGTATTTTATTATTTTTGAAAATAATTGAAATTTTGACGAGAAGTTTATTGAAATTTTTCAAAAAAAAATTGAATTTCGAAGAATTTTAATATTTACAAAGATAATTGAAATTTTTACAATTTTTTTCAATTTTTGAACATAATTGAATTTCTGCGTGAAGAATTTTATAATTTATTAAAATAAATGAAATTTTGCTAAGAATTTTATTAAAATTTTTCTATACAATTGAATTTTGGAGAAATTATTATTTATGAAAGTAATTGAAATTTTGAACAGAATTTTTACAAAAATTTTGAACATAATTGAATTTTTGCGAAGAATTTTGTTTTTTTGTTTTTTTTAAAGAATTTTAAATTAAAAAAATTTTAGTATTTTTGAAAATAATTAAAATTTAAAAAAGAATTTTATTATTTATAAAGATAATTGAAATTTTGACGAGAAGTTTATTAAAATTTTTTATATAAAATTATTTAATTTCAGAGAAGAATTTAATTATTTTTGAAAATAATTGGAATTTTTTCAAGAATTTTAATAAAATATTTAGAAAATAATTGAATTTCAGAGAAGAATTATTTTACTGAAACATTTCAAAATAATTGAATTTTGACAAATTTTATTATTTATTAAGATAATTGAAATTTTTACTATAATTTTTTTTAGTTTTTAAACGTAATTGAATTTTATAATTTATTAAAATAAATGAAATTTTGCTAAGAATTTTATTAAAATTTTCGTCAAAAAGTATTTATCGTGTGAAATTATAATTGGCTGATTAAACACGCAAGCGTAAAACTATAAAACCCTCTAGTTTGTAATAAATTAAGAGCGCTTGAATTTTCGGCTTTGAATTCATCTCATTGTTTTGGTGCGTGTGTTACGATGACGTTACTAGCTTTTTTGACTCTATCACTATTTTTGTTACTACAAACAGGTAAAATTGTTTATTAATAATATTTTTTTATTGTAAACTAATTTTTTAAAATTAAAAATTTTTTTCTTTTTGAAATACTTTTGAAATTTATTTTCTATACCCATAGCAATAAGTGTAATTGAAGCAAATCAACAATAATAATTGTGAAGCAAAGATTTGTTTTTTGATAAAATTGATATTAATCTATTTTTCTAGTTGACGAAAGAAATTAAAGACAAATAAATATTTATTGTATTCTGAATTAATGGACTTATTTTAATTTACAATAAATGCAGTCAAAGTATTGGATAATTCATAATTAATATGAATAATAAACAAAAATATTGTTTAATTAAGAAAAACGCAATAATTGTATATAAAGTATTAAGAATTATTTATAAGCTAGTATCTTATCTAATCTAATCTATAAGTAAACCAACTGTTCTGACGCAAACTTACAATTAGTTTTTGATATGAATCAATTATTCTATTTTTATCGAACATCCATAGAAAAAAGGTAGCCTGAGTTCAACGAAATTCTGACGAATGGAGAATTTTATTTCAATTTTTAAGTAGTAGCACCCCCACCCAAATGCTATCAAACAATCAAAATTTGGAAAAAAAAAAAATTTAGTTTTCAAAATTTAAAAGTTCTAATTATCTGGAAATTTACAGATTTTTTTTCCAATTTCTTAATTTTTGAACAGAATTGATTTTTGTATTTTTTGATGTAATTAATTTTGCCTTTTTCATTCACAATAATAATTAAGAAACTGATAATATTAATTTCTAATCTAGAACTTTTAATGTTGAATTAATTTAATTAGAAATTTTAATGAACATAGATTTTTGAAAATATTTTAATAATTCAAAATCTTCTAAAATAACTTAAATTTGTCAATAAATGAATATTTAATTAATTATTAAAAATAATGGATTTATAAAAGAATTTTAGTTAAAAACACTAAACTCCTTGAAAAATGTAACTATATATTTCAAAAAGTTTTATTAAAATTAGTCAAAAGAATTATTCAATTATTATTTAAAAAATTTGTTAATATATAATTCTTTATAAGAAGTAAATTTTAAGAAACATTCAATGCTGTGTGGGTTAATATTCATCTTTTTCTGATTTGTTCAGAATGAAGGAATTAATATTGCGTGCAATCTGGATATAATTAACATAAAATTACATTTTACAGTAACATGCCAGTTGAAGCCGAGTATTTCCTATATTTCGCAGGAGCAAACAAAAGATATTGGAAGTACAGTAGAATTGCAATGTTCAGTGCAGAATGCCACTGATTATTCGATATTGTGGGTAAAAAAGGGTAGTACTTATTCATTACCCTTATCAACCGGTACCACATTAATCGTACTAGATAGTAGATTTTCTCTTAGGTACCATCAAAGATCATCAACATATGTTTTAAAGGTAAAAATTTCTTTTGTCTAACACCAGCTGTAAAAGCGACGTCATCCATACTTTGTGTTGCATTAAAGAAAACTTTAATACAACACAAAGTTGGTAATTTCTGCTTATACTTGAAAATATCCGCAGAAATCTGTACTTTTTTGTATTATTTCATTAAATTCTGTAATTTCATTACTTTCCCACAAACTTGCAGTGGAAACTTTCAACTTTTGCATTGCATTGACAGATATTGTCGGGGAACAATTATTTTTCATACTTCCGGTTAGCATAAAAATTTTCATCATAATTTTGCAAAATTGCTGAAAATTTTTATTCTAATTGGGAGTATGAAAAATAGCTGTTCCCCACAATATCTAAACTTTCAGCAAACATCGACAACATTGCCTCAATATTGTGAAACTTGCAGCAATATTGTCGAAATGTTAAGATGCTGTGGGGGTTTTCAAGTTAGAAATCTTGAAAGTTCATTAGAAAAAAAAGAAAAATTATTGTTTGCAGATTGAAGATGTTCAAAAAAAGGATGCTGGACTCTATGAATGTCAAATTGTTGCAACAATTTTCAATGTTATCACAGCTGATGTTGAATTGCATGTTCGTCGACCGCCAGTTATCAATGATAATTCGACAAGATCTTTAGTTGTCAGCGAGGGACAAACTGTTCAATTGGAATGCTACGCTGACGGTTATCCAACACCACGAATTTTCTGGCGAAGAGAAAATAATGTTGATCTACCAACTGGCGGAACTGTTTATCAGTAAATTTTCGCTTTCTAATTTCTATTTTCATAATTGAAAACGATTTATTTGATTCAAACATATTTTTGTTTAAATCAAACTTAAAATATCTTTGCTTTACAGTCAAACATATTTAATTTTAATTGAAACATATGTTTTGGTTCATTTAAATATATATATTTAATTCAAACAGAAAATGGAATTTAAATGTTTTTTTTTCTCTTTTACTCTCGTTGTAGGCGCGTGAAATTAGCATACGATTAATTTCTCATTTCTCCTTTAAAATTACAGTGGTAACATTTTGAAAATAGCGTCAGTTTGCAAGGAGGACCGCGGTACCTATTACTGTGTCGCTGAAAATGGAGTGAGACCAGAATCGAAACGTAATTTAAATGTTGAAGTTGAATTTGCTCCGGTTATAACGGCAACACGACCATTTCTTGGACAGGCCCTCCAGTACGACATTGAGTTAAAGTGTCACATCGAGGCATATCCACCGCCAGCAATTGTTTGGATCAAGAACAACGTTCAATTGTCGAATAATCAGAATTTTAAAATTTCCCATTTCGCCACTGCCGACGAATACACTGACACAACACTCAGAGTGAAAAATATCGAAAAACACCATTTCGGCGACTATTTCTGCAAAGCTTCAAATAAATTAGGTTCTGCCGAAACCAAAGTCGAACTATTTGGTAAGTAAATTTTTTTTTTCATATTTAATTCTTTTTTTTTTAATTTAAATTTGGTTCTTAGTATTTTTTTCGTCTATTTCTTTGTGCAGAAACCATTTCACCTGTTTGTCCGCCTGCTTGCGGTCAAGTGGACGAAAAAAAGGAGGGAGAAAAAAATGAAACTACCTCAAAAAACGAAAATATTTAAAATATAAAAAACATGGAAAAACCAAAAAGAAGAAAATGGAAATATTTTTAAAAATCATCGGTTATTATGTTAGCTAAATGGTTATTGTCTTCGCTTTGGAAAGAACTCGGGTTCAATTCCCCGTGTCAAGAATTTCTGAATTTTTCAAAAATTCTTTCTCTAATGTTTTATATGTTTCTAATAAATATTAAAATAATAATAAATGTGCGTGACACTCGAAATTAGTTAATTTACTGTTTTTTTCCCCTGCGGCCCGATTTTAAAATTGAATTTATTTATAAACTTTACAAGCTCTTTTCGTACAAATATAATTTTTATTTTTTTCACTGATTATTATTGTTATTAAAACAAAATAAAAAATGTATTATAAAAAATATATAAAAAAAAATTAAATAATATAATTTTTTAATTAACAATTAAAAAATTTTATTTTTGGCCGAAAATATAAAAAGTAATTTTATCGATAAAATTAAATTTTAATTGAGAAAGTATCGTTTAGACACAAAAAAAAATAAAAAAAAATCATGAAGAAAAATATTTGTTTTCTTTCTATTTGTATATTAAAAAAAATATATTTGTAAATTATTTTTTTTTTTAAATTTTTTGTTTAAAGAATAAAAATTTATTTAATTATTTAATTAAAAATGAATAAAATTCAAAAATTAGTATTTTTCTCTATTTTATTTAAATTTCTGTTCGAAAATAAACTTCAGGAAAAAAGTTTAAAATAAAATTTTTTAAATATTGGGAAAAATATTTAAAAAAATTTTATTTTAGTTTATGCGCAACCAGTACAGCACACAGATGTATATATAAAAGTTAAATTTAATAAATAAATTGTACACATAAGGTGTGAAAAATAGTTTAAGAAAACAAAACAATTATTAAAAATAAGAAAATTATTAATGAAACTATATTTAAGCGAAAATGACATTGACATACGAATACTGACATTCTGTTAAATACCTAAGAACCTATTGTCTATTATTCTCTTCTAGCTTTACTTAAATTTCAACAATTTCACAATTGTTTCTCATTTAAAACTTGTCTGTTAAATAAAAAAAAATTAAAAAATTTTTTTGTTACAATATTTACAGGAAAAAAAATTATTTTCATTTTCTGAAAGGCGTGAAATAATTTTTATTTGTTTAATAATTATATTAAATAATAAAAACAAAAATTAATAGCAAAATAACAAAAAAAATTTTTATTCAATTATTTTTATTAAACTTAAAATTATTATTTAAAAATAATAATTTTTTTCCAGTTTTAATTTTCAATAATTTTTACTTTATTTATTTTATTAATAATTTTATTAAAATTATTAATTTAAATAAGTTTAATTTATAATTAATTGTAAACTAATTTTAATTTATTGTTAATTGTAAATTAATTGTTAATTTAATTAGGTAATTTTTATTAATAATTTTGATTTTATTATTAATAATAATTTTATTTATTGACGCGACAAGCCCGTCAATTAAATTAATTATCAGTTAATAATAATGATAATAATTAATAAATTGAAAAATAATTAAATAAACATTAATTTATTGTTATTTTTTAATATTTTATTTAATTCTTTTATTTATTATTTTATTATTATTATTATTATTATTATTATTATTATTATTATTATTATTATTATTATTATTATTATTATTATTATTATTATTATTATTATAGTATTATTTAAAATATCAAATACTTGAATAATTAAATAAAAATTATTTCAAGGACAGCCAAAATCAAAAATTTTTTTTTCCTGTAAATTTTGTAACAATTTGTTTTCTTCTATTTTACAAAGACAATTTAAAGGCGAGAAAAAAATGGAATATATATTATTATATACAAATAATGAGTAGTCTACTTTTTTCCTTTTATCATTTAACGATCTCATTGCAGAGTAAATTTATTTCGCCTAATGCGTTTTTATCTAATGGAATGTCATTTATTTAAATATTATGCACAATGTATAAAGTTTGCATGTGTAGAACAATTAATTATCAAGGATAAAAAATTGATTTTCAACTAGAAAGCGCATTCTGAATTTTTTTTTTTCTTATTCTACTATTTGGAGAGAGTAAATAAAAATAAAATTTGTTTTTTTTTCATTGTTTTGATAAAGAATTTTTGACAAAATAAATGAAAATAAAAAAGCAAACAAGAGAAAAAAAACAAAAAGTACAAGAACTATAACGAACTATTTGAAAATTAATTTTAAATTGCGCGGTTGATTGTCCACCAATCAGGAGTGTTGTTACAAATGTTGCAAGAAGCGCGTATTTTAAAGTACTGTTCATATTTTCTCTAATTGCACTGCGAATTATTTAAAATTGCATACATTTTTTTTATTTTGTTGTACTTTTTGTTGTTGTAAATTTACAACACTGGTAATGCAATAAGTACTTTATAATCAAAGTCGATATTATAATCATTTTATTATATTTTCAAATAAATAAATAAATTTTTGTATCATCTGCAAGGGAAAAAAAGATTTTAATTTCAAACTTCGCGTCTAATCGCAATTGGCTGATTAAACACGCATGCGTACAACTACAACGCTCTTATTTTCCCCGCCTAAATTTAAATTACACTTCCCGAAATTAATTCAAAACAAATTGATTTTTAATTCCAAACAAAAAAATATTCCCTTTCTGCAAATAAATAATTCGTTAAGTCTCCTTCTCGTTCAGGTTTTCGCACTTTTGGAAAGAAAAAGAATAAAACGATGATTATATTTAAAAGAAGACAATGAGACAGAGTTGAGTCGGTAGAGTGTAGAGTCTCTCACACCTTAAAGGTAAGGTTAGGTTAATTCACCACAGCCTCTACCTATAGTTTGGCCTTGGCGTCATTCAGTCGCCATATTTTATTGGGCACAAACACCTGCCAAGTTAAAACGTTCCGCGTTGTTTGAAAACAAATATATAAATTAATTACTATTTCTCCCAAAAAAAATTAAAGCAGTGAATTTTCCCTTCATTTTCCCAAGAAAATAATTTTTTCCCACTCCCAGTGCCTTATGCTTTAGAAAAAAAGTTTCTATTATTTTTTTTGGCGTTGTTTCATCTCATCGTTTGGGTGTGTCACGATGACGTTACTACCTGGCTTGACTCTTTCATTATTTTTGTTACTACAAACAGGTAAAATTGTTTATTAATAAATATTGAACTATTTAGAAAAATTAATTATTGCGTTCTTTTTGGAATTGTTTTTTTTGGGGGGTAATTTTTAGTTGGAATTTTAGTTAATTGAAATGAAGCGAAGTGAAGCTTGGTTTTTTTGATGAATCAATTATATTCTATTTTTGTAGATGTAATTAAAGACGATCAATATTCACAGTGTATTATTGATTAAAATATTATTTTTTGCTAATATTACTTTTACAGTAACATGCCAGAGGACGCCGAGTATTTCTTATATTTCGCAGGAGCAAATAAAAGATATTGGAAGTTCTGTTGAAATGCAATGTTCAGTGCAGTATGCGACTGATTTTTCGATATTGTGGATGAAAAAAGGTCGTAGTTATGATAGTACTTCGTTACCGTTATCAACCGGTGCTACATTAATCGTACAAGACAGTAGATTTGCTCTTAGGTACGATCAAAGTTCATCAACGTACGTTCTACAGGTAAAACTTCCCCTTTTTTTATTCCAAGGACATTTTTATATATTCTACAAGAAATTCCATTGAAAAATATTTCGGAGCATCGTCTCAAAAAAATTTATTTGAAACTTGGTAATATTATATCTTTTGGTATAAAGTTTCAAAAATTAAAGTTTCAAAATAAAGTTTTCTTATAAACACAATTACTCGAAAATTGTTTAAAAACTGAAAATTTGTTGAATGATCAAATGAAATATAATTTTCTCAATCTTAGTTTTTTTACATTCAAATCAGAAATAAAAAAAATTTCGTTTGATTTGAATGTTAAAAACTTTAGGAAAATAGATAAAAAAATTGTTTTTGAGTTAAAAATTTGGAAAGTAAATTAGAAAATAAAAAATATTGTTTTTACAGATTAAAGATATTCAAGAAACTGATGCTGGAGTCTATCAGTGTCAAATTATTATCACAATTAATAATGTTATCACAGCTGATGTTGAATTGCGTGTTCGTCAACCGCCAGTTATCAGTGATAATTCGACAAGATCTTTAGTTGTCAGCGAGACACAACCTGTTCAATTGGAATGCTACGCTGGCGGTTACCCAACACCACGAATTTCCTGGAGAAGAGAGAATAATGTTATTCTTCCCACTGGCGGAGCTATCTATCAGTAAATTTTTCTTTCTATCCTTTAAACTTTTTATTTCCTCTATGTATATTCAAACCGTTTCTGAAAAGAATTCATCGTCAGAAGCTAACCAGACAAAGAACATTTTTTTTTGTCAATTCAAAAAAATTATTTTCTAATTTAATGACTTTATATATTCTTTACTGATGATATTTATTGGTAATTTTTAGAAAAAGATTTTTTTTTTATTTAATTTGCTTTAGTACAGAAAATCTTATTAATTTAATTTTTTGGAGAAATTTTATTCAATTAATTTGTTTTAGACAAAGAAATGTCTTTTTTTGTTAATTTTCATTCGAAAAAGAAATTTCATTTAATTAATTTTATTTAGAAAAACTTATCAATTATTTAATGAATAATTTTACTTGAAAATTTCAAAATTAATTGAATTGTAAAAGAGTTACGTTTACACTTTTCACAAATAGATGAACTTCAAAAGTTTTTTATTTGCAATTTCATAGAATTTCAATTTTTAATTAATTTAATAAGAAATTTTAAAGAACTTAGATTTTAGAAAAATTTTAATAATTCTAATTCTTCCACGAAATTCAATTATTTTTAAATATTTAAATACAATTCTTGGACAAATTTTAATTATTTTCAAAAATAATAAAATTCTTTGCAGAAATTCAATTAGATTTTAAAATTTTTTAATAAATTCTCGACAAAATTCCAATTACCTTTATAAATAATAAAATTCTTGTCAAAATTACAATTATTTTCAAAAATAATACAATTCATGGAAAAATTTCAATTATGTTAAATACTGTTTAAAAAAAATTGTCAAAATTTAAATTATCGCTATAAATTATAAAATTCTCCAAAATTCAATTATTTTCAAACATGTTAATAAAATTCTCGTCAAAATTTCAATTATCTTTATAAATAATAAAATTTTCGTCAAAATTTTAATTACCTTTATAAATAATAAAATTCTTCTCTGGAATTCAATTATTTTCAAAAATTTTAACAAAATTCTTCTCCGAAAATCAATTATTTTCAAAAAATTTTAATAAAATTTTTGTCAGAATTTCAATTATTTTGAATAATTGTAATAAAATTCTTCTCTGAAATTCAATTATTTTCTAAATATTTTAATAAAAAAATTGGAAAAATTTCAATTACTTTCAAAAATAATGAAATTCTTCTCTAAAATTCATTTTTTTTTTAAATTTGAATCAAAATTCTTATTAAAATTTCAATTATCTTTATAAATTATAAAATTCTTAGCAAAATTTCAATTATTTTCAAAAAGTTTCCGTAATTCAATGATTTTCAATATCTACTACTTTAATAAATAATAATAAATAATTATTTTCATAAATAATAAAATTCATTGCAGAATTTCAATTATTTTTAATACAATTTTCATCTTTCTTGAAAAAGAAAATTATTCTTAAAAATTTTATTAAAATTTGTCAAGAGAATTCAATTATTTAAAAATTTGTTGATAAAATTCTTTATGAAAATTCAATTTTAAGAAACATTTGATTATTTAATAAAATATTTGTTTTTTTGTTAAATAATTGAATTCTCGTAGAATTTCCTAATAATTATTAATTTAAAAATGAACTGAAAATTGAATTCTTTCGATGAATTTTAATAGAATTTTTAAGAATAATTGAATTCTTTTCAGTAACTCAATTAAAATTGTAATCTAAATTTTTAGTAAAATTGAATTGTTAACAAATGGATTTGAAAATTCTCAAATAGATCTTTTTCAAATTAGATTACAATTTTAATTGAATTACTCAAAAGAATTCAATTATTCATAAAAATTCTATTAAAATTAGTCGAATGAATTCAATTTTGCAATAAATTATTATTTTTGTATTTAAATAATTGAATTTTCTAATAAAATTTGATTTAAACATGAAAGTCAGTTAAAGTTGCAGATAATAATTGAATTTTTGAAAATTTACAAATAATTGAATTTTGAAATAAATTATCTTTATGAATAAAACATCTTTATGAATGAATCATCTTTATGAATGAATCATCTTTATGAATGTTAATTATCTTTATGAATAATAAAATTCTTCTCAGTAATTCAATTACATTCAAAAGTTTAAAAAAATTCTCATCCAAATGTCAATTATATCTATAAATAATAGCATTTTTGGCAAAATTTGAATTATTTTCAAAAATAATAAAATTCTTCGCAAAAATTCAATTATGATCAAAAATTGTTTTAAATTTTCTTCATAATTTATATGTTTTCTTTGATATTTTCAGTGGCAACATTTTGAAAATAGCGTCAGTTCGCAAGGAGGACCGCGGTACTTATTACTGTGTCGCTGAAAATGGAGTGAGACCAGAATCGAAACGTAATTTAAATGTTGAAGTTGAATTTGCTCCGGTTATAACGGCAACACGGCCACGTCTTGGACAGGCCCTCCAGTACGACATGGATTTGGAGTGTCACGTCGAGGCATATCCACCGCCAGCAATTGTTTGGATCAAGGACGACGTTCAATTGTCGAATAATCAGCATTTTAAAATTTCCCATTTCGCCACTGCCGACGAATACACTGACACAACACTCAGAGTGATAACTGTCGAGAAAAAACAATACGGCCACTATGTGTGCAAGGCTTCCAATAAATTAGGTTCCGCCGAAACCAAAGTTGAACTATTTGGTAAGTTACCATTTTTTTCAATTTAATTCCCCCCTTTTTTTTAAAAAAAACAAATTTCTACCTTTTTTTTTGTAAATGTACTCAAGAATACTATTTCTAAATTTTTTCGAACTCCGTAGAATTTTTTCACGTAGAAAAAGAATCTAGTTCTTCTTTTTCTTTATCGAATGAAGAAAGTTCTATTTTTCGTTTCTAATAAATAAATAATTTTCTTTATTGTAATGTGAATGTAAAAATAGAAAAAAAATCGCATGTAATTCGTTAAGGGGAGTTCTTCTTGTTTTCTAAAGAAAATTTTAGATTAATGTTTAGATTGATGAACGGCCTTTATTTCTTAATTTTCATTTTTACATTCTCTTAAATTTGTTATTTGCATTTGCGAACCTTTTTTTATTTCGTAGACGAGCATGTCTTAGTATTTTTCCTGTATTTGTTTGTGCAGAAACCATTATTCCTGTTTGTCCGCCTGCTTGTGGTCAAGCTCAGTATGGAGCAGGCGTTATACCGATACCTTCAGGTCTTGTGGTAGTTACTACCTTAATTTTCACAGTTGCCTTAAGGTACGTAAACAATTATATTTACTATTTTTCGTAAATTGAAATTCTATTTTTAAAATAGAAATTACAATTTCTGTAAAAAAAATTTGCAGTATTCTATTTTTTTAGATTGCAATTCTAAACAAAAACAATTTGTGCAAAAAATGTGCAAAAACAATTGCAATTCTATTTGTAAAAAACTTGGATTTTTATTTTTAAAATAAATATTGCAATTCTATTTTCAATTCTATTTTTTAAATTAAAATTTTAAATAGAAACTTTTTTTCAATTCGTTGGAATTTCCTTGTTTATAATCGGAAATTAATGGCAAATTTTTCAATAATTTTGTTGTAGAAGTTTCTACTCCAGATATTAATTATCCTGGACTCGAGAGATCAGCGGAGAAACGACAAGTAGCAACCAAATGGTTGCTTGCCTTAGTGATTGCGTATATTTTTACCACTTTTTAAAATATTTAAGCCTAATGACTTAACTCCATTGAAAATTTTATCGTGACGTTATTTTTGTAGTTGTTTATACAAAAAAAAGTAATAAGAGAAAGTGTTCTTTTTTATCATTTTACGCTTGCGTATTATATATAGTACAACGAAAAATGTTGAAAAAGTACCATAACACCAATCGACATTCCAAAATAATTGTAATACTAAAATTTAGGAATTTTGCTTAAGCAATTTGATAAAACAAAAACTTTTTTTTTTTGTTTTGTTTTATCATATAAAGAGAATTTTTCTAGGTGAAGAAAATAGCGAGTGAGAAAGAGAAAAGAGATAGTCACGCTGATAATAGATCTGTTTTTTTGAACAAATTTTTCTTTTCCTCAAGGGGAAAAAAAATCTTTTTTTAAAGATTTGAGTGAAAAATCGAATGTTTTTCTTGGATTTATTTATTTATTATTTTTTTTTATCGTTTAATAAATTTTCATTCATTTTTCACTCAATCTTTAAAATTTCTAATATTTATGAAATATATAATTAACCGTCAAATTGTGGCTTTGAAGTCCATAAAAACAATGTTCTCCCGATAAAAAAGAAGCGATTGTAAATTTTCTTCAAAACTCGGAATTTTTTATCCATAAATATAGAAATTTTCATTATTCATATTTTCATTAATATTCAAGATATAATTTTTTATTCTCTATAATAGACTGAAAATATTTTCTAAAGACAGAAAAAATTCCGATCTTAAAATTATAATCGGTTCTTTTGAATCGAATTCTCAATAAAATGTAAGAATCACAATGTGTTGTATTAGGACAAAAAAAATGGGGGTGGGGGATTTTTTGTATTTTTCTAAATAAGACTTTTTTCTAGAAATTTTTTACGCAATGCCAATGCGCATGTTTTATTTTTTTAATATTAATTATTAATATGGTATTTTTAATGAAGAAAAAAAAACAAAAAAGTGATTCAAAGCCGTCTATTTTTAGTGATAGGGAAAATAATTTGTATATTATGAACAAATGATGTTGTGCGTACCAAATTGCGATATTGTACGTATTTAAAGCACTTAGACTGTAATACTCACGACAGGGATGAATCTCGTTTTAATCATGAACATATCGTTTTTTTTAATAATCTACGAATCGAATGTATTTAACGATATTAGAATCTCGTTGAAGTAAATTTTTTGTAAAACGTTTTTTATAATGTTAGAGAGAATTTTTGAGAGAGAAAGAAAAAATACTGCTTGGCAGTTAAAATTGTCCAATTGAAGTTAAACAATAAAAATTCCCGAAATTATTCGCTACATTTCTTTCTTTATTTTTCAGTTTTGTTAATTTTTTCTGTTCGTTTTATTTATTAACTTCTATTCTATTTTTATTTTATTTTAATTAATTATTTTTTCATATTTCGTTAAAATTTAAAATTTGTTACAAAATATTCTTTTGCTAATTTCGAAAATTCCTTTCTTTAAATATTTTTATTTCGATTTTAAAATATTATAATTACCTATTTTTTTAATTTTTCACGAAACAATTGCTAATTATAATTCATCAGCAGTTCAACAAATTTTTAAAAGCTTTTATGGAAAATAATATTTATTATTATTCAATCAAAACAAAAGTTATTTATTAAAATTTAAAAAAATGAAATTTTGCAGAATTTTTAACAAATTTTGAAAATAATTAAATTCTCAAAAATTTGAATGAAAAATAATTGATTTAGACAAGAATTTTAATACAAAATTCTAGAAAATAATTGAATATTGGAAGTGGTAATTAAAAATTTTTAATAATAATTAAATTTCAAAATTTCAATTATTTCTCAAAAACATTTCCAATTAGAAATTTAATTTCATTTAGTAGAATTTTATAAAATTTCAATTATTAATCGAAAATGTTCAAATAAAAATTCAACAAGAAATTAAATAACAAAAATTTAATCACTTCTAATAGAAATTTAGGAAATTTTAAATATTTCCCGAAAAAGTTTAATTCAAAATTCAATTCAAAAATTTAATTAATTTTAATAGAATTTTAGGAAATTTCAATATTATTTCCCGAAAACGTTCAATTAAAAATTCAATTACTTTTAATAGAATTTTAGGAAACTTTAATTATTTCTCGAAAAATTTTAATTTGTTTTAGAATTTCATAAAATTTCAATTATTTCTCGAAAATTTTTAATTAAAACTTCAATTAGAAATTAAATAACAAAAATTTAATCACTTCTAATAGAATTTTAGGAAATTCGAATTATTTCTGGAAAATTTTCAATTATAAATTGAATTAGAAATTCATTTAGAAAAAATTTAATTTCTTTTAGAATTTTAGAAAATTTTAATTACATAATGATTTAAAGAAGAATTCTAGCTAAAAATTCTAGAAAGTTCAATTTAAATTGAATACTCTCTTCGTTAAATTTGTTTTTCAATTTTTTCTTTCAATGAAAGGGATCGAAATAAACCAAAGTCCTCAAAAATACTTTTACAATATCTTTTTTTTTTTTGAAAAAGATACACGAATACTATCTAATTACATTTTTATTTAATTTAAATACTGTAATTTGTAATAATTCCTAGAGTTTAGAACGTTCAAATAAACAATTTTTGCTAATTTTGCAAATGAATTCCTTTCTTTAAATGTTTTTATTTTATTTTCAATTTTTAATTTACTTTTTAATTACATTTTTAATTTACTTTCTAATTACATTTTTAATTTGATTAATTTTCGAATTACAAGATTCAAAATTTTTCAACATAAAATAGAAAATAAATTTCCCTTATTTCTGAACGTTCAAAACTTCTAGGAATCAAAAATTGTAAAAAAAATCTATTGTGAATTCAAAAAAATTCTCATCGCCTCCTTATCGCGATTCAACCAAGCGGAATTCAATCGAATACACTCGACACCCTGTAAAATGGCTCGTTCGATACTCGCCTTTGATTTATTTTCAAAAAATTCCTCAACCTCCCTGGCCATATCCTCAGTGGAGAAATGCTCCGTCACATATTTCACCAAATTCGGAAACAAATAACTTCCATTATAGCGTTCGGAAAATAGTTTCCAATTTTTTTTGAAAAATTCCCAAACTAGAAATCGACCATTCTGCGTTAATGTGACGGAGGAAATCGCAAGAACAGTGTCCGCCGAACGAACTTCGGGGGATATTAAAAAATCCAAAACTTTAATAATTAGATGCTCGTCTCTCACTGTACCGATTGCTTTCAAAATTCTTGATTTTTCCTCCTGCAAATCGGATTCACGATATAATTTCAACATCGTTTCGAGGGTTTCATTGTCGCCCACAAGAAGTACAGCTTTATAGACTGGATTTTTCAGATCTGGGGGTAAAATACATTTTCCTGTGAGATGTAGTTTGAACTTCTTTTTCGCCTCATTGATAATTTCCTCATCCTCGAGGAATATCATTTTCTCAATGATACAGGGTCGTAAAATCGTATCGAGATGATTTTCATTCGTCTTCGAGTCCCAACCGAGTTTCGTGTAAATAGTTCTCAGAATCGATCGTCCGAAGGACTTGAAAGAACTCTCAAATTCCTGGTTATTCACCAGAAGGCCAATTTCGTCGAAGCAGGCGATAATACTCGACCAGACGGTGGCGTTAATTTCGAATTGAAACGATTGCAGTAATTTCAGAACGTCCACCGTTGTCGTTTCGCCAGCGCGAGCAAATGCCAGGGTATCATTCAAAATTCCCAATCTGTCCAGCGGAGGCAATTCCCTACTTTTTATTGCACTTATCAAAAGTTCCAACAACTCCGAACTATATTTCGTTCGATAATAACCGATCGTTCCCGAATTCACCTTAATCCAAGTACTTCGACTAATGTTCTTAATAACAATTTCCTTCTTCTTCTCGTCCATGACACTACTCATGATTTTTTCCCTCTTTCCCAGACTTATTTGCACTGGTATCACCCAAAGATTATTCTCCACGTCCCGTGTGCCATCGACGAAGAATCGACGCTGTGTGAGTGTCAAAATTAAATCACAGTCCTGCCAATGATGATTTATGTCCAAAATCGGAAAACCCTTTTGTTTCGTCCAAGTTGGCATTATTTGCCTCACTGGCAAACCACTCGCCTCCTCTAGAGCCTCCCAAAGATCCTCTGTCTCGGCATTTTTATAAGAAAATCTCTCCAAATAAATATTCATTCCCTTCTTGAAATTATCATCGCCAATGAATGCGTGCAACATTCGAATTATACTCGCCGCTTTATTGTACGAAATGGCGTCGAAAATCTCATCGATTTCTGATGGATGATTTATTGGCACTTGAATTGGATGGGTATTTTTTAGTGCGTCCAATTCGAGAGCTGGAATATATGTATTTGTGACAAATTGTGTCCAAATATCGTACTCGGGAAATAAATGATTGACGCAAAGAAATTCGACGAATGAGGCGTAACCTTCATTGAGCCAAAGATCGTCCCACCATTTCATTGTGACTAGATTGCCGAACCATTGATGGGCAATTTCGTGACTTACGAGAAGAGCGATTCTTTGTTTTCGTGTTGTCGATGTATTCTCCATGTCGACTAGTAAACACATTTCGCGGGCTATTATTAGACCCCAATTTTCCATTCCACCGAATGCAAAATCCATGACGGATATTAAATCAATTTTTGGTAGTGGATAGGATATTTTGAAGTATTCTTTGTAGAATGGTAGGACTTTTATTGCCACGTCTAAAGCGTAGTTTCCCAATTGTGATTTTCCCTTGGGTGTGTAGATTTTTGTGAGAATATTGTCAGAGGATTTTGATTCTATGTGATCGAAATCACCGACAACGAAGGCGAGGAGATATGTTGACATTTTTGGCGATTTGTCGAATTTATAAATTTCTGTCTTCTCGCCTCTTGTTGTTTTTGTCTTCAGTGGCTGAAATTATTGAATAAATAAATCATTATTATCTAAATAAATAAATAATTAATATCTAAATAAATAATTAATACAACTTAATAAAATAAATAATTAAATTTTATTTTATTTGTCAATTAAAAATTTTAATTGAAAATGAAATTGAAACCTTTTAAATTTTCAAAAAAATAGAGAAAAAAATTTTAGTAAGAAAAATGCAAAAATTTAACAAAAAAGAAAAATCAATTGATTTCCAAATGAATAAAAAATGGATTTAATGAAAAAAGTAAATTAATAAAAAAAGTAATAAAAGAATTTTTTTGAATAAATGAAGTAAAAATAAAAATTAAAAATTGAAGCGATAGGTACTAAAAAAAGGAAAGTAAATAAAAATTAATTAATTTTTAAAAAATTATTAACTATTAAAAACTGAAATTATTTACCATATTGGAAATGGCGGAGAATGCCTTTGGAATTTCTAAAGTTAATTCGAATGTGGCCTTAATTATTGGTTCATCCCAACAAGGAAAACAACGTCTTGCATCTGTTGGTGCAAATTGTGTTATTGCTGTGTAAGTAATATTTTCATCTGCCCTGTAAAATAAAATAAAATAAATAAAAAAAAAGAAAAAGAAATCCAAAAACTCCAATATTGCTAATTAATAATATTTGAAATTGAAAATAAAAATAAAAAAATAGAAATAAAAAACAAAAATAAATAAAAATATATGAATTGTTGCCAATTAATAATTAGAATTATTTTTAAATAATAATTAATTATTAAAAGAATGTATACCCAATATGTTTGCTACGATATAAACCCTTTAGGGTGTCACTGATTTTTCCTTGGAACTTAAAATGTAAATATCCATTTTTTCCAACTGAGAGATTTTCATGAAAAAATATCGTTACTTTTTCTTCCTCTGAATTGAAAATAATTTCTTTCGATGATAAAGTGTCTCCATTTTCATTTTGAAAAGCCGCATAATTAATGTCGATATTCACTGAATTTAAAATTACATTATTTGTCGATTCTTTCACCTAAAAAAATATTTTACTGTATAAATTTTGTTCGTCTCATATTTTAATTATAATAATTTTATTAATTAATCAATTTAGTAAAATTGAAGATAAATTACATTCGCCTTATCTTAATTATAATTTTATTAATTAATCAATTTAGTAAAATTAAAGATAAATTACATTCGCCTTATCTTAATTATAATTTTATTAATTAATCAATTGAGTAAAATTGAGCAAAAAAAAATTGAAGAGAAAATAATTAAATTTTATCTTTCTAAATAAAAAAAAAGAAAAAAAGTGATTTTTGAATTAAAGTTAGAATTTAAATTTCTTACCAAATGTTTAAATTCAAAAATTGTTAGATAGCAAAATAAAAAAAAAAATTAACAATCGGCATCAATCAGGCGGTATTTGTTAATTTAAAATTGTTTATAAAAATTGAAAGACAACTAAAATATTAATGACCTATTAATTAAAAATTTATTTAAACTTATTTAAAGGAAAGAAATTTATTTATTCTAGTTTCAAAATCTAAACTTAAAAATATTTAGTTTTGTTATTTATAGAAATGTTATTTGTACTGAAAAATTCATATTCTCGAGAGATTAAAATAGTTAACCTAAAAAATCATTTTGTATTTATTTTTACAGTCAATTTTTTAACAATCGTATTTATAAAAATCAAGTTCTTCTCACTTCTGAATTTTAAACAATGGAAATTTGTCACAAATTTTGAAAAAAATAGTTTAGTAAAAATTTTTTTTTCTAAACTTACATCAATGTAAACATATTGCTCTCCGGTAGTTGTGAAATTCTCGAAATCAAGCAACAAAGTAATATTATAATGATACGGCGAAATATTTAAGGGTAGTCTTTGAAATTCTCCCTTTTTCGTCGACATATTTGTTTATAAAAACACAAGTAAACCAAATCGTAACAAATTTTAATTAAAAAATGAAAATGTAATACATAAAGAAAATAAAAAACAAATATTATGACTATTTTGAGTCGAGTTCTCTCGCAAGTTCATAAAAGTAACGCTAGAGTATAATTGATTTTTCAGCGCGGTTTAAAAATACAAATTTCAAAATGACAGTTGGTGAAATTTTACTTTAAATTTTTTTTTATATTTTAAAAATATTTTTTAATTCAAAAATATTTATATTTAAAAATTATCATGTTTACAATTTTTTATTAGCTTCTGGATTTCGAGCCCCAGCAGAGTTAGTCCCTCATTTTTTCATATATGAAAAAAATTACCGAAAAATAATTAAAAATTAAAACTATAATTTTAATTTATTTTTAATTCAATTTTTTTAATTTTTAATTATTTTTCGGTAATTTTTTTTTTAATTTCTATATTGTGATTATAATTTCTAACCGAATTGGAAATTTTTTATTCGCCTTCTATTGATAACAAGGAAAATATTTCTAAACAAATAAAAATTTTATTCATAATTTGTTATTTTATTTGAGTTTTTTTATTTATTTTTTTCATAATTATTTTTATTAATGTAATTAATTGTTCATACGATATAATTGTAATGATAGTTGTAAAGACTATAATTGCACCCAATATAAACTCAACTTGATTTAAATAATTAAATTATTCAATTGTTTATTGCAAATGATTGAATTTTTAAATTATTTAATTCAAACGATTCACCTAATGATTTAAAATAATTATTTTCAATAATTTATTCACGTTTCTAATTACAAATTAATTTATTTTGCTAATTGATTCGAAACTAATTTAAATGTTGCTAATTAATTACGAATTAATTTATTTTGCTAATTGATTCGAAATTAATTTATGTTGCTAATTAATTCCAAATTAATTTATTTTGCTAATTGATTCGAAATTAATTTATGTTGCTAATTAATTCCAAATTAATTTATTTTGCTAATTAATTCAAAATTAATTTATTTTGCTAATTAATTCAAAATTAATTTATTTTGCTAATTAATTAAAAACTTCTCTATAATTGTCCAGTTTTAAATGAAGAGAAAAAAATGCCCGCTCTTCAAATATTCCATTAAAAAAAAAAAAATTTAATTACCTCTGAATTAAAAAAAAAATATTTTCAAAATTTAAAAATAGCTTTGCTAATTTCGCCACTTTTTAGTGCAGCCATTGCTTCACGATATTCACTTAATTTGAATGTTTTAATTCCAAGTTTTTCGAATGATAAATATTTATTGCCCATTGCCTGCACAAGGGATATTCCTTGACTGAATGTGTAGGGATTTATATTGACGCCCATTATTTTCAGTTCCTTTTTGTAAACCTAAAAAAAAAAAATTAAAATTAAAATATATTTTAGGTAAAAAATAAAATGTGAATATTATATGATAATAATTAAAGAATGAAATTTTACCTGGAAGGGTTCAATGCAAATTTTTGCTTTTGGACTTGCACAGCCAAAAATGCATAAACGTCCACCAGGAGACAAATGTTTCACTGCAGTTTCCATTGCAGGACCTGAACCACTGCAATCAATGGCAATGCAAAAACAATCGGTTTCCGTTAGTTCTGATGGACTTTTCACTTTGTAATCAAGATCTACGAAAATAATAAAAAATTACATATTTATTATTAATTATTTAAAAATTAAAAAAAAAATTATTTACTAACTAAATAGCTTATTAATTATTATTATTTATTACTTTAAAATACTTTAATAACATTTAAAAATTTTATTTTTAAATAATAAAATTCTTCGAGACAATATAAAATTATTTTTCAAAAATTATAGGTAATAAAATTCTTCCTGAGAATTCAATTTATTTTTTTCAAAAAATTTTGAAATTGCAGGAAAATTTTTTAAAATTCTTTGCTGGAATTCAATTATTTTCATATTTATTATAAATAATAAAATTCCTAGCCCAGCAATTAAATTTGTTTCTTATAAAATCGTAATAAAATTCTATAAAAGAATAAAATTATTGACAAAAAAATTTAAACAAAAATTCTTCGAAACAGTTTTAATTATTTTCTTTTCAATTTCAATAAAATCCAATAGAAAAATAAAATCATTCTCAAAAAGAATTTAATAAAATTCTTCCGAAACAGTTTTAATTATTTTTCCTTTTTTAATATTTAATATTTTTCATGAATATAAAAAATAAAGTAAATAAAATTTTCATAAAAAATGAAATTTGTTCCAGGAGTTAAATTATTTGTAGATATCAAATACAATTTTAATAAAATGTCTCGCAAAGAAGGCAATTATTTTGGAAAAATAATAAAATTATAATTAATTTCCATTTTATTTACTCATTTTTTGAAAAATTTCTCTTCGTCTCTCCTGTGGTTCAGATATAGTGACAGTTTTTCTCAAGCCATGTAAATGAAGTACAGAGGCCCATAAAAGGCCAATAATTCCTGCACCAGAAACAAGAACATTGGCACCAACTTTCAAAGGATTAACAATATCCCATCCATGCGCCAAACACGAGAGTGGTTCGCTGAGAGCTGCCAGGGACATTTCAACATCCTCTGGCAAAAGGTAGACCTGCAAAAAAAATCAGTATAAATTTTTTGTTTGAAAGAAAATTGTAATTAAATTTTTTTTTTTGAAGAAAAGAAAATTAGAATTTAATTTTTTTTCGAAGAAAAGAAAATTAGAAATTGATTGCTTTGATAGAAAAAATTCTAATTTAATTTTTTTCATGAAAAGAAAATTTAAATTTAACTCTTTAATGAAAAAAATATTGTATTTTAATTTTATTCATGAAAAAAATTGTAATTTTATTTTTTTCATGAAAAGAAAATTAAAATTTAATTCTTTAATGAAAAAAATATTGTATTTTAACATTATTCATGACAAAAATTCTAATTTAATTTTTTTCCAAAAAGAAAGAATTGTAATTTACTTTTTTTGCCGACAAGAAAATTGTACTTTCATATTCTTTTAATAAAATTAAATAATTTTTGATAAAATAAAAATTTAAATTTAAGTCTCTTGATAACAAATATTTGTAATTTGACATTTTTTATGAAAAGAGAATTGTAATTTAATTCTCTTGATAAATAATAATTGTAAGTTCCTTATATTGATAACAAAATATTGTAAATTAATTTAATTTAATAATTTATTTATTATTTATTAATTAATAATTCAATTTAATACTCTCTTGATAAAAAATATTATTGTAATTTTACTTTTTTTATGAAAAAATAATTGTAATTAAATTTTTCTGATAAAAAAAATTGTAATCTAATTTTTTTTATGTTGAAAAACTAGTAATTTAATTCTTTGATAAAAAAAATATTCTATTTCAATTTTCTTGACGATAAAAACATTGTAATTGAATTCTCTTGTAATTTAATTTTTTCCAATAAAAAAAAATTGTAATTTAATTTTTTTGATGTTGAAAAACTAGTAATAAAAAAAAATATTGCATTTTAATTTTCTTGACGATAAAAATATTGTAAATTAATTCTCTTGTAATTTAATTTTTTCCAATAAAAAAAATTGTAATTTAATTTTTTTTAATAAAAAAAAATTTTAATTTAATTCTTTTGATAAATAACACTTGTAATTTCATTCTCTTTATAAAAAAATATTATAATTTAATTTTTTCCAATAAAAAAAAAATTGTACTTTAATTCTTTTGATAAAATTAAATAATTTTTGATAAAATGAAAATTTAAATATCTTCATAAAGAATATTGTAATTTAATTTTCTTCATGAAAAAAAATGTAAATTAATTAATTTATTATTTATTATTTGATAATTCAACTTAATAGTCTATATAGATAAAAAATATTATTGTGATTCTAGTTTCTTGATGAAAAGCAGAATGTAACTAAATTTTTTTGATGAGAATAAATTGTAATTTAATTTGTTTGATGACAAGAAAATTATATATTAATTTTTTTTTTATAAAAAAATAATTGTAATTAAATTCTTTTGATAAAAAATAATTATAATTTAATTTTATTATGACAAAAAATTGTAATTTAATTTTTTTTGATGATAAAAAAATCGTAATTTAGTTCTTTGATAAAAAAATATTGTATTTTAATTTTCTTGACGATAAAAATATTGTAATTTAATTTTTTCCAATAAAAAAACTGTAAATTTATATTTTTTCAATAAAAAAAAAATTGTAATTCAATTTTTTTGACGTGAATCTTTTTATTGGAAAAGAGAATTGCAATTTAACTCTTTTGATACAAAATAATTGCAATTTAATTCTTTTGATAAAAAATAATTGTAATTTAATTCGTTATAGATAAAAAAAAATTGTATTTTAATTTTTTTTGATGAAAAAATATTCAAATTTATTTTTTTTTGCTGAAAAAATATTCAAATTTACTTTTTTTTTTAGTAAAAAAACACAAAGAAAAATAATTCAAACCTGAGATTCGGGAACCACAGCATGTGAGGACCATCCTCCATTTCTAAAGATGCCAATGGTATTATTAATCCCCCCGGTACTGCAATGATGATAAATACCAGTGTGACAGCATTTGCATAAATTACAACCACTATTTGGATCGACGGCCACTCTGTCTCCAATTTTAAATGTTTTTACTTGTGGACCAATTGCCTGAACAGTGCCAACAAATTCATGACCCGGTGTAAATGGTACAGAATCATTACATGGAAACTCTCCCTGAAAATTAAACACAATTAGAATTTTGTCAAAAGAAAAAAAAAATAATTTTTAATATATTCTTCTTCATTAAAGAAAAAAATTTTTCAACATAATTTTCTTTTCATAAGAAATTTCCATCTCTTTTATCTTTTTCATTTTTATTTTTCATAATCTCTTCTCATAATCGTCGTTGCAAAATCATTTATAACTTTAAACAATCTTTTTTTTGAAATCATTTTCATATATCAAACTAATATTGAAACTTTTGACCTATTGGATTTTTTTTGTTTATAATAATGATAATAATCAATAATTTTCCATTTTCACATGGCAGTATTTTTTTAAATTAATACTATTTTGCGTAAAAATTATTTAAATTAATTTTTCGTAAAAATTATTTAAATTAATTCTTTGAAAAAATTATTTAAATTAATTTTTTGAAAAAATTATTTAAACTAATTTGTTCGTAAAAATTATTTAAATTAATATTTTTTTTTAAATTCTAATTTGAATTTATAAAATTAAAAATTATTATTAATTAATTGAAATAAATTATATTCAGAAATTAAATTACAACGTTAATTTATTTTTTATGTTTCTGAGTAATTTTAGATTCAAAATTAATTAAAATTAGAAAAAATATACTTTAATTATGGAAAATAAAATAATTTCTAAATTTTTCTAGCAAAAATATTTAGTATCAAAAAAACTTAAAGTTAAAAAAAATTTAAACTAATTAGAATATTATTTTTTTAAAATCTAATTTTTTTAACTTTCAAATAATTAAAATTCACCAATAAATTAATAGATTTTTAAAAATATTTATTACTAAAACTTTAAATAAATTATAATTTTAATTGAATATCAATAAAATAAATTAGTAATGATCGTTTACATAATTAATTTTTTTAATTAATTTTAATTTTTTAATTAATTATTTAATAATTAAGTTAATTTTAATAATAATATAAATAATAAATTGATAACTAACTTATAATTAATTTATAATATTATTTAATTAATTAATTATTTAGAAAAATTTTTTTTTTGTCAATATACTTTTAAAATATGAAGATCAGTGCCACAAATTCCGGAATATGCAACTTTAACGAGAATTTCATCGTTAACGGGTTTGAGAATATTTGGCGATTTTTTATAAGCAAGTGTTTTAGTTTTAAGTTCAAAAATTAGTGCTTCCATATTGTCAATTAAAGACTATCAAAAAGCAAGAAAAAATTTTTTTTTTTTTTTTGTTGATTAAAAAAGACTGTTATCCTACTGCACTTTCACAATACTGAAGTAGCTTAATCCAGTAACGTTCGCTTTATATTTTGACGGATTAATTTCTTGAAACAAAAGCGCCATCTTATTGGAGAATATTTTACTTTGCAATCACAATATAATTACAAAAAAAGGAGAAAAAGAAATTTTATTTTAGAAATATTTTTCACCCTATTCATAACATATAAACTAATAAATTGTTTTTTTAATTGTTCATATTTTAATTAGCAAAAAAAAATAATATTACAATTAATTACTTCATATTAAAATTTTTATTTTAATTAAAACTTTTGTGGCGTATCAAAAAAATTAATTATGAAATTTAATTTTTTTATTCCATTCAAGAATTTATAAAAATAATTTCAAACCAAAATATTTATTTTTTCTTTCAAATAATCATTTTTGGACGAAAATGAATATATTTAGATTTGAAAATAATTCTGGATCATAAGAATTATGAGAAATTTTTAAACACCGAAATAGAAAAAAAATTGACAACAAAATTAACCGGAGTTAATATTAATACAATTGAGAAAAATAATAATAAATATAAATTTATTTACCGCATTTAGCAGACTAATGTAAAAATATACGAACAAGTTGTCTTATCACGTGTACAGTGATAATTTTTTACTCTACCTCCACTATAAATAACAACGTTAACAAAAATCTTTAAAATATATATAAAATAGTTGATAAATTATTTGGATTATGAGAAGAAAATTTTTCTTTCATTTAATAAACTTTCTCTACTAATTATAATTAAAAAATTATTTTTTACAATCATAACACCTATTATTTTGATATCTTTTTTCAAAAAAAAAAAAAAAAAAAAAAAAAAAAAATTGAATAAAAATTATGTTAATAATACAGCACTGCTTTTAATCTTTAAAAGACACTTTATCAGGATGCAAATAAGAAGACATTATTATGAGAGTTGCTTTTCATCAATAAGGTCACAAAACAGTTACCCCTCACCCTTCCAGCTAAAAAACTAAAATTAACTAGTTTTTGAAAAAAAAAAAATTGTTCGAAAGTAATTTTTTTCAATTTTATCACAGCAAGTAGGAAAGAGAACAAAATTTTATAAACGAAAAAACTTCTATTTTAACACAAAAAAAGAATTAAAGGCTGATTAATAAATAAAAAAACAAGAAAAAAATAATAAATAAAAAAAATTATAAACAATACTAAATTAGGTTATAAATTATTTATTTGATTTAAAAAAATAAAATAAAAAGTATTTAGAAATAAATATAAAATAGCAAATAATTATTGCCCCTGATATGCAAGCAACCAATGATACACAGATGTCTGAATTAAAATTATTGAAGTTAAAAAGTAAAAAAAAGTAGCTATCGATAAATTAAACTTGACGACTCAATTTTTTAATAATTTCTTAATTACATTCAAAAATAGAATATTTTTTTAAAATAAATATTTAAATACCTATTTAGTTTGTATACAGGAATTAAAATATTTCAAATGATTTCAATGTAATGCATTTTTGAAATTTAATTATTTTTACCTCAAAAATTACAAAAGTAATGCTTTCAAAATTAAACTTTTTTTTTTGTTCTTGAAATTTATAAATAAAATTATTCAAAACTTTAATCATTTTATTATATTCAATTTTAAAACAATTTTTATTAGAAAGTTTTACGAGAATGAAATTATTCAACTTTATGAAATAATTTAATTTGAAAACAATTTTTATTAGAAAGTTTTACGAGAATTCAATTATTTAAATACAAAAATAAATTTATTGAATAATTGCGAATAATTCTAAAATTTGAATTCCTATAAAGAACTTTATCGACATTTTTTAAAATAATTGAATTTTTACGGAGAATTACATTAAAATTTTTGATAATAATTAAATTCATTCAAGAAATGTAATTAAAAATGAATTGAAAATAATTATTACACTCTAAGAAACGAATTATCAAATTTTTTTAAATAATTGAATTTTTTCGAAGAATTTTATTCAAACTATATTTCAAAATAATTGAAATCCTTCGATGAGTTTTATTATTTAATGAAAATGATTGAATTTTTGTCACCTAATTTTAATAAAGTTTTTTAAAATAATTGAATTCTTGAGGAAGAATTTTAAAAAAAAATCTTTTTAATGGAATAATTTTTTTCAAAAATTTTTATAAAAATTTGTGTTTTAAATAATTGAATTTCTTTTAAAATTGTATATTATTTATAAAAATAATTGAATTCTTGCGAAGAATTTTATACAAAAAAAATCTATTTAAGGGGATTTGAACCTTGATGACGTCACAGTTTGTGCAAAGCATTAGTTTTAAATTTGTGACGTCATCATGGTTCAAATGCCCTTAAATATTTGATTTTTTTTTTGGAAAAATATTAGAAAACTTCTGTTTTAAAAATTTGTAAAGAAATTCAATAATTTCTTTATAAATTTTTTGAAGTTTTTTAAATGTTTTATTTTTTGAATAATTTTCATTTTTTGAATGTTTACGAAGAATTTTATAAACAATCTATAGATATTAAAAATTATTGAATTACGAAAAATTTGTGAAAATAATTAAATTCTTTCAAAAAATTTTTATTAAAATTATATTGAAAACAATTCAATTATTAATAAAGAATTTTATTAAAATTTTTAAGAATAGTTGCATTTTTTGCGCAAATCATTTAAAATTGTATTAAAAATAATTGAAATTTTGTGATGAGTTTTCATATTTATAAAAATAATTGAATTGTTGCAACGATTATTATTAAAATAAAAAAAAAAAATAATTGAAATAATTGAATTCTTGCGAAGAATTTTATAAAAAAATCTATTTAAATAATTGATTTTTTTTTGAAAAATATTAGAAAAATTCTGTTTTAAATAATTGAATTTCTGTATAAAAATTTTTTTATTTTTGAAAATAATTAAATTTTTGCGAAGAATTTTATAAACATTTTTTTTAATATTCCACTCTTTTGGGGAATTTTTTTATTAAAAATAGTAGATATTAAAAATCATTGAATTACGAAAAATTTGTGAAAATAATTATAAATAAAAATATTTAAATCAAATAATTTTTATTTACAAATACTTTAAATGTCTTTTGCTTTCAATACTAAAATTAATGATGATCTACAAATTTTGAACGTTCAAATGAACGAAATATATTTCTTATTAAAATTATTTTCATAAATTACTGATTCAAAAAAAAATTTGTTTTCTCGACGTTTCTACATGACGCAAAATACATTAGGGAATATTTTTGTTGTTGTAAATTACGACCGACAAACAAAATTAGAAAAAAAAATTTAATAATCATAAACTATTTACTTCATCCATTAAATATATAGTAAATAAAAAAAGAGAAAGTAAAAAAAAAGAAACGTAAACCAATCAAGAATTTGCGTAATTGAGCTTCTAATGACGATATCGGCAGAGAGTGATTATTATGTTACAAGTGGAGATAAAAAAAATTCTGCAGCAGAGGAAATTGGAGGGTGAGAGGGCATCTTTCAGACATAACAATAGACAACATTACGATGTGTTTGAGGAAAATAATAATTAAATAAGGTAATCACGAGAATCATTAACACATTCTTTAAATGATATTCAAAAAAAAAAATTTTTTAATTTGGAAAGAATTGAACTCGAGAGAGAGAGAGAGAAGAAAATTTTTAGAAAATCTTTAGTTGCATTTATTAATGTTGCCAATGTTGTCAATTTTTAAAAAGTAGTAAAAAAGTAGCTTTCAAACTGAAAAAAGTAGTAAAAAAGTAGCTATCGAATAATTAAACTTGACGACCAAAAAAACTCGTTTTAGACACAATTCACAAAACTGACAAAAATTCCATTCATCTATATTATTTTATTTTCCTGACTTTTTCCCAATTTTTATCAAAAATATATTTTCTTATCCTATGCTAATAAATTGAATTCCTGCAACGAATTTTATTATTCATGAAAAAATTTAAATATTTATAAAAATAATTTAATTTTTGCGAAGAATTTTAGAAAAATTTTTAAATAATTCATTTTATTCGACTAATTTTATGCAAATTCTAATTTATGTAATAATATTGAATGTTTGTGAAGAATTTAATTAAAATCTAAAAGAACAATTTATTTCAACAAAATTTTATTAAAACTGTATTTGAAATAATTGATTTCTTACGAACAATTTTATTAAAATATTTGAAAATAATTGAATTCCTGTGAAAAATTCTAATATTTACTGTAAATAATTGAATTCTTCCAAAGAATTTAAAAAAAAACATTTTTTTTCAAATAATTGATTTTTTCGAGGAATTTCATTTTTTGAGCAATTCCTGTAAAATTGTATTTAAAAAAATTGAAATCCTACCATGAATTTTTTTATTTTACTACAATAATTGAACAGTTGCAAAGCATTTTATTAAAATTTTCAAAAATAATTGAATTCCTGAGAAGAATTTTATTATTTATGAAATTAATTGAATTATTGCGAAAAATTTTATTAAAATGTTTAAAAAGAATTGAATTTCTGTGAAAAATGTTGTTATTTTTAAAAATAATAAAATTAAATTCTTGCGAACGATTTTGTTAGAATTTTTAAAAATAATTGAATTCTTATATGATGAATATTGTTTTTTATGAAAATAATTGAATTTTACAAAGAATTTCATTAAAATACCTCAAAATAATTGAATTTTCGGGAGTAATTTTCTTATTTATCTTTAATAATTGAATTCTTTCGATAAATTATTAATCTAAATAATTGAATTCTTGGGAAGAATTTTATTGACATCTAAAAGAATAATTGAATTATTTCAAAAAATTTTTATTAAAATTGTATTTGAAATAATTGATTTCTTACGAATAATTTTATTAAAATATTTGAAAATATTTCAATTACTGTGAAAAATTTTAATATTTTTGTAAATAATTGAATTTTTCCAAAGAATTTGAAAAATTTTTTTTTTAAATAATTGATTTTTTCAAGGAATTGAAATTAAATTTTTAAGAATAATTCCATTTTTTGAGCAATTCATGTAAAATTAAATTAAAAA